ATTTAATTAAATAAATTAAGTTATATAAAAAAGTATTATTAATATTTTATTAAGTAATTTATTACTTTAAAAAAAAAAATTTATTAAAAAAGTTTTTATAATAATAAAATACTTAAAAAAATAAAACTAATAGTTTTATAATAAATTAATAATTAATTAAATATATTTTAATAATTTTATTTATTTTTAAACTTTTAAGTTTTTATAAGCTTAAAAATTCTTTTTTTTATAATTAATAATAATTTTATTTTTAAGGCTTAATTAAAGCTTAAAATTAATTTCTCTAGAACCTTTTAGTAATTAGTGCCTGGCCTGTACATCTGGGACCCGCTTTTGGTCTCTGACAACAGCATGCTCGGCCACTGGGTCGCAAAGAGCAGACTGGGGTTTTCAATTTTCCATTTTGCCGGCAGAGACGGCTATAAGTTGCTGTCCAACGTAAGTCCCATTCCAAGACGCCTCGAGTGCCGTGCGGCATTGGCATTGACTCTCTCTGCCCGCGCAGTGGATATACATGCACAAGTTGGACTTCACAGGGGAACACGTGCTATGCTGTTCCGACCACGACCACAGTCACGACGGCGACCTGCGGACCGAGCGGTATTTCCGAACAGGGCTCCTATGTTTTCCCTGCTACGGTGCCTGTCCAAATTACCGGCAATGTCTCGTCGACTATTGTGACGTTGTGGGCACCCATGTTTCAGCTCAATTTTGAATCTACAGATTTGAAGCCAGCTACTACACTGCCTAGCTCAACTAGTACGCCGTCAGAAACCTCGACTGAATCCTCGACGACTTCTTCTCTATCCGAGGGTGCGATTGCTGGCATAGCTGTTGGCACCGTTCTGGCTGGGATTATCCTAGGCATCGCGGCCACTCTGCTTGTTCTTCGTTATCGGCGAAACAAGAAGCTATCCAACACAAGTCAGTTGGCATATGGAGATGCCGCCGCTTACCAAGTAGCCGCTCAACCAGGAGCAGAAGTTCACCAGTATCAAGGTGGCGGCACAACAGAGTTTCACGAGGTGCAAGCTAAGAATAAGCCTGTCGAGTTATCTGCGCAGATGTAAGTCTATTACAGAAGCGGGCATCTAATCGTTGCAAAATTCACTTCTGATTCCTTTTATTTGGCGGAAAATTGTCTCGTTGTCTAGTAGGCTCCTCTTTGACCGGCTCCGGGGTTAGGGTTAGGTGGAATCTGCTATCTAGGCTGGTCTGTCTCACTGGTTCTCTAAAGATGAATGCGAATTAATGGTGAATACTTCTTCTACCTTGGACTTTGTGCACTACTCTTTCAAAAAAAGAAAACTTTGGGCCAGCTTCTGCATTCACATAGCAGCTGGCTAGTGGGAGCAGGGCAGCGAAATGAAGGGACCAGCCCTTATGGGTGGGGATCCTCCAGTTTAGCAAAGAGACTAGGTCAAGAAGACGGAAGCATTAATTAAATAGGGGGGACTGAAATTAAAATATAAGTCTATAAAGTAGTGGAAATGCCTTCAGGGTCCCGCCAATCTAGGAACAGCGCTCCCAGAAGACCCCGGAAGACATCCAGAACAAGACTCAACGTAACATAAAGTATAGCTTGACATACGGCTAGTTTAAAGCCAGCTCGGTCACCCGTAATTCACAGTACGAGCCTGTCACCAAATGCAGCCAGATGAAACCAGCCTCTTGGGATCGAATAAGAGAATCTGAGTTGACGCCCAACTAGGCCTAGTGCCCTCGGCAACTGGCCCACTTGCTAGTATTCACTCAATTCAACCCCACACCCGGTGGTTGCAGATTTTGCTCCTGTTTAAAGCACTAACCAAAATCCCAACACTTCACCATCATCTATACCTAAATCATCTCATAATGACCCAAGCTCAAGTCCAGAACCTGTAGGACTAAAAAGTTTCAGCGGCAGAAATTTCGTGCTCCAAAGTGGCATGGCCACAACACAAGAGCATCATATCCACATTCCAGGCCATGGTATCCCCCACGCTGCCCAGCTCATACGACACCATAGAAAATTACACCTCGGATCTGTGCAGCTTTCTCGACACTCCTCTAGTCCGTCAGATCACAGGCGGGATTCACGTCAACGACGCCCTGATCCAAAATGGCTGGCAGGCCCTGCCGCAAGAATGGACCGAGTGGTGGTCCGCGTGGCCAGACTACCGTCTAGCCCAGCAAGACCTCGTCGACGGCATTGACGAAGAAGCCGAACCAGCCTCGCGTCTTGTCCAACAGCAGCCTCGACTCGCTGCCAGTCGGCCAGAATCCCTGACCACCTGGCTGAGCACCCTCAAGTCGCTCGCGCTTCCTCGCACCCAGCGCCCTGGTCCGGCGGTCGCCCTGCCCAAAGTCTTGACCGCTCACATGGGTCCTAAAAAGATGTCCGAGGTCTCTTCCGGAGCTGCTTATATCCATGACGTCTGTCAGAGAAGAGGTATTCGCCGCATTGTCGACATGGGCTCCGGCCAGGGCTACCTGTCCATCAGCCTTGCCTACCTATTCCGCGGGCTGCAATGTCTCGCCATTGACGGCAGTGAATCCCAAGTCGCTGGGTCACGGGCGGTCGCTATCTCCCTGGGAATACCAGAGCACAGATTAGAGCAAATTGTTCACTGGATCGACGGCGCTCCGAGTTTGGCGTCCCGGATTCAAGACTGGGCCGATGGCGAGAGCTGCATGCTCGTGGGTCTCCACGCGTGCGGGAGTTTGTCAGAGCACATGATTAGGTACTTTGCCACGGTGCCTTGCATTGAGGCCCTGGCGGTGGTGGGCTGCTGTTATAATCATGTCGTTCCCCGGTCGCCCAGCTGCCCGGCCGGGTTCCCCATCAGCGCGGCGTTGAGAGAGCGCAATGTCGTGCTGAGTGCTACTGCTCTCATGGCGGGCTGCCAAGCGCCGAATAACTGGAAACGGCCGGGTCGCGGATGTGACCAGGAGGGAGAATCGGTGTTTGGCAAGCGTCGTTTGCACCGAGCGATCCTGGAGAAACTGTTGCACGACAAGGGAATAGAGGTAAGCAGGCAAGATGGAAAGAGGCCGGTATGGGGAATCCGGAAGCAGGACACTGCTAGTTTTGCCAAGTTTGCGCGTAGATCGATGGACTGCCTGAAGATAGCTCATGACAGGGTTCCAGCCGCGGATCTGATGGCCTATGAAGAGCGGTATAAAGACTGTGAGGGTCAGATTGCCATTCTATGGACGCTTAGCGTGCTTTGCTGCAAGGTTGTTGAGAGTTTAATTGCCTTGGATCGCTACTGGTTTTTGAAGGAACAGGGAGCAAAGGGGGTAGACATTGTGCCTATTTTTGATTTTAAGATTTCTCCTAGGAACCTGATGATGGTGGCGGAGAAAGCAGGCCCTGGGTTGCCATAGCCGGGGACACATGGAGCGCGTCTCAAGATTCAGCCTTCATGCTGAGAGGACAGTGATAATACTAGCGATAGATTTGAAGCATTAGACTTTTGTCATGCACTCGAAGAGGTGCCATGAAGACGGTGCCGATGGCCAACTTGAGCTGGAGAACCGGACATCTCAGCCTCTGTGTTCTATAAGGGGCTCCGGATGAAAACTAGGGCTTCAGGATTCACCAAGACCAGATAGGCCAGCAGTGCACCCAAATCCTCATCAAGGAGCCACAGCGGATAGAAAATACGTAATTTCTTCTCATACCAACGAGACAAAGCCAAGTCAGGAGTGTCTCGGGTGATACCAAAACACGAGAAATGCAGTTGCCTTGGCCGTAACCAATATATCCACGAATCGGTTGAATCAGCCAGTGTGGGTATGTGCATTTATCATTATTCCTTTGGCATATCCAACTCGTATTTACGAGTTCAGTCTGGATAACATCACGCCCGCCCATCGACCAGAAACCAGGAGTCCAGAAACACAAATTTCCCAGCAAGTGTCATATCCTCGTAGAATCCGAAGAGGTGTCAATCTAAAAACCTCATCCGTCCAAGTAAAAAACCCAAAGCTTTCTCGGAATTCAGAAAAGAATCCATAATACATGAAACTTAGTAACCTGCAATATGCGAGCTCCTTCCCGTTCACTGATACATATCTCTGCCCGCCCGTTCACCACCTGTTGCGAGGCCGGTACTCCACGGCATGGCCACGAAGCCCGGCAGCATCGCGGCATGCTGCTCTCCACTGTGGGAGACCACATTGTTCTATTCGGTTTCGTAATCAAAATAGCTCAATTTTTGTTCATTCCGGTTCGGCAAGACTTGCAGTTGCTGCTGTTGTGTCTCCTCATCTTGTTCCTGCTCTTCATGCTGATACTGCTCCCAATTCTGCTGCTGTTGGTGCTGAGTTGTGCTGTTATAGAACACCCCAGGAAATGTTTCAAATTCAGATGGATATCCTGTCCACTGTCCCGTATTCAACTCAGCTGATGGGCATGGAAAGCTTTCTTGTTCTTCCTGTCCGAGACTGCCCACGCTATGTAGTGCGTTCGGCAAATCGTATGTAGAGGGCCCTGGACTTGCGGGCTCTACAACACCAATGGCTGGTTCTGAATACTGGGGATCGCGAGTTATATAAGTATATCGTGCAATGTGTGGGTTGTTTTGCTGTTGCGTAGGCATTTCATCCTGGGGCATGGAGCTCCTCGTGACATGGTGACTCTGGATATGAACGCTCTGGCCCATCGGGCTATGCATCCCTCGCCTCTCAGACACCCAAACACAATCATGTGTTTCTTGGTTTTGTTGGTCAAACTGTTGATCATGTTGGTCACGGGAAGAGTTTCCAGACTGAGAACCTGAAGACGATTTAGCCAACCAGTCTTGGAATGTCGCACGAATCGTTTCAGAAACAATAATCTTTGTCAGCTCTTCATAAACGTCCTGTGACATTCGTTGTCTTAGGTCATTTATCCTATTTTTGAAATTGAATTCAAGAGTATGTGCAAATGCCGCATACGGCTGGGGGATGACGTTCTCAAAATACGGGCTGCTTGGCAAAGGGTCGTTTGGGAAAACAATTCGGAAGACCTTATACCAGCTGTCCTCACTCTTGGCCGTCATTTTTTGCCCAAATTGTTTTATGTGGTCAGCCGTAATAATTCGTGGCTCATGGCCTTTGTTCGTCTTACCCTCATTAGAATGATGTCGTTGCAGATGTTGCTTGACACGGGATACATTCGAAAAGCCAATTTTATGGCAATTTGGGTAATAGCTGTTAGATTGCTTGGCTATGGGACAATCCCACCTTGGGTTGGAACTTGGGGAAGGGTCAGATGACGAGCTCCCCTCGACATGCTCATCTGTGATGTTGTTCACTGGCTCGCTTTTTCCCGGCTGCGCTGGGCGTCGTTGATGATCATCTGCAGGCGGCGACGAAGCTTTGTGTTTTCCATTTCTTGATCCAAATATATTTCTGGCCTCAAGATGTGTCGTCCTCACTGGGGAGGGCTGTGGGTATAGGCGAACTCGCGTTGGGGCCAAAGAGATGTTCGCAATAGTGGCTGGCCTTGCTGGCGGTAACATGACGGATTCTCTGTCGCTGAAGATTTCGCTATACTCTTGATTGGTCCCAGACCAAGATGTAATGTCTGTGGTTGTTTGCCCTACCCCAATCTCCAAAGCCCCCGGTGGCATATTTGATAATGGTAGATCATTTGGCGTAACTTTTTGGTTATCTCGCCAACCTAGCGCACCGTCGAACCTGTTTCCATTGGATCTGACATCCTCCAAAGTCTTTGGATATAAGTCGCTCCCCAATGGTGTTGGCCCAGCGGAGCGGCTCGCTGCTTGGTCACCACCTGAAGCCGTATAGCTGCGTTGTGCGTATTCTAGGCCAGCATAGCTAAGCCCGTTTCCGAATTGGGCTTGGGGATTTGTTCTGTCCTTGCGTTCTCGCCGCCCCGGGATGGAGACATCCTGATTGACGACTGGGATTGGAACGGCGCTGTGTAAAGAGGTTAGTCATCGGAACAACAATTGTTTAGCAGCGCAATAACATGGCTTTGAGCAGCTGCCGTCTTCCACAGTGAACAAATGAAATGGGATTTGGGATTGGTAAAAAAGAGAGGCATGTTCTAACGTCAACTGACCAACACCACGGTCATCATCCTGTGGGCGGTTATAGCCAGGGTCGCAAGTGCCTGACGCCTCAAATGTCTGGTGCGAGAGGCCATCAGAATCGTCATACCATTCCCCTGTATGAGCCGCTGGGTTTGAGCCTGAGGCTCTGTCAGCTTCGTCGCAAAAAGCATCACAAGGCGCTCATAAAGTGCGGCATGTCCAACGTCATACCGTGATCAATGAGCCTCACAGCTCCTGTAGTGTGTAAAGTCTCTTGACCGTCGAATGTGATGTCCCGAAATTGGTCGTTTGATTGCCAAGCCATGCTTGGTGTACTGGTCAGACGAATGCAGCTGTGTTACATTTATGCATGAATTAATCATCTGACAGGCGCCCGCTGTAGAAATGAAGCTGCCGACCGCCGCTTGGCCTGAAGAGTAAGAGCGCAACTTCGAATCTAGCCAGAATGAGGAGGGGGATATGCTTAAAAGGCAAAATTCCAGTCGAGGTCTGGACCCAAGGATTTCGGTGTGTGCTGCCACGTCCCTTGCACTGCCTTCTTGTTTTGTGTAGTGGTCTCCCAAGATAGGCAAATGGTCTTCAACTTTGTCCAAAGCAACAAGAGACTCTCCGAAATATCTTGACCAAATGGAAAAAGGACACTTCTAGTAGCACACGGGGGGTTCAGAGCCGGTCGGGTGGGTGGGGAAGAGCAGAGAAGACAAGCAAGGGAGCTGGGAAAGTGTTGACGGCTCTAATCTGGTTGCTTCACCACAAGTTATCAGACAGTCTGGTCACTTCAGTTTTGGTAGAAGAAGGCGCAGCCCAGTCCGCGGGGAATTAAAATGCTGCGACTTGCAAACAGCGCCAGGATATACGGTGTTGACACAATGGCTTTCAAGGCTCTTGACCGACTTGTTAAGCTTCTCTGCTGTATTGCCTCAATTTCCTCTTTTGGATAGACCTTGGGCGCACGGGTCAACTGACCCGACAACGTTGCAACGCACCAATGCCGTCTGCTGCATGTTCAACACAACTGCGTCCGCTCAACGTGGTTGCCTTTGGGGGCGATGGGATGAGGCGCAACAATTCCAACAAAAAGGCGACTTCGCACACAAAACCAATAAGAAAACCTTTCTGCATAGTGGCCATGCTTGTATTCACGTCCTTGAACACTTTCAGCACAGCCGACCAAGAGCGTTTCTGTACAAAATCAAACAACCACAACGCACAGCGATGAAGTAATCAGCGCATTGTTCCGGGCAGATCGCTTTCATGACGCCTAGTATGAGATCGCCAACTGTGGCATCTATTATACATGGTGATCAGCAGCGTACGCACAGTTGACACGCACTATACATGATCATCGGCGGTGTGCCAAGTTGGAGGCACGCCACGGCGAAGGCGCATGTGTCCAGCCTCGTCAGCAAACAGTGTGCATACGGCGAAAGCACACCCTGGCTTCACCCAAGAATTTTCGTTACATTGACAAGCTTGTAATCCCTTTAGCTCTCAGATAAATATGGAGAACGGGCCGCGCAAACGGGGGAGTCGGCGGACCCAGAGAGCGACAATAACATGAACCGGCCATGCGGCTCAAGCTATTCACTCAGTGGCGATGAAGCTTTTAAGAAGCGAAATATCCCGATCATGGGGTACCTGGAGCAAGTATAAGCGTCCCGACCCTCTTGTCCAAAAAATGCGCAACACGCCCCTCCTCTGCGACTACATGGCACTCACCACACGCCAACGCACAGCCAACTCATGTGCTCACCGGTGCCGAGACAGGGACGGCACCTACAGAATTTTGTTTATTCAATATTTACACTTTGAAGTGATGTTTCTGGCATTGGGTGTCGCCTGTCAGGTAATTCGCTTCACACACACGCTCTCTCCTTCACCACCAGCACGAGGTAATAACACGGTTGGGATGGGGGGGCTTGACCTACCTATTCATCGCTGACATCAAGGTAGACAGCATGTAGTGGGATATTGGTGCCTTGCGGGACTTGGGCAATGCTACCCTATTCTCCACGGCTTCTGGCCGCATGGAGGTTGCCTTGATGCAGAGGAGCAGCCCCAAGGCGTTGACGGCGTCTTGTCCCCGATCCCTTCTCGTCTTGTCAAAGACTGAACACAGACGACTTGTTCCTCATTGTTCTGCATTTTGTTATTTCATCAATCTTGTCTGAGACCTATGAACAGCGACCCATGAGCTGTGCTGCGCACGAGTAACGTATCGTTCCATGTCGGCTTACCCCTTCAGTACCCCTGCTGCGAGGGCTGAGATGGCTGGTACTCGGTCAAGATGGATGGGCATGCAGGCCTGCCCAACGACCTGGGACTCGGACTCGGCCGAAATTTGCGTTTGCCCCTGTATCATGGCTGATCTGCAGCCCCAATGCCCTGGGTACCAGTGCTGGGCAATGCCTCAACAGACACCTGTTCCAGTGTCTTTCCCCATCAGAAGTGTCCAATCTGATACATCGAGTGGCTTCACACGAGTTTCGGGCGCTATGTGTCATTAATTCCAGCATATGTAGGCTCTGAAGTGGTTCGCATGAGCAGCTCGTCGTGCATCTCGGCCCAAAACTAAATGTCAAGCCACCGTCTGCGGCAGCGTCTGTAGTGACCTTTAAGGCTTTGAGGAAACCCAAGGACCTTTGATACCAAAGACTGTTATTAGCTGAATTGATCTAATTGCTTCAAGCCCTCATTCCGAGCCCTTGTCACAGAAGCATCGCCACAAAGAAGGCCATTTGTTCCGGTGCCGCCCTCGATGAACCATGGGACAATACGATTGTCATGGCGCGTGCCTCGTAGTTGTCTGGGGCGTTGAATACTGCTGCATGTTGAGGGTGATTGAAGATGTTCCGTTCATCCGGACACACGTCTCCTGTGATAATGGAGATGGAAGTGAGATTCCTACGCTGGGATCGACAACTCCCATCTTGGTCGAAAAACATCCCCGCTTTATACCCCAGTAAGTAGGAATCCCCCAATATATGTGTCTGGTGCATCTCCCCGTGACAATACGACTCTGTCCTTCATCATCCACTTTCCATCAATTATACCGCAACTTCGGCTCCCGCAACTCTACATGAGCAGCATGGCCTCCAGTCCCTCTCCGAATCTCACTTCTATTAATTGGGGCTGCATAGAGATTGATGGAGGACAGCCTGCCAAGACCTCAAGCCATACCCAGGCGGAGCAACAAGATGGGACTGGACTAAGAATGGAACAAGGCACCAACCAGGGATTGAAGTTGAAGAAGTGCGAGAACTTGTCGAAAAAGGCGCCACCACGATTGCACTCTCACGAGGAATGAACATGAAGCTCCATGTCTGTGATGGAACTGTCAGGTTCTTGGCAGCACAAAACGTGACGGTTTATGTCGCGGAAACGCGCGAGGCAGTCGGCATTTATAATTCGCTCGCCGAAGCGGGTTCCTTGGTCGGCGGGCTCTTTTATTCTATTGACTTGCTAGAGTTGCTTACAGGTATTACCACTACACACAACACACAAATAATTGAGGATCATGTTGCGGGTGTCGAATTATATATAGATGGTATATGGCACGTATGCGCCCTTCCGCCGCCAAGCAGATCAAGTTCGTTGTTTCCATGCCGCAATATACGGAACTGCTATCCGGCTTGCTGCGAACCGCCATACTGAAGTCCGAATGTCGCCTTTCGATTACGTTAGCTGCTCAGTGGTGGTAGTTGTTTCGACCGGCTGGTTCCGTCTCCACTTTCACTTCAAGATCATTCATGACTTCTAACCTCGGCAACCACTTCCACGGTGAACCAAGTCTTTTCCTAGCCATTCCAGAACATCTCATGAAAAGTTTCACAAAGCAGTCGTCAGCCCTACTCAACCCTGCGACTTGGACTTTTGCCTGGTCAGATTTCCATAATGCGTGGGTTAAAATATAAGTTTGGCTTCGGGTCCCGTCACACATGGGGAGACCAGTTGCATCATGTGGTTTCCAGAAATAGACAAACTTGCATGCTTCGGGGACACGCATACCATTCCCGCTCATACACAAGGTCGCACTCTACTCGCGACATCGCACACTCCACATGCAGACAAACGGAACACAGCCATAAACCGTCAACCTTGCCCGACGTCAACGCTGAGGAAAGCCACAGCTCAGAGCAGCATTATGCAGAAGAGCTCATTTCTTCGCTACCTCTCATCAGACATCTACGCGCTTCCTCATCCATGACTGAAAGCAGCCCGGGCACCAACTACAAAGAGTTTCGCCTACATAGCAATAAAAACCCCGACACCTTTGCAAGACATCTTGTTGCCGGTTCGCTTTTTGGCAACCAAAAGCTGCCCATATATCCCCGTTTATTCATGCAAAGGACCCCGGTACCCCGAATCATTGCTGCGTGCTACGTCGGCGACCATCTCTGCGGCCACCCCGGATACGTCCACGGAGGTCTACCGTTCGTTCTGTTCGACGACATATTCGCATTGTGTGCCGGGATGGGGTTCGAAAGCGGCGTCGCAATGACAGCAAACATGAATATCAACTTTCGCAAGCCCTTGCTTCCGGAGCGTCTATGTATAATCCGTGCGGAGGTGGTGAGGCAACAAGGCCGCAAGGCTTGGGTTGAAGGCTCGGTGCGGAGTTTGGATGTATTCACTGCCAAAGATATGGAAAAAGTGTCCATGGCCGATAATGCTGGAATAAGTGCCGAGGAGGCGAATGCGACTCTTGTCGCTGAGGCTACAGCGGTGTTTGTTGAGCCAAAGTTTGCTCATGTAGGTTGTCTTTATCTCGTCTGAAAATGAAATGGCGCTAATGGTTTACAGTCGATGGTCTCGCTACTTGGGAATCATTAGGTTTTATTCATTTGGTTTATTGCCGTTTACCTTTTTTGGAAGATTTATATATAGATTTATGATATAGTCGGGAGAGACGGTGCCTGAGATTTTCTCGGCAGGGATTGATGCAAACTACAATTAGGGTGCTTGATAGGACCGATGTGAAAGAGTTTTTAGTTACAGCAATCAGAATAAGAAAGGACTTTGTTGAACTATCCAGATTTTGCTATGCAATCAAGGCACCATAATCTCCGTTACGCGTTCCACGCAACCAAGTTCCAGCCTGAAACGGTAAGGATTTCACGTAAAAGAATAAACAGCTCTTTTGGAGATTACGAAGAGAGCCAATTACATTGGCATGATTCTGCTGGACAAAGGTTTAGAGTCGGACGGCAGCCAGCTACTGATGCAAACGACATGGATGCACAACTCCATAATAGCCGGGCGGACATATACGGTCAACGGCTAAAAAATACATGGTGGCTACAACTGACAATACATAGTATATCTAAAGCTTATAGCTTTTAGAAACTTTAATTGGGAGAATTTATCGCACATTGCCAACCTCTATGGCTTACCGCTTACTAATATTTGGGAGCTAAGGCTCCATGCTTCCTCCCCCTCGAGGCCTTTTGAAATAGGCTTCAAATCAAAACATGGCAAAATGAAAAACTGTCTTGAGATACTTTACGATGGGGAGATGATGGCTTGAAATACCCAGTACAAGGCAGTGTTTTCTATGTTGTGTCCCCATTCCTCCCCTTCCATTACGGAGCTTTCATGACTCATTGACGCACGACGACAGAAGATCGAATTGTCAATTTTGACAGTCCACGTGTCTCTGGACGTATGGTCACAATTCCCTCCTCATTGAGGCAGAAAATGTATCCGATTGGTGGTAGGAGTCAGCGGGTCCGAGACCATAGAATGATGCGGAGACGGAAATTGACATTGTTGCCAGTTCCAGAATATCGGAAAGCAGGTCCAATGGCTAAACTCCATTTCTTTTAAACGTCTACATACCTAGGTAGGCAAGCGCTATTCGTTAATATATTGTGTTCGTGTTATTGTCGCATATATGCCCTTCCCGGGGCCCCTTAAACTTCCGTTTGTCCCTATGCTCCGGCGAGGGAATGTACGTCAACACGTTTGGGCAGCATTCATTCCGATGATGACTTCTAACTTGGGTGAAACAAGCATACTCAGTATGCATGGAGTCCCTGTGCCACACCCAATCCACTCAGTATTTTTCCTCTGGTCATAAGCAGCGCGGGTAACACCAACGGTAAGCGGTGCGGAGCTACCAATAGCCGAGAACCGAACTCGATGCAGGCCAGGATAAGGTCTCAAGCATGTAAGCTGGTGGCTGGCTGTCGAAATGCACAGTCATGGCTCTGCCTGGACGTGTCGTGTGTTCCAAAGTACATAGCTCCGCTAGACGTGACTCGTGTCTGCAACCAGTGGGTGATTTGGGCATCATCGCATGCAGTGTCAACGTCCGGTGTATATCTTACTCAGTCATCCATTATGATACATGATAGGTCGCCTGTTCCGATATCCTGACGCCTGCCGCTGCAAAACGGACATATAAACGGACGTGGTTTCCCTGCTCCAAGTTAATTTTTCATCCTTCCAAGCCCACCGCCGATACTCAGTCTTATCAGACAACCCAACTACACCTCGATCCAAAAAGGGGAAGAAAAAAAAACACCCACAATGCCTACTCACCTCAAGCGCATTCTCACAGCCGTTCTGGCTATAACATTAGCAGTCCAATCCTCAATGGCCTCCCCGCCCATCCTACACAGACAAGACAACACGGCTTCCAACCCAAGCCCACGCGGGCAAGGGCCCGAAATCCAGTTCGGCCACTGCTACACAATCAAGAACAAGAACGGCGAACCGCTAGGCCACCAGCCCTCCGCCTGGAACTACCTCCGCTTCGGCGCCGGCACCAAGCCAGCCCGCTTCAAAGTGTGCCAGAACCTGGGCCAGTGCAAGTCTCCAAACACAGACTACCAGGTCCTGCTGAACCGGGCGCGGTTCTGGCTCTTCGACGTTGAGGGCAACTATTACTCGCCAAGGGGGGACTTTGTCGCCGCCAACTCGCCCCCGTTTGGCTCCAACAGGAACCTCTATCCCGCCGGCGGCGACTACAGGTACTATGTCGACTTCTGGGGCGAAAACGACTGCTCTCGTCCGGATGCTCGTCCCCTGGGCCAGTGTCCTGTCAAATTGCGCATCGACAATCTGCGAGACGACAAGGGGTTGGTTATCCAGGACGGCTACTTGAAGGCTGCTGCTTCGGGGGATGACGTTGTCGTCGTCACTTTTGAAGACGCAAAGTGCCCGGATGAGTAAACAATTTACCGGGCTTGGGGACGTTGAGGGCCCAAAAGCGGATTTTTGTTGCAAACTTTTCACGCTGCGCTCTATTTCCTATGTCGTATGGAAAATCAAACGTATGGCTGATTCAGGCCTCGCAAGGTTCGCTGCATGAAGCTCTCCATGAGGGCTTGAGCTCGGCCAACCTACAGAAAAGTCCTTTCTTTACCGACGCGTTCTTTTGTTCTCTGGCGTTACAGAAGCGACGCACCCTTGGGTTGTGGCCTCGGCTTGCACGGTTGACGGTGTCATTTTGCACCACACTTGTAATTGCAGAGTGTAACTAGTCACGCGTCAGCAATTATCTAAAGCACGCGGTTTGTGTACCTGCAGTGCCATGGATGCTTGCCATGCTGCTGATGGAGCTTCTTTGCTGCCTTTGGCCTTTTTGGCTGTGATTTTTCAACTTGTGATACTCTGGGACCTGGACAAACTTCATACATGGCTTTGACCGAAATCGTAGCTCTGATTGTACTTGGATTCCCTTGCTGTTTATCTAAACAGCACAAGTTGCGTGAAGTTAGTTCTAAACTCCATTATGACGTACAAATCTGAGTCATGGCCAGACTACTAAAACTTGGGTGTAAAGAGACTGTATGGACGGGATTTTTTGCAAGGCCATGGCGAACTAAATGTCTACAGGTTTCTACTTCCAGTTTACCACCATGCACTATGCTCCTGAGGAAAAAGCACAGTTCCCCAACCGGCACAGCGTCACTGAAACGTGGCGAGTACCAAAAATATCAACGGCCCTGGTAGTCTCGAAGCCAGCAGCTTCGTACAATGGGAGCCGGCCGGCGTCGCAACCAGATAGCAGTCTCTCCCCTGCTCCCTGGCCTGCTGTACGCCCCAGTTCAGTAGCATTCGCCCAATGCCTCTCCTTTTTTGCCGAGGATCAACACCATTGCATTGCCTGAGAGCCAGTGCGAGACAATTCCTATGCCGTGATCAAGTTTTGATAGCGTATTCTTTGATCCTCGCCATTATAGCATGACCCGAGACGGGTGGGTTTGCGGCACTTTGACGCCCTCGGCATTCCATCGACGCACGATTGATTGAATATTGCCTGTAGGCTGCACTTCGAGCGAATTTCTGAGTGTATATGTAGGTAAAAAGGATCCTATAAGATAGTCGCAGCTTGCAATCAGGCGAGCAACGAAAGACGAGCAGCGCCGGCGAGCTCACAGTGGCCATTGGCTCCATGTCTTGGCTGGTATCGCCAATCGAAAACTGTCGATGCTGGGCATTTCCCATCTAAAGAGAGTAGATTTTTCAAGGGCATTGGCAAGAGGTTGCGACCAAGGATACCCTGAGCCGGTATGTTTCCAAACTCACTGGCATTCCTGAATCCGTCTTGGTTACGCCACCTAGGAAGGTCACTGATGAATTTCCAATCGCCAGACGGATATCGTGCATCGCCGGCCGACAAACCACCAGGATCGAGACCATACCGTACAGTCTCCCGGGTATTTTAAACATTCACATGCCCATGCTATGCGGCGAAGGGGCCATGGCTTTTCAGCGAGTACATACAAGAGGAAATCATTCGGAAGTACAACGACATGTCAGCTTTTGCTTGTACCGGGGACCCGACCCCCCTCTGGATTCATGCATGTCCTGGCACCATCTCCATCTTGTTTCAAAACCGGTGCCATTCAAGACGAAAGCAAGGCCAGCGATGGCACCCTGCACTGGGGCGACCGGCTGAAAACGCAGTTCTCCACGGCCAACCAACCAAGGCGTGTATGTACTTGCCCAATGCGACAGTCAAGGGCCACCGATATCGTGGTGTCGTGATGCTGCACTACCAAGACCCATCTTTTCGCGGCATCATAGAAATCGGGCGCACGGAACTCAGAGCCAATTGGAGTCTCGGTGGTGGCCCGTCCCTCGTCGAGATGGCGTCTAAACGATATATGCACATTGAATTTGTGCCAGGGAATAACAAGTCAAGTCCGGATTTTGAGTATTTTGTCCTCGTCATACAAATAGGCGCTTCTGCCAGACAAGCTCCATATTGTCCCACTTGGACCTGATAATGTGATGATGTGACGCACAGCATAACGATCTAAGCTGTTTTAGTCTAAAGACCACGTAGCGCGCACGGAAATATGATATTGCGCCAAGGCATGTGTGGAGCCGAGCGCCCCTGTTGAAAAGGGCGCATAATTCCCTCGTTCCAAAGGATCGCTCTTCAATATTACAGAGATTCCCATCATTCAATGCCAAGATGCCCTGCTTGCGTGGGAGAATCTGCATTAATACTTGACATGCCCACACTTGGTGTGTCAAGTACCAGCCATCAGTCACCCACCACCAGTCCGCCTCGAAAATAAGCTCGACGAGACCATCGTCCGGACATCTTCCTTCATGACAAGCGCTTACCTCTGGCTGCACTTTCCCTTGAAAATGTGGTCATTAGCTCAGGCCACTATGGCCGCCCACGTCTTCTACAATGTGTTTACCATACAAGCGACCATCCCGTTCGACTTCTCAAAACCCAATGCGGCAATGCCATTCTCAGACTACATATCCACCAGTGTCAAGATCCAGAGCGACAGCGGTGCTATATCCGGGTCATACACGCCAATTATAGATACAGGAAGCTGTGGCTTCGTAATCTCCGCAGCCGATCTCTCTGACTGGACCCAGGATGACGCGTCCGGACATCCCGAGGGCTGGGAATTCCTTTCTAGCAGCAAGATTCTGTATACCGGGCATTGGATCCCCAAAGACATCTACTTTACAAACGCCAAAGTTGAGGTCAAGGCCCGGATACCAATTCTTGCCGTCGAAACGAAAACACATTGCCCCACCTACAACAGAACCGCCGACAATGGTCTGTGTCCTACGCCCGCGAGTGCGATACCAATGCCGACTGGAATCAGGCTCATGGGCGTCGGATTCGGAAGGGAACATGACGGCATGCCCCAGGGTACGCCTGACAAGAACGCATTCATCAATATCCAAACCATCAATGGTGTGAATGTAACTGGCAACCCCAACTTTAGGAGCGGCTTCATCCTCTCTAAAGATGGCGTCACCGTCGGCTTGACGGCCGAGAACACAGCCGGCATGGACTTCACCAAGCTTGCTATGCGAGAAGAGCCTGCCGACGCAAGAGATTGGGCGCAGGTGGAAGGGTGCATGTCTGTTGACGGATCCAAGTCTTTTACGGGCCCGGCACTCATCGACACGGGCATTTCTCAAATGTACATGACTCTTCCTTTGGGGACCAAAGTGAATCGCACCAGTCCCCCGGTGCTAGATGATGGGTCTGTTGTCGAGATAAAGATTGGGCCGTCTGCAGATGGCAAATATATCTCGAGCGAGAATTTCACCGTCGGCGATACAAACGGCATGGATCAAGGCGTGGTCCCGTCAAGCGTGAGGTTAACGCTAGCAGACCCTGCAAAGAATGCACCCCACTTCAATACAGGTAGACACTTTCTGCGCAAATGGAATATTGCGTTTGATAGTGATGGAGGCTATTTCGGCCTTGCCAGGACAGGCTGAAACCATGCTACCTCTTCCTGCCGTCATGAGCCTTGCAATGCATTCAAGAGAACAGCACTCCGTGTCCCATCTGGTCTCTGCACTCACCTGAAGGTATCGGGATTTAAGGATCACCTTACAAGCCTTGGGGGAAAAGCTGTATGTAAGGGTGGCTTGACCCTTGAGAAAGAGAACTGCAACTCGGGGCATAGCTCTGTCACCTCCACCTCTTCAACAACTTTTATAAGATGTTCATGATTGATTATCAAGACAACACTTACCAATGTTGCCGTCTTGTCTGGAGTCGCTCTTGCTGCTCCCATATCTTCAGTCATGGTGTCGCACTTCAAGTTCGAAAGGCACAATTAGTGCGCAATCCGATGCTCTACCCGAGAGCCAGCGACACGATCTGCTATCACAGAAGAAATGAATAAAAAAAGGCATGCTGCTCTGATGGCTAGAGACCCCAAGGAAGTTAAAAAACTTAACAAGGCGTTGAGGGATACAGGGAAGAAAAACTAAGTTATTATTTTTTCTTCACTAGGTCCTCAGTGTTTTTCTTAACCTTCCCTCCTCTATCTTTCTTTTTACCTGCATCCCTCGCCGCCTTGTTAAGTCTTATAACTTCTTTGGTGTCTCTGCCTTTAGCGAAGTATTTCTCTTTTTGTTAATTTCTCTTGTTATAGCAGCTTTGGCTGATTTGCCCCCTGAGTCCCGTCAGCTTTCATAGTAGGTTATCTATTTTATCCTCGAGACAAATAATTATACAAGCATGACACAAGTATCGCAAGCGAAAATCACAGGAAGAGACCAAAGAATACACTATTTACGTATGATAACCCGTCAGACAAGCTAACATGATTAGTGATTCATCACGGCACGCCAATTGAAGCCATCTTGCGATATCCTTAGCCACTGACTTCATGGAAGCAAACTTGAAATGGCCATACACAACATATATCAGCGAGGTCTCGTCCGCATTGAGAGTTTGGCTTATTTGTCTCCTATATAAAGAAGAGGCCAGAAATAGGGGCGGAGCCAAAAAGGACTGAAATCTAGCTTAACTGGTATTTTAGGAAGCTAAAAAGGCAATTAAAAAGATAGCTAATAAGGTAATTAAAAAAGGTGCCGAGTAATAAAATATTCCGATTTTTACCTTAGCCCGGAGCCTTGTCGAGGAATACGCTTTTTTTTAAGTATAAACTTGTTTACAATAACCTAACCGGACAGTTCCAAGCGTGGTTAACCACTAAGTGTAAATTTAAACCCTCAGTAATAAAGTAAAACTAGGAACATTTTATTACCTAGCAGTCTTTTTAGTAGCTTTATCGGCTACCTTTATTATTTAGCTATTTAAGTGCTAGTCTAGCTAGATTCTGGGTACTTCTTTTTGTCTCCGCCCCCATTTCGACCTTCTTCTCCATATCCCTGAACAATTAAATATGTATATCTTAAATATACGCGCGATATAGGTTATAGAACTTACACACACAGCGGCAAATAGACGTACATGCTCTGGCGCAATGGCGGTAAGAGTCTCCATCGACAACGTTCCAAGCTCATGTATTTGCTGCAATGCACGCGGTACACGGGTGAAACCAGTTTGGAGATACCTGTTGCTGCAATGTTCGTATATCATGCTATTCTCTATAGTTTAGGGCAAGTTGCAGGACCGTCGTAAACGAGTAGATTTACATCAAGGATACCAAAATCAAATGGGCCTTGTGCTACAATTGAGGTGTCACGCGGAAATGGGCTGGTTACACAAGGGCTACGGTCACGGGATTAGGGCAGAAGGTCCTCACCGACTTCTTATATAAATAGACGGCTTTAGTCCCTCAAGGCCTTAAGGAGAACCAAGGACCTTTGATACCAAAGACTGTTATTAGATGAATTGAGTAATTGCTCCAAGCTAGGCCCTTGTCACATGAGGGATGTGAGAGTGCATGTCAACTTGCCAGCACAGTCATCAATTTAGCACGATCTCTCTCTAGACTCTACGGAGTACTCGGAAGGAACAAGCAGGCCTAGTGTCTCAGAACCGGTGTCACATAGCTTTGATGCCCATCGCAAGGGACGAGAAGTGTGGTTTGTCGCAATCCCAAGTTGACAGGTAACAGGCGGGTAGCAGGCGGGCACCACGATACTGCAGAGGGTCGCGGATACAGACTTGGAAAACTTGATAAATAGAATACAGGCACTGCGGAATCAAATTACTGGAGAAGGGAAAAGTCCGACTGGTCTTGGCCGCCAGAGGTTTCAACCTCCAACTTTCAAACCGGCAACCTTGGTGCGATATTGACCCGTGTTAGTCATCAAGGTCGAAATACCAGCAATTGGCGGGTCAAGAGCTGACCCCACATCCCATATTCACCCCAGACATCCTTTTGAGCTGAGCTGCTGTACCACTCGCGGGGCATCCAAGCTGTTGAACCCGTGCCTAAACTAAACTTCCGACACCACACATATTCAATCTTCTCCGAGCGCGCCTCTTCTCAACGAACCAACATTTTCCTCTCCACGTAACCATCCTCACCACACTTCTGTCGCATTCCACTGATTTGCGAAAACTGGCGTCGCCGCTCGCAGAGCCCACGATGGCGGCAAAGAGCTCCAACCCGCTCATTTCCAACCAGAAGAGCTCCCAGGTGCAGGCCGTCCTCCATCCACTCGTCCTGCTTACCATTTCCGACTACATCACACGGCACACTCTCCGACAACAAAAGGGCCCTATAGTTGGTGCCCTGCTTGGCCAGCAAAATGGCCGCGAGATCACAATCGAACATGCCTTCGAGTGTCATGTGCGAGAAGCGCCCGAGGTTGAAGGCGGCTATCTGCTAGATGCCTCCAAGTTTGGGGCCAGATTAGAGCAAAGTACGAAGCTTGTCCCCTATATGCAATCCATGGACCTCCATGTTTCTAACAATGCAAAGTGAAAACTGTACACAAAGAGCGACAATTAGATTTCGTGGGCTGGTACACCCTCCTACCACTCACAGGCCCGACACCCACAATTCTCCCAATCCAAACCCAGATCCTCGAAGGATGGAACGAGTCGGCCGTGCTTCTAGGCTTCCATCCGGATGAAGTGCTGAACCATTCTGTAGGCGGCAAACTTCCCCTCACCATTTACGAAAACAACTACGAAGTCGACGACCAAAAGGCTGCCAACCCCGATGGCGAGGACAAGAGGATGGAAGACGGCGAGGCTGCGCTGAAACTCAAGTTCAGCGAAGTGCCCTACTCTGTCGAGACCGACGAAACCGAAATGATAAGTATGAACTACGTAGCCGCTGGCGGGGCCAACGCCACGGCTGCATCTGCTCCAGCGTCGACTGTCGCCAAGGACGAGAAACAAGCTTGGTCCGTCGCGTCAACGAGCAAGGGCAAACGACGCCTTGTTGAGCCAAAGGCCTATGAAACGGACACCATAGACGAAACCGGCGTCTCTCATCTCACTAGAGAAGAGGAGGAAATGGTCGCTTCACTAACTACCAAAGCAAACGCCATCAAGATGCTCCATTCACGGATCCGCCTCCTCACCGCCTATCTCGAGCGCCTGCCTCCTTCCGACGTCTCCGGCGAACAGCCAGACAGCGAAACCATGGACACAGATCACACCATTCCATCACTACCCATTCTTCGACAGATCCAGGCCCTCGTCAACCGGTTCGACCTTGTCATCCCCTCAGATGAGGAGGCCTTCAACAAGGAACTGCTCCAAGAAACAAACAACGCCAATCTCGTCAACCTCCTAAGTAGCGTTATGCAGGGCGTCCACGGTGCCAGGGACGTGGGGAAGAAGTTCCACGTTGTCGAGTCGGCCAAGAAGGTGGGGCGAAAGGGCAGGGCCGAGGGTTATCTAGCCTCGCCGGGATTCAATATGCCTGGCACGGGGGACCTTTTGATATAGGACGATACTGGGACATGCCCTTGCGGCGTGGACGGGAGATGGCCAGGTCCTACTTGGGGCTGACGGTCTGTCATGCGCCACAAGTCTACACTGCACCGGCGTGGATAACTCGGTCCACATTTCCATGCGTGGCAACTACTATCCTCGGCCGTGGCCACGGCAGGCATAGCTGTATATAGTTACGACAGTCACACGATGCACAAAAAAAATAAAAAATAAAAATAAAAATAAAAATCGCACGATTCTGATAAAATTCGCTCTCATTTTAATTGTAAAGATACACTGCCTAAATGCGATGTAAGAAACCACATAGCTACAGGATTAAAACGTGCTAGTAGCCAATCTGCTCGCTGCGTTCCTCGCATCAATCCGATCGTCATCATCCTCCTCATTCACACCCGCCAGCCCTGGCACCCTCTGGCTCTCCCTCACATCGTCCTCCTTGCCCTCGGCCTCCTCTGCAACTTTGCCCATGAAGCTACTCGATGTGCTGCGCGTGGCGTCGGATCGACGCGGCACGCCGCTCCATGCATCCCCCTTTGGCCCCTGGCTCGAAGCAAGGCTTGATCGGCGCACAGTGGGGTGCGACTCCCGACCAAGTCGGCTCAAGCCGCCTGATGCGTCAATGGACCGAATGTCCGGGCGTACAGTCTCCAAAAGCGCCAGGGTTCGTCTCTCCGCGTCAATTTCACGAAGGACATAGTCGCGAATGCTGGTTCGGAGATCCGCGGACGTCCTGGCAAACCATTTTCGTCGTTCTTGAACGAGATTGTGCGTCACGCGGTTCGTCTTGTTGTATAGGTTGGCTTCGAATTGACGAGCGTCATCAAGGGCGGTGATGGCTTCGTCAACCTTTTCACGACGCACGCTAGAACTAGCTTTCAGGCGGTCCGCGGCGTTGAGTTTGCCCCTGGTGGCTTCTTGCGACTGGAGGAATTCTCGGATCAGGATTTGGCGGTTGGTGAGGGACTCCTTCACGATGAAGGCATCTTGGGAGTGGTACTGAAACGGGTCACCAATGGCGGCGGCTTGCGCGGTGGCCTGGGCGGCGTGGTAGTCGCCCATGGTCTGGATGACGCGGCCAAGCTTTTTATAGGCGTTTGCGAGGCCGGGATGAGGCTCTTGGACGTGCATGCTGCTGAGCTTGACGCCGTAGTCGGATTCAGCGAGCCCCAGGCCTGCACACGTTAGCATTCGGCGGCGGTGTTGGGTTGGTAAGAGTCTCACGCACCTCTTCTGGCTTTGACCATTTTATCGACCTTGTGACCGGCGTCCATGGTTCCCAGATAGAACAGCTTCACGGTTGGACGAGCGTCTGCTAACTCGGGGGTATCATCAGGGGGAGGGGCAAACTGCTTCAATATCTTTCTGCGGACCCCAGTAGCTGGCTGCTTCATCTTGACCAGTGGACTGTAGCCAAAGTCACTCTCGACAAAGAGCACCATCTCATCGTCTCGCATGAGAGTCTCATTGCTGCAGACATAATTGAACCATCGTTGTATCATTGCCTTTACTCTGTTCTCGTCTTCGTCTGTTCCCGCACCTGCCGCGGTTACTGGAGGCGGGACAGCAGGCACGAGAGCTTCGGGATTGGCCGATATGAGATGCTGTCCGAGCTTGACAAACTCGGAGTGGAGGCGTCTGACATCTCGATACTGCGTGGTTCGGAACGCCGGGAGGTTTGTCTAATCACGATCAGCAAAAGGCACGCAACATAAGGCCAAGTAGCGTTGCAGACGATACCCACATGAACATCGAACCGGAGCACAGGGTCCTTCTTGCCGGTTCGTTCAAGGCCTGTAATCTTGGCCTGGAGCTTGAACTGCGGCCTCTGCTGAGCTGGAGGTATTTTCTGTGCCTGTTCGGCCTGTTGGTTGGAGCCGGGTACTCGCGGTTGGGGTTCGCCGGCTTGCTGGGGAGGTTGGGAAGCATGGGGATGCGATTCACCCGCGAATTCAGCTGCAGAAGAGGCCAAGGTTGCAGACTGATCAAGATCACCGCCCTCAGTGCCTGATTCCGTGGTTGCAGTATCAGACCGCTGGAATCCGTCAGTATCGCCAGATGCTTCCAGGATTCCCGGTGGCGGGCTATATGGGAATGGGGAGCTCCCATTATCGCCAGGAATTGGCGCAAAGCCAGTGCGCGAATGCTGTGGCGATTGCACGGGGCTGCTCCCCCAAGGAGAGGCGGCCGGGTCTTCAGATTCGTTGATTGAGGCACTATAGTCCATTGCGCCGGGCGGTTCGGTTCGATGTGGTGACGACGGTCTCAGCAGCTACGGCGAGTGGCGTCTAGGATGGATGACGAGGGCAGTGGTTTACTGTAGAAGCATGGCTCTATAGTGGCAAGCGGTAAGCGTTCAGAGTCGTCTGTGGCCTGTTGTGGTTGCCGCAACGGAGGGGGTCTCGGCCAGCAAATGAAGCTTGGTAGTGAGGCAGGTTGGCAGGCTGCGATGTCAACGGGTCCAAGTCCCGACTTTAGAATTCCGCATGGTCCCATCCTCGGGGCACATGCACCAGACTCTCTCGGTGCTCTGGGCCTGGTTAATGTGGGTGGCGACGAAGCTTCTTGATTGGCTTGTTGGTCGGCAAAAGGCCCACTCTCCTTTGTCTACACTTCTACTCTGTAGGCTCTAACTAGTACTTAGTGCCTCCAGCATAGACCAGTTGACACCCATTATTGATTGACTTGGACATGACACTGCTGGGTCCCAACCCAGTTGACGTCGTTCCGGGTCTTCGGGTCTAATCCGTATTTTCTCAATCATATCCTGCATGGATTTTATACCGGACACTTCTTTGGATTATCAACGATGGCTCGCAAGCGTACACGATGCACAAATGGACACACCCACAGAAACAAGAAACCAACATGGTATGTACTATGAAGCGGCATTTTTGCGTATGTGTGTGCTCCGTCAGAAGACTCCTAATAGCTGAAAAGCTTCGAAGATGTCTTTCCCGAGCCTCGCGAGCCAACCACAGGCTCGGAAGCGTAACTTTGTTCACGGATCTCCTACTGGACATACTCCCGGGTTAGGTCAGCGACCTCTGTAGATTCTATATGCTTTGCTGCCAAATCTATTGCTATTGTGCAACAAGTTTCTGTGGTCCTTTGGCATGTCATGGAGGGCTTCTGAGCTGAATTGCTAAACGATGTGCAGTGAGCTTACGGCAACATCTTTGGGTCCGGTGTCCCGCATCACTTTGTCTGCCATGTCGAAAAATATACGGTTTACGCCTTTGAGGAATCTCGCGAACGGATTCTGATGAATAGTCCCGTATTTTAGGTCGTCATCTCGTTACTCGAATAATCACGAGTACCAAGTGACGTAAAAAGGTGGCGCATGCCTGATCAGGTTAGTGCGGGGCTGCAGCTGGCAAAAATTCTAGCGTGGAATGATTTAAGACCATCAGAATCATTCAAGGTCGGCAAATGATGATTCTTCAGCGGCACGAACCAGCTTTCTTTTTCCAATTCCTCCTCACAAGGCCCATACTCACAGCCGGCTTATTCAACGGCTGAATCTGCATCCTCGGCACAACGCCGTCTTCACACACAGTCACAATGGGCAAAAAGAGATCAAGAGAGGAGGGCAAAGACGCCCCGCCCGCCGACGCTGGCGTCGACAAAATGGACGAGGACAGCAGTGATGATGAGGTACACGACGCAGCAGGGCGCCACGGGATATCGTCGGTATGCTGACTCGGCCAACAGGACTTTGACATGGTCAATGTCGAATTCGAGTGGTTCAACTTTGACCCCGAGATCGACTTCCACGGCATCAAATCGCTTCTCCGCCAGCTCTTCGACGTGGACGCCAGCCTGTTCGACATGTCGGCGCTCGCCGACCTGGTTCTGTCCCAACCAACAATCGGCTCAACGGTCAAGGTCGACGGCAAGCAAACGGATGCCTACGCCCTGCTCACCGCTCTCAACACCCACGTCCACCGCGACACGGCGCCCATGAAGGACGTGCTGAAATACCTAGTCGACAAGGCGCAGACGAATGCCTCGCTGGCCGCGGTTCCCGAGCTCGTCAACGCCGGTAAACACATTGGTTTGGTGCTCTCCGAGCGCCTCATCAATATCCCGCCCGAGATCGGGCCCCCGCTCTACTCGATGCTCATTGACGAGGTAGAGGCCGCCGTGGAGGACAAGGAGCCGTACGAGTTTTCGCACTACCTGATTGTGTCCAAGACCTATCAGGAGGTCGAGTCGACGCTGGACGTGGAGGGCCGCAAGAAGAAGAAGGCCAGGGAGGAGTCGTCGACCTTTTTCTTCCACCCCGAGGATGAGGTGCTGCACAAGCACGCGCTGGCGTACGGGAGCTACTCTTACACCAAGGAGAACGACTCGGTGGCCGACAGCAAACGAGCGTTCCAGGAGGCGGGTATCAAGCCCGCCGGACACATGATTTTGATTGAAGCGAGCAGGTTCCCCGGCGCTGTCAAGGCCATTGCCGACTACTTGCAGCCACAGCAATAGACGTGAGCCGCACGAATAAATAAACAATGATTTATAGCTTCAATGCTAGATATTCCAAATGCCTAATTTTGCATCATGCCTCTCCCACCGCCCGCAAATTCATCCTTTCCCAAAACCACCTCTTTCGACCTGGTGCTAGTCTTTCCCCTCCAGCCTCTGCATCAAGTACTCAACCTCGACCTCCTTGGTCAAGGGAATCACAAAATCCTCGTACATGGCCACCACGGCGTCCACGTCAATCTTGCCATGCTCTTCAGAGTCGTCCGAGACGGAGGGGTCCTTTCCATACGTCAGCGCCTTCAGGCGCAACCTGGCGAGCACAGACTTCTCGACCGCCTTGTTCGTGATGCTCTCGGCGATGCCCGCCCGGTCATTCGCCAGAATCAGCTTCTTGTAGGTTTCCGGGTCGGACCGGTACTTGGACTCTGCGACGAATTTCCCGAAATGAATCCTCCGCGACAGCGCCTGCAAACAGGCAAAGTCGGACGTTGCGGCGGAGCCATAGTTCTCCTGCGACTCGCCGCGGTCCCGGCGTCCGAAGTCGGGGCACACGGCGGGCAGGAACTTTTCAATGTAGAACTTCTTGATCTTGTCGTTGACGTTGACGTCGTTGGGGTGCAGGATCTTGGGGTAGTTGAGGGGCTTGAGGATCGGGGTCTGCACGGCGTCCGGGAAGAAGGGGTATTCGTCGGGGGATTCGTACCGGCGGATGAGGGATTGGAGCTTCTCCTGTTCGGAAAAGTACCAGTCGAAGAAGGAGAGGTTGCTGTTGGGGATTTTGATGGCGCCGGGCGTGTAGATTGTCTGAAAGGGGGGGGGGGTGGAGGGACTGGTCAGCTTTGGCGTTGAGGAGCGTCGACAGAAGGTGCTGGCAGATGTACCTTGTTCAGAGCGAATTGGACACGCTCAATGAGGTGAAACGTGATTGTATCTTCTAGGCGACTGCGAGGGTATTAACGAGGCGTCGACACGCATTGACGGGCGGTGTGGAAGAGCGCGGTTTGTACGTCGGGGACTGACATCAATTGGAAGCGAATTCGGGACAGGTCCAATACCTTGGAGGCATCGTTCATGTCAACTGCGGAGTCCATGGTTGGCAGCGAGGGAGCCGGAAGCAAGAGGCGATGCTACAATGGCAGCAGGGCGTTTGTTTTCGGGCAGCTGCGGAAGATAGTTGCGGGGGATGTTGGAGGTGATGTATTCCGGCCATGTGGGATGGATGAAACCTCGAGCTGACAACTTTGGCTCCGAATGCGGCCCAGCGGTGTGGCGTCAGCGAGGGGCAGCGGCGTTGGACGGTTCAATGTTAGGTTGGGCACGCGCCAGGCACTTGGCCATATTCGGCTAAGCGCATTGCCTGCCAGCCATCTCTCCAGGTTTTTTTTTTCAACGCATGTAAGCCATGTAAGTCATGCCAGACTTGCAAGTCTGCGACTCTCAGGTCATTTTATACAAATTCTTCGGATAAATAGAGATCAGAAGGGCCATAGCTACTGACAGGACTTGCATACCGTCATGACATTGGTTTGTAGCCGGGAGGAAATTCAATTGGAAATGGCACATGGTTGCATCTTCTCGGCTGAATATGTACATTTTTTCGGTATAAAGTTCCCGTATTCATTGTCACCTAACCATCTCCAGGTTCCGCCTCAGACCATCCTACGGCGGCTCCAACACGTCTCTCTCCTGCAGCGTCGCCATTATGCAATCGATTGATGTCTTCCATTAACAGAAATTAGGGCCAAGTCTCAGCAACGCCACCCGGCTCCCTCTTTGCTTCTTGCCTCTGCTTCGAGCTTATGTGGTAAACCCCCTTCCTAGTTTGAATCAACGGATCGTTGCTCGACTTGATTCCATGCACGCCTCCGCTTTCAGGCACAGGACTAAACGCGATTTTCTGCTGCTTATTCGCATTGTCCTCGGCAACCTTGTTGATCTCAATCGTGCCCACGGGGACCCATTTCGTGCTTTTGTACGGAATGGTAGCATCATCCAGGATGTCATCGGGACCTGCAACGTTGGCCTGAAGATTGAAGACGATGGGTGTTGTGGGAAACCTGTGCAGGAGATCGTCCTCCAGGTAGTTGGGGTCCTTGGGCGCACCATTCTCGGGGAACAAATGTACTCCGTCTGCGGGGTCGAGACGGTATCGCACATTTACGCTGTCACCGTTTGCGTTGGTTAAAACGTGGGTGTTGGGCTGGTAATATGTAATGGTGCCGTAGTTGAAGGGGTTGGGCTTGGGAGAGTCGACGAATCTAAAGGCAGACGGGTGTGTTCCCAACCACGTCTTGAATACCTTGACTGCCTGTTCAAAATCCGCTTTCTCCTTGGAATAGCTCCCGCCTTGTTTTACAGCATCGTCGAGGAGCTTCTTGGCAACGCCTTCGGCAAAGAAGAGCTTGAGGAACGTCAAGAAGTCTTGGCCGTTGTTGGCGGCGAAGCCGTTGAAGGAATGGGCAATCAAATCAGTGTATGTCCATCCATCAATCAAGAAGCGAATGGCGAGTCCCTTGGGGGTGGCTTGGTTGTCTGCGTCGGGAATGTTGGGGATGCCGCCGCCAACGGAGAATCGACCGATGATTGCGGTGGAAGGCTGGTTGAAATGAGCGGCTGTAGAAAGGGATTTCGCCTCGTTGGATGGCTTGAATTCTCCCTCTACGAGGAGACCTTTGGCGTGTGCTGGTCAAGGTGAGCTTCATGCCAGAGTGACGAATCCAGGATGGAAGCTGCAGTGATGCCATGCTTACTTGTGCGATAACCGGCATGGTAGCCGAACATGGAGGTCATTTGGTCGACCAACTCCCGGGGGAGATCCTGGATGGGATCTCCTGGCGCGGTAGAAGCGCCATCATGAGCCGAGTCGGGAGCCATGATGAGGAGGGAGGGAGAATGACCTGGACCTGGAAAAACAAGTGTGCGAGTGGTCGTTTGAAACTTGGCAAGTCCGCTTGAGTCTTGATGGTGAAGCCAGACTTGTGTCTCAAGTCGATTCTGAAGCCTCACAGGAGATATTCATGACAAATGATAATTGCAATCACGTACGGAATCGGGGGAGAGAGGCTTTCATAAGGAACCCAACCTTGGATCAGGCTGTTCAGGCAGCAAGCCTGTTATCAAATCGAACGGAGACTGACTGACTTGAACCATGTGCGCGCTTAATGCCGCCTGGCAAACCTCCGAGGGTTGCATCTAGCTCTGTATTCCCCCAGTTGCCCGGCCGTTGGGCATGGCCTCTGCCGAGCATCATCACACCGCTGGTTAGAACATCGGGCAGCATTCATACGTCGCTACCAAGAAACGGGAGGGGGATGCCGTTTTGCGTCCATGGTATTGGGCCGCTGGCCGTCCGGGAGAGCAGCGCCAGAGATGCAGTGCGGGAAACTGAGCCATCAATATGCATGTCAAATGCACATCAGCACATCAGACGGCTGACGTGGTGTGGGCAGTCAAGCCTGGCAGAGTCTCGAGGCCAGCTGAGTCCGGGCTCGGTCCGCCACTTGGAAGCAGGTCCTCGTTTATTGCTATGAGACCGCGGTGACCGGAACCATCGAGTCAAGGCCTGCATGGATGCTTTCGCCGTTGTGGATGGAGACCCAGTAGGAGATGCCGACGACGCAACACAGCATGCATGCAGTGACTCTGGTTTGAAGAAAATCGTGTATCGTCCCGGCATTATCGGTGATGTTGGGGCTGAGCATAGAGCAGACTGCGTCTTACATACATGTCAAGTTTTTTCTTTTTTTGGTGTTTTTTCTGGATGTTGCTCTGAACGACCTGGCAACAAAGAGTCAGTCGTGAAAGCTGGACATCGCCGAGCAATCCCGTTGACCGATGATGGCGTGTTGAATGTAAACTTGCGTCCAGGCATATATCGACACCTGGGTGCAAGACTGCCAAGTATATAAATCAACGGCACAAGCAACGATTTCCCCCATCTTCGAAAACTCTTCATACTGCTTCTCTAGACGTTAAACTCTTGGGTTTGCCTCATCGCTTCCAATCACTTCTCTCTCCACTCACTTGACTACTACCACTACCAATCTGCCTCCTCATCATGGCTGTTTTGTCAGGCATCACGGACAGACTCCATCAGATCCTCACCGGTCACAACACCCACGATGTAGAACAGGCCACGATGGAGGTCTGGGACAAGGGAGTCTTCTTGAACGAACTCCATAGACAAGGTTTGGTGCTTGCCACGGACAAGGACGGCAACCTGAGCGGAGACCTCGCGGCCACCCGGGGTCTTAGACGGGGAACCTACAAGGGCACTCGCTTGGCCTTGACTGAGCTTTACAACCTGATTCAGGAGGCGTATGTTGACTTGAGCCGCTCCACGGACACCATTCCGCTTTGACGTGACTGACCAACTCTTCAGTGTTTTTTCCCAATTCGACACCCAGTGCTATGAACCCATCATCCCCCAGCGCCGAAGGCTGGCAGAAAAGCAAGCCATTTATCAATGGAGCAAGACGGCTGATGACGGATATCCTCCCCATCTTCATGTTCCCAAGGGGCAACAGGTGACGGTTGCGAATGACGATGGCCCAATCTTCAACCAAGCTGAGCTCGGCCTTGTTAGCACCATCTCACAGGCCCTTTCTTTTCTTGTCCCTCAAGAAATCTCCCACCAAGGCACGCCGTACTATGGACCTACTCTTGCTGATGTTGAGGCGTACAATCGCGAGCATCCGAGCCCCAGCACCGACATCATGGACGGTAAGAACATTGGCTTTTTGCCCGATTGGTTTTCGGATGCTCGCTTTGCCCAGCAGCACTTCAGCGGCGTCAACCCAACAACCATTGCCGCCGCTCCCGCTGCAACAGTCCGGGAATACGTGGCCCAGGCCAAGAAGCAGGGCCTCACCCACATGGTAGAGCTGCTGGAGGCGGGCAAAGACTTGCTCATCCAGGACTACTCCTACTTCCGCAAGGCAACCGGCCTCGGCGACAACGAGACCTTCATCAACGTCATCTACGAGCTCGACAACCCCAAAGACCCAAAGCCCACGGGAAGGACAGCGAGCCGATATGGCTGTGCCTCGGTCATCATCTTCCAGCTTCACGACGATGGCCGCCTCCACCCCTTGGCCATCACCATCGACTACAAGGGCAGCCTCGACAACTCCGTCACCATCTTCAACCATCGCCTGCACCCCGATGCCCTGGGGAGCGTGACTGAGGCGCAGGACTGGCCATGGAGGTACGCCAAGACTTGCGCGCAGGCGTCCGACTGGGCAAGGCATGAGATTGCCGTTCACCTGGTCGAAACGCACTTGGTCGAGGAGGCCATCATCGTCGCCACGAACCGCACCATCCCCGAGGACCATCTCTTGTACGAGCTCCTCAGCCCGCACTGGTTCAGAACACTGTCACTGAACAAGGCTGCCCGCGACACGCTCGTGCCCTATGTCGTTGCCAGAGTCGCGGGCTTAGGACCGAACTCTGACCCCAGCAAGTACACCACCAACCGCTGCTTCAAGTTCATCCAGCACGCGTACAAGAACTTCAACTTTGTCGACAAGTACATCCCCAACGATCTCAAGAAGCGTGGCTTCGATGTGGAGGGCGAAGCAAAGTCCTGCAAATACCGCAATTACCCATACGCAACCGACATGGTTTTCCTCTGGCACATCATGCGCGACTTTGTCAAGTCCGTCCTGGGGACAAAGTACAAGTGCGCCGCCGACATCAAGAATGACCCATACCTTGCCGATTGGTGCCTGGAGATCCAGACAAAGGGCGAGCTTGCCAGTTTCCCAACCGTGACAACGGTCGACGAGCTCATTGATGCCGTCACCATGTGCATCCACATCGCCTCCCCCCAGCACACGGCAGTCAACTACCTCCAGGACTACTATTACAGCTTCGTCCCCTCCAAGCCGCCTGCCCTCTGCACGCCTCTTCCCACCTCTCTCGCCCAGCTCCAGTCCTACACGGAAAAGGAACTGACCGAGGCTCTTCCCATCGGCACAGAAGGACCCAAGTGGAAAGACTGGCTGCTCGCCGCGCAGCTGCCCGAGCTTCTCAGCTTCAAGGTTGACCAAAAGTACAATCTGTTGACGTATGCACAGTCACTGTACAATGTGAACAAGAGTAGGACGCAGAAGGAGAACGAGAGGGGTGAGCACAAGGTGATGAAGGAGGCGGCTGCGAAGTTTTATAGTCGGCTGAAGGATTGCGAATTTGTCTTCGAGCTTGTCTCTAAGTTTCAGACGCCCGGGACCGTTGAGTACAAGGTTTTGCAGCCCGAGTTCGCGGCTGTCTCGATTTTGATCTAAGTAGAGCTACTCGAGGCAGCGCTGAGGTTGACTCCGTACCTAGATGGTTGATTATTTCTTTTTTAGCCCTGGGGGAGGAGCTGTTGCCTAGGGCTTATAACCTCGATGACTGGCTAGTGGTGATGCAGATTGTACTTGACGTGGAAGTAGTTTGAGATATGAAAAAATAGACTGCCTTGCTCGACCAGCTCGTTCAATCAACCACCGCGAGGCTAAATATGTGGTCCACTAGTTGAAAAGGAGAGGCGGTAAGCTATTTCCCGGCTTTATGATGTGTGGTTCCAGTCATATTTGAGATATTTCGAGAGAAGTTCAAGATAACGTGAGATTGAAACACCATGTTATGTAGGGTCGGGAGCATCTCCCAAGAAATGGTGCACGGAGGAACATGCTGGCCACATTTGGAGATGGCTGGTGATGGTTGGAGATGCATCGGCGGGGTGGCGTGGCTGCTCTGACCAATGACTGCTGAGATATAGGGTAAGCGTGTACCAGACCCTTTCAATGTTGTCCCCTTTGTGCCTGGCGCCAATCTGGATGCTGGAAAGCTCCCAGCTGCGCGTCTCCATGTCGCGAAGTGCCCCCACATGTACCAGCATGTACCAAAGTACGGAGTACGCATGCATGTCGTCCTTCGTCTGTCCCTGTCGCAATTTGCTGCTTCAACACACCAGCCGGCATTAAAATCCACACGATCAGCTTTGCATCGCCCACCCATGCGGCCATTGCGCTGTTAGACCTCTTTATTTTGTCCCGCCAGACCCTCGGTTGGCCGTCGAGCCATGGCTGATCAAGACAGCCACTATGACTTCCTCGAAGATGTCGATGACGAGCAGTCCATTATCTCGGTACGTCCAAGCTTGATCCGGCCCCAGCCTCACCCATGCAGGTCACATCTGTAGTCCAGGTGTGAAACGGCCCAATTGAATGTTTGAGCCCTCGCCGTCCAGATGACTGGCGTTGCCCCAAACAGCAGCGCAAACCACCCGCAGCTTCGCCGTGGTCGTGTGACGGCCGATTCTTGCACCTCGCAGCTCCGCGCACACGACCTCCCCTACTCGGCCCTCGAGCCGCTTCAGCGTTCCCTTGCTTCCGCTTCTGCACCGATTCTGTGCAAGTTCTGCTAACATGGTGGTCGATGTTGTGCAGACCCGCGGCTTGGAGGCATTCGGGCGCAAAGTCACCACCACGGCCTCCCATCTCATGGCCCCCAATGCCGAGGCCACCGCGCACCATTACCAGACGGCTATGAAGCAGGTCCACAGGCAGTTGACTCGTCCCTCCGTACAGCAGAGCGTCTTTGCCCTGGCCAGAAGGACCCCCACAGAGATTGTGCGCTCCAGGCTGTCTACCGCCGAGATTCAGCATCGCGCCGTCAGTTTCCTGCCCGACGACTTGCTATCCAACATTCCCGAAGATGATAATGCCTACTCGCTGTTTCAAGGCTTCAAGGCCAGCTTCCCTGAGATGACCGACGAGGGCAAGAAACACCGTCGCCGCGTGTCGAGGGGCAGAACATTGCTGGATGACAGGCAACGAACCGGGTCCCCCGGGCCTGTCGCGAGTCTGTCGCATGTACAAAAGGAAAAGGCTGCCATGATGCATGAATTTGAGCTTCTTGGCGTTCGGAAGAGCATGGCCAGTAGCGAGATCCGTGAGATAGACAACAAAATCGCAAACTTGCAAGGCATGCGCAAGATTATCTTGGAACGGCTTGCAGGTTTGGAGCAAGAAGAGGCACTTCTCGAGCATGACAGTGCGTATGGCCTCTGTCCCCGCCCCTCTCTGTCACTACTACATGGCTACATGAACGCTTATGTGTCTTGAAATGCTAATCCTCGTTTTTCTTTTTCTCCTTCTTGGCAGTTATCGATGTTGAAGGACGGTTAGAAGTAGCACAAGCTTTAGCAGACGAGGCCGAGGTCATTGCACGAAACACCCCGACCAAAGATGAAGTCGACCTTGTTGGCGACGCCGATGACCACGATCCCGAATTCATGTCACAATCCGTATACGAGAAGCTGCCCGGCTCAAAAAACAGTACACCAAGGAGACCGAAGAAGGTTCACCGTCGCAAGTCCATGCCTATCCTGCACGAGCATTTCGAGGCCGGGTCCAATATACGGCAGCTTCGCGCGCACAAAGACACTGTAACCGCCATGGACTTTGATGCGCCATTCGGCACCATGGTGACTGCTGCTCTCGACGATACCGTCAAAGTTTGGGACTTGAATGCTGGACGGTGTATAGGAATATTGAACGGACACACTGCCTCTGTCAGAACATTGCAGGTTGAGGACAACATTCTCGCCACTGGCTCTGCCGATGCTACCGTTCGTTTGTGGGATTTGAGTCGGTCAAGTTATGATCCCCACGGAAACAGCTACGGCAAGGAGGACGAGGAGGACGAGGATGCCATTGCGTTTGAAAACCCCAACGACCAGCCTATTGATCCTCCCGAGGACAGCATGAACGACTGTGAGCTATACACCCTGCAGGCCCATGTAGACGAGGTCACAGCATTGCACTTCAGAGGCGACGTTCTTGTCTCTGGTTCCGCAGACAAAACAATTCGGCATTGGGACCTCGAAAAGGGTCGATGTGTGCAAACGTTGGACGTCATGTGGGCGGCAGCTCAAGCATCCGCCACTGCCAACATCGACGGAGGCTGGAGACCAACCGGCCGCGCGTCAAGCAGCTCGGCCGACTTTGTGGGAGCATTGCAGGTCTTTGAATCGGCATTGGCCTGTGGAACGGCCGATGGCATGGTACGGTTGTGGGATCTGCGAAGTGGTCAAGTTCACCGCAGCCTCGTAGGGCACACTGGTGCCGTGACCTGTCTTCAATTTGATGACGTGCACCTTGTAACTGGTAGCTTGGATAGAAGTGTCAGGGTAAGTGGCCAACAAGACGTGCGCTTCGATATCATGCTTGCTCACAGCCCTTTAGATATGGGATCTCCGTACAGGCGCCATCTTCGACGCCTACGCATACGACAACCCCATCACGAGCATGATGTTCGATACTAGGAGAATAGTGAGCGCCGCGGGAGAAGACGTGGTCAAGGTGTATGATAAAGTTGAAGGCAGACAGTGGGACTGCGGCGCAGGCATCACCGAGGAGGGCAAGAATCCCGGCGTCGTGGAGCATGTGCGTGTAAGAGATGGTTATCTGGTCGAAGGCCGGAGGGACGGCATTGTAGGTGTATGGACATGTTAGGCAATCAAAAGTATTTGGCTCATCAAGAGGTTGGTGAGTGAGGCGTACATACGAAACGGCCCTTGTCAGTATTTGGTGCAGGAAAGGTAGCGTTTAGCACACAGGCCGGAGACTTGAAACATGGACATTTAGACCTCGCGTCGATTTTATGGGTTGAAATAAAAATCATGAATAGTTTCAATGGGACATTGACTAATACTGATTCTGCTCGTGAGGCTCGATATACTACTACCGCATAAATCCAATCGCGCAAACAGAGCGTTTACTTTCAGCAATTTGGGACTTGCCAGTCTTCACGGGCAAGCTTAATGCCGGCAATGTCCGCGTGTGCGGGCTCACCACCTGCCGTGCTCACTCCAGCTCCTTCAACCAGTAGTTTTTTCCTTGATCATAGATTACAGCATAGTAAAAGGAACATTAAGTCAATGCGGCGGATGTACTCTGTAGTGCTGGCCAACTCAAGATGAACGCCTTCATCACGCCTCTCCCGCATGGTGGAGCCCCGCCCTCACTTCAATCTCGCACCAACGTGGCCTCGAGGCAAACGCCAAAATGAACCACCACTGCCCTTTGATATATCATGGCCCCCCGCGACGAAGTACTATCATGGTACCGCGCCGCCACCGAAACGCTCATCAGCGCACCTGCCAAAGATGACCGGGATCCAGAAAGCGCCGCCGTCAACGTGCTGCTCCAGCGCCAAGCCAAGGCTCTCCTCGTCATCCACGACGCCCTCGGGGATTCCTCGCCTCACCAAGTCAACGAGTCCCTCCTGACAAGAAGGCTAAGTGATGTCGTGTCGATATCCGCATCCAAGTTCTACGCCTACCGGTTCGATTTGCTGCCCTGCCAATGGCGCCAGATCCACACCGACGCCCTCATCCTGTCCACCCATCACGACGTGCTCTGCTCCTTGGGCCAGAACGCCTGGCTAGCCGACGCGGTGCTGGACGGCGTCGTGGAAAAGCTAGACAGGGCCGTCATCACCGCCGGGGGAGCCGGCGTCCTGGGGACGGCGTGGGTAGAAAAGACGCTCCGGCTGCTGGAGGACCTTTGCGACGCCCTCCCCGGCGAGCCGCCCGCCGCGAAACGGGCAAAACGCGCCCATGCGCACTTTGCCCTCGGCGAGCCCTACGGCCGGCCTGCGTTGTCTCCGGACCGGACTTGTCCCGCCCGCAGTGGCTGGTCCCTCGCCGCGTTTGAGAGGTACATGAACGGGGACACGTCTCCGCGGCCCGTCGTCTTCACCGACCTCGTCGCCGCCTGGCCTGCGCTTACGAGCCGTCCCTGGAAATCGCCTTGCTACCTGCTCTCGCGGACTTTTGGCGGCCGGCGCCTCGTGCCGGTGGAAATCGGCCGCAGCTACGTCGACCCCGGCTGGGGGCAGGAACTCGTGCCCTTTGGGGCCTTCTTGTCGAGCTATGTTTCGCCCGAGGGCGGGGGGGAGGAGGTGGGCTACCTGGCGCAGCACGACCTGTTCAGCCAGATCCCCTCGCTGAGGGGCGACATTTGCACCCCGGATTTCTGCTGGTCCTCGGTGCCCATGCACCCTGCTGATCCGGCCAGGAACAAGGCGCCGGTGGATGTGCCGCTGGTCAATGCGTGGTTTGGGCCCGCCCGGACCATCACGCCTCTTCACACGGACGCGTATCATAACCTGCTGGTGCAGGTTGTCGGGACAAAGTACGTGAGGCTGTATCCGCCGTGGAGCAAGGCGATGAGGCCGAGGGGGGAGGAGGACGGCGTCGACATGAGCAATACCAGCTCGCTGGATGTAGGGGTCCTCGAGGGCTGGGATGAGGATGCGCAGGGAATGACCGAGGAAGAGAGGGAGGCGGCCAGGAGCGAGCTGGAGAGCGAGGAGTACTGGGAGTGCGTCCTGGAGGAGGGGGATACGTTGCTGATTCCGATGGGGTGGTGGCACTACGTGAGGAGTCTGAGTGTGAGTTTCAGCGTAAGCTTTTGGTGGAATTAGTAGGGCAACGCACTGCGGTCACGAGGCAAGCATTGCAGTACGCAGCAAGAAAATCAAACAAATTACTAAACGTCTTCGCCTTCTCCCGACTTTCCCTCCCTTCTCGCCTTCGCGCCGGCCTTCAACACCTCCCACTTCTCCCTGTACTTGTCCAGCGTCTTCTGCATCTTCCGATTGTCCTTTTCCAGGCGCTCCATCTGCTTCGTGGCGGCCGCGAGCTGTTCCTCCATGTTGAGTGTCTTCTTCCGCAGCGCTTCATCCCCCGCCGCATTCGGGGCATGTGGCGCGGCGCTTGGCGAGCCAGGTCTCAGTATGCGGTACGATTCCGCAAGGGCCATTGCCGAATTCTGAGAGCTCGCTTCGAATGCGTGCAGACGCTTCGACACGACATCTAGCGTGTCCTTGAGGGATCTGTTCTGCAGACTAAGTTCTTCAATGGTGTTTCGGAGGTCCCTTTCCGTCTTGTGCGCCAGGCCGATCCTGCGCCTGGCGCCGGGGGAGACGGGGACGGGCGTCTCGCGGGCATCCACAAAGTCGTCGTCTTCGTCTTCCGGGTCGTTGCTGTGGAGGGAGGCGCCGAGACGACGCTTCTCCTTTTCGGCATACGTCAGGATGTTGGCGTAGGACATGGTGTGGCCGGTGGTGGGGACGACGTAGAAGGAGTCGTTGGTGGAGTGGCCCTCTCGCGCGAGAGCGCGCATCGTGGCCTTGGAGTAGATTTTGGACAGGTCCGGGTCGAGGGCGAGCGAGGTTGGCGGTTGGCGCGAAGCCCTGCGCTTGGGGGGCGATGATGCGACGGGCTGCTCCGTGGTTGGCTGTTCTGGTGTCGGCTCCTCCTGGATCAGGGGGAGACCGGCGAAAGCGAGGGGGGCAGAGATCTTGTTGATGAGGCTACCAAAGCTGTTGTAGAATCGAGCGTAGCCAGCATCCTCGCTCGCCATGGCAGAAGCAGTTGTTTGGTCGATGCGCGGCGACGAGGCGGCGCTCTTGTTGGTGCGAGGCTCCGTCTTGTGGGGGGCCATGGGCGGAACCCAAGTAGGCTTGCCGGGCTGCGTGTCGATGATGCTCTGCATCTTGGTCCTCGATCCGTCGCGGCGAGGGTGCGGGTCGACATTTCCGGGCGCCTGGTCGTTGGAAACGCTTGGACTGAGCGGCTGTCCTCGATACTTGGATCGGATGCCCCTTGCAGAAGCCAGGTTGCTCGCAATAGATGACGACATTTCGCGAGCCGTGAAGCCCTTCTGCGTCAGACTGGGCAGCTTCTTGCCAGACTGGTGCGTCGTGGAAGCGCCCTTTTCGTCCAGCGACGTCTTTTCGTTGACATCCTCCTCGCTGGTCTGGGATACGGGGTCTGGCTGCAAGTTGAGGAGTTCGGCAAGGCGTCTATGGTGCTCTTCGAGAAGCTTCAGAGTGCGAAGCGCTTCAACGCTGGTGGTGTTTCGGGCGGCATTGGCAAATTCACCAGCGGCGAGGGTGTGTTCATTGATGGCGACGGTTGTGTCAGCAGATTGGCGGGTGGCAACGGCGGCTGCGGCGGCATGATCGTGAGCCTTGACGATAGGCGAGGACTCCATCTCGGGAGAGTCGACGCTGCGGCGCGACGGGCGGGTATGCGATGGGATGAAGGTGGTGATGGTTGAAGTGAAAGGAGTTGAAGAATGGGCCAAAAAGGCCAACTACCGGATCTGGACATGCTGCAATGATGGAGCGGGAAAATGTGGGGAAGTGGGGACATGAGGCTTGGGTTGGCACAGGGTTTTTCATAACGGAGGTCGGAGGGCTCTTTCATGAGAGCGATTAGGGCTAAAGGCAATAGCTAAGGAGACAGCTTTTCTAAGGGATTTTACTAATAAAACGTCATGAGAGCGATTGTAGGTCCTCGGAGGCCCGTCCTCCCTTTTCTAGAATATACTTCATGAACATCAAGGGCTTACACTGAAGCACCAGATCCAGAAATTTGTCGGCTTTCGGCGTCAAATCGTGTCATTCACTCAACTTCAAATTTATATAGGTCCCACTACATTGCCCGCTTTTTCCAATACCCGAGATGGCATGTTTACGTCTTGGGAGCATTTCTGCTGCCCACCCCATCACGGTAGTCCTTGAGAACTGGCGAGGGTTCTCCAGTATATCCAGACTTCTCCATCCATTCTTGCACACTCTTCACCCGCGACGGCAGGATCTCATCCAGAAGCTCGTAATCACGCTTTGTCAGGTTATCCTTCCACATGTTCCAAAAGCCTGAAAAGTTTTCCCGGAAAGTAAACAGGGTAGGATTCTCCCCACTAGTGGAATGACCAACCGTCATTTCGGGATTTGGAAAAATTGGCAGTTTGAAGTATTCGTCCAGGGTTAGGTCTTTATATACCGCCTTTCTGCCAGTCACCTTTGTGAAGGCAGCAGCAAGGTCTTTCCAAGCGATATCTTCCGTTGCGACATGCAACTGCATGCCGCTGCTGCGAGATGGCGTATCGAAAACCCATCGGACATAGTGGCCATAGTCCTCGAGATAGATGAGAGGGCATTTTCCGTCTCCCAGCGGGGCTGCAAAGACAAGAGTGCTTGGATCTTCACGGTCAGGAAAGGGTTGGAGAAATTCTGACAGTCCTTCCATGTACATGCAAGAGGTTACAACAGTCCAGGCCATTGGTGTAATGGGTTGAGCTGAAATGTAGTCGGCAACTTTGCCTTTTCCGTCAACGTGGCCGCAACGGTATTTAGGGTCAAAGTTGCCGAGCTTTGAAGCATACTCGAGAGATGCGTAAATGAAGTGCTTCACTCTAGATTCCCGACAAAGCTCATAAATGCGGATGCCCCAGTAGATTTCTGCCATTTCGCCAATGGCAAATCCGTTGGTATTGGCAAAGACGTAGTCCACGTCCTTCAGCGCCTCACGAAGAGTTGGCTCATGGTAGGTATTTCCTTCCAAAATTGTAACTCCAGGGATGGTCGCCAATTCTATGGCATCCTTGGAAGAAGCGTTTCTTGTAATGACGCGGACGGCATATTTGGAATCGGATGCCAGTGCTAGGGATACGTTGAGTAAATGTCTCGACAAAGGACCAAGTTCCTGGCTGACCTTTGACAACCGGCACACCCTGAGCACCGGTACCTCCTATGACCAGAGCGGTTTTCATTGTATTTCAGGGTCGACGTGTTGAATGTTTTCTGATGGAGGAATGGCAAAGTGTGAAATTGACAAAGCTAAGCGCTGATGGAGAATTGGTCGCATAAGGGCCCCTATATGTGTACGCATAGCGCGACCAAGGATAATTGCCACGCCGCATGATAGCTCAAACTATAACAGAGCTACCGAGGTTGATGAAGTGATCAAGGCTTCTGTTATGTGTCACCACCGTAGACTCGCCACGGCGTCTCACTATAATCCACCGGACCTATTTGAAGCTACCTACTCCAACCGCCCAACCAGCGTACCTGGTCACTATGGTGGCAGGTTCACATTTGCAGCACTGCTAGACTTATAGCTATCTGTGAATTGGTGGTCAGCATCTTTCATCATGCGCAGCAATTCTGCCCAAGAGCGCTTTTAACAATACCAAGACATAAGGAGATGACGTTATTTCCGCCACGCAGGAGATCATTAGTGATCAGAATCCTATAATCATCGTGCTAGTTTCTCTACGGGTATTCATTGTCTCTGCCTCTTTCGCAGCCCTATAACATCATCATATCACCAGCTCGGGTAGCACAGTTGGCGCTCCCTTCTCGACAGGCCGAAATCTACGCGATACCAATATTACAACTCAAAGTGGCTATCCGAGGCATCCGAGTCCACTGCCGATTCGAGTTTGCTCGGAGGTCTCGACTGGCAATTGCTATACAACAGCTGTCTGGTGGGCGTGGGCGCCAAAAACAAGCCATCACCAGCATCCTCCAGTCACAATCGAAGCCGACCATGTTGCGCAGCAAGCAGCCCAAGTACAGGAAAAGCCCCATTGTTTTCCAAAGCCATGTCAATTGAACCCCCAAATGATGTCCAATCCGGTCTCGTATTTCTCCCTGGCCAAGTGGCTGTTGCCATTTGACCTGTTCCACGACCAGGGATGACGTTTTGTTGCCAATCGCAATGCTCGTGGATGGGACAATGCGACAATTAAATGTCGATGATGGCTAACACCTAGATTCGGTCTTTGCGAAAGGCTCACAATGCTCCCCTAGGCGGCCGTGCCTCTACTGAGGATCACTAAACAACATGATTACAGTGTCCGCCCAATTGATTACCGCGACTGTAAAATGGAACTTTCGGTATACCCTTCAATTCCAAAGACCACCAACGCCACAAAATTTAGTCGAGGCGATTGCAACAAGTTTGTCATCAACCATTTAAAGCGACCAAGATCCTAAACAAGGCAAAGCGGAAGCACCGGCGCCACCGCCACGACTATGTCCCAAGATATTTAAGCAGAGTCACTCTACTCTAGATTATACAGCCAGATGTCCATTTCGAAGAGTCCTTGATATATCACCATGTCCACTTCAATTAGCACTGTGGCTTGGATCGGGGTAAGAAATGTCTCCTATTCACACATTCCACCTATTTCTAGTATGCTAATTTTCTTAACCTCTACGATGTAGACTGGGAACAATGGCAAACCACTTCTTGATATTGTGGCTGCTTCGGGAAAGTTCAAAATCACGCTTCTTGTCCGCAAGCCGCCAGTAAAGTACACAAATATCGTCCCCGACTCTGTGACGGTCAAGCAGGTTGATTTCCAATCTCATGCCTCTCTTGTGGCCGCTTTCCGAGGCATTGACGCCGTAGTTAGCGTCATGACATTTGGTCCACAGTCAGGCATAGACGTGGTAGAGATATGAATGATCAACGCGGCGATTGAGGCGGGTGTGAAGTTCTTTATTCCGTCGGAATGGGCGCCTGACTCGGCTGGGGCGAACGTGACGGATGACCCTTGGATAGGGAGGTCGCTCCGACCGAATGCTGTTCTGGCTTCGAAAAGAGCGGTACACAATTATCTCATGGCGAGAGCAGCGCAAAATCAGATTGCTTTTGCTGTTGTGTATACCGGCGTCATTATTCCAAGCAGTAGGTTAACATGGATATGCAATTCTTCCTTGAACTGATATCTCGACTGACTTCTGGGTTACAGGTTTCAGCGTAGGATTGATCTCATTCGATTTCCAGAAGAAGACTGCAGTCTTACCAGACAACGGCCTTCCGCTCTTCTCTGCTACGACGTTGGAAACTACGGGGTCGGCTGTCGTTGCCATACTTTCTGCGGCGTTTTCCACCAGTGTTAAGAATCGGTTCCTCCATATTTCAGACTTTACAACATCTCTATCAGAGATTTTGGCCATAATAGAGACTTTGGATGGAGTGCCTTGGACACGGAAGAATGTCGCGGCACGAGAACTTACCATTTCTAGCATGGCTGCTGTGGATGCCGGGACGTTTGGAAGAGCGCAGTTCTGGGGAGCACTCATTAGTCCATTCTTTGGACAGGTTGCCCCATGGAAACAGCAGGATGATGAGCTTCTTGGACTTGGAGAACAGAAAAGTCTGACGGAAGAAGTGACAAAGGTACTTGAGGCGTCTAGAACCCATGGCTAGGTGGTGTGGAAGCTGGGCGTCGCCAAGTTGCCTTCATCCATCACAAGGACAGATCTAGGCCATGGGTGTCTATCATGGAATTGCGGTAGCCCTAGTGTAAAAGGATTCAAGATAGCTGCTTCTATTAATGTTGATGAACTCCTTGGAGACAACCCCCTCTCAAGTGCGGGCAGGGAGTATACGACACGGCTCGATTCGTTCGCGACGATGGAGCCGCACATTGTTCCGAAAAGTACAGAATACCTTTGTCAGTGTAGATCCCCCGGGCGGCCATGCATGTGACTGTTCAGTCCGCCTGCATATGTGATATCCTTTGCAGCATCGCACAAATATGCATGTCTCGGAGGCCGCTGTACACCGGATATTTTATTGATGCCCAACCTTCCGCCACAGCCTCCTCCCACGCTCATCGCAGCCCGACGGGGTCTAGGTCCCCTGTTGGACATGAGAGGAGCCCATGGGATTGTGTGGCAGTTCCTGGCCTCTACCAGGGTGAGCTCTTGGCCAAGATGCTTCAAAATGGCTCCAATTTAGTCACTGCTTGCCCCCTGAAAGTAGTTGACATCCATCTACAGTCAATAGTCAACAAGACCATTCAATGAAAAGATTGACTCGTGGCATTATGGCGCCTCAACAGGAAACAGTAAGTTAGATGACTACTCCAAACCAATGCAAGAGAACTCACGGTACTGAAGGGACGGTTGCCGACCCCGTTCAAACGAGCAAGCAGCGAATCCAATATCGAACTCGAGCATCTTCTGAGATTAATGCCAGCATCTCGCCGATCGAAGACAGTTTTCCACTTCAATGACCGAAAAAGCTGCCCCATGGACATTGTTCAACGCCCCAAAGCTGACGTGGAGTTTCTGGCAGAGGAACTGTGTGTCCCAAGTCTGAATGATATCCACGACCTCCTCTGGCTAGCTGGACGTCCCATGCCCCCGCGACCGCTCACCTACCAGCTTACGGCCTCACGAACTATAGCCGTGGTCGAGGACATCAATCTCCATCTTATATGGGAGCCCGGGCGGATATTCTTGAAACCCATTCCGCGATTCCTTCTCAACGCGGCCTTCTGGACCAAACACCTCGCCTGTGATGCGGCCCAGGACAATTCTTCCTGAGTCTCTGGTGTGAGCCCAAGTGCTCCGTCCGACCCTCTAAGCAAGCGGCGAGAGCTGTACGGATGTGCGTATGGCTTTCTTCTGTCGTACACAGCCTTGATCCAGCACGAGAGCGACTACCGCATCGCCGCAAGCAACCACTTGCTGCCGGCGGACGTGGATTGGGAATCGTGGCGTCAAACCTCGTGGGAGCTCTTGGAGAACAGCCCCTGCAACATGACACGGGTCAACAAGCGGTACAGATACGGCGAGCTGCGACTGTCGCGACTAAACAAAATCTCCCGCTGGCGCAGCCTGACCTGCTCCGGGGACGGGCTGGTAGGGCTGATGCGCGGATACAAATTCGGCTTCGCCACGTACGGCCAGCTACTCGAAGCATGTCTTTTCCCAGTAGTCACGGCTACGGCCTATATCCTGTTAGTTTTGACAGCCATGCAAGTCGGGCTTTCGACGGACTATTTGAAAGACAACTTCGCGTTTCAGCAAGCGTCGTGGGGATTCACGGTGTTTTCTATCCTGGCGCCGCTTATACTGATTGTATTGAGCTTTGTGCTTGTCTTCCTATATGTCGTTTTCAACTACCGGAGTACGAAGGCGTTTAACCAGAGGAGGATGCAGTTTTACGACAATCTGGGCCGGAATGGATGTTAAAAGCTGGACATGAGATTCATTTTTAGTCAGGATTCTCCTTGGTTAAAATTCCTAATTCCTGTTGGTGATGGTTCAAGACTATGATTGCCACAAAAAGAACACGGTCTACTTGGACAGCCATTGAGACGCCTTAAATTGTGTTGACAGCGATCAACTGCGGCCCTGCTTGCCTGATAGTGCGGCTGAGCATCTTGGGGCGTTGCAGTTCATCTGCCAATTTAGTAAGGGCTATGCTATTATTACGTCCAATACAATGAATGATCACCTTGACTACTTGCTGGAATAATCTCTGATCTTCATTGGCCTCGTGTGGCATCACCTTGGGACGGAGTGGATAACCTCCATGTCCAGCTTACTCTCCTCGGCGAATAAGAAATCCCCGTCTTCCTGCAAGCACGGGTTACGCGACTGAGTATGGGTGACACAATTGTATGCGCTGTTGAGGCCAGATGCAGTCGTCGAATGTGCTAGAGTTGATTGGGCGGCTAGATGATGCTGTCGAGGGCGATTGGATGTTCTGGGTTCTGCGGAGTGATGTGTCAAGCTCTCTCTGCGAGGCAACGTCTCATCAACAGCCTGCTCCTTTGATTTGGTGAAACACGGCTGAGAATCGTTGGTCGGCAGAGTGAGTGACGATGAAGCGCCGCTGTGCATCGAGTCGAGACGGTGGCCATGAGGGTCGCACAGCCAAGTCTTCGCATCAATATTGATTCACATCTGCTCCCCGCCCAAGTCTTCCCAAGCATATTTCCTTTTCTTATTTTTTTCACCCAGCAAAAAATCATACGTTCCTCGCGGCCTTTATCGATGTGTTTGTGCGAGTTGGTCATCGCTGAGAATCACGTGGCCTGGACAAGTTGACATTTGAACCATGGACCGGCTCAGGAGTCGCCGAGATGCACGTGCTCTGGCCACTCTGCCTGGCCAAAGTCGGGGTCCTGCTTCGCATGAACGCATCCAAGACACGAAACTAAACCCAGCGCGAGAGCACACCACAGGCGTCACACTGACCCAGATCCATCCTCTCCCTGGCGTGGACGTTGAAACCGACATCGACATCATTGCAATCCATGGCCTCGATACGGGGTCGCCAGGCACATGGACCTGGAAGTTCAACAGACCTGACCGCCATGATGTGAACTGGCTGGCCGACAAGGACATGCTCCCGAGCAGAGTCGGACATGCTCGCATCTTGACATGCGACTGGCCAGCTGAGCTGTTTGAGCGGTCCGACCTTATCCAAAAGAGAATCGAGGAGTTGGCTCGGCTGTTTCTGGATGGCATTCAAAGACGGCCCTCGGCGACGAACACCTCCTCAAGAAGAGGCGACCGGCCCATCATATTTATCGCGTCATGCCTTGGCGGCATCATTCTCATGAAGGCCCTCGTCATGGCCCAATACGAGTCCTGTTCCATCGGGGGTTCCTCCGGGAGTGACACTCACGCTATAATTTTTCTTGCGACGCCCTTCAGAGGCACTTCGTTCCAAGATGTTGCCAACTGGGCCGAGCCAGGTCTGAAGGCCTGGGCTTGGATCAGAGGTCAAAAAGTGACCCGGAGGCTCGATGATGTGAAAGGACCGACCTTCGATCTAGTCAAACTCGTAGGCGACTTCACTCGCCTGTGTCGAGAGGATAGTCTCGACCGAGTAATGACGTTTTACGAATTAGGCAACACGAATCTCTACCATAAAGTATTTCCGTGCCTTTTAGTCGGGTCAAAGCGGGTAAGCGTGGCCGAATTGTCTCTCTGCTCTGAGACGCCCTTCTCCCTGATTCCCACAACACTCAAATGCGAGTTGAACATTACTGACACACAGTCGCCAGCTGGTCGATGAGTCCTCCGCAATCCTTGACATTGTTCCCAACCCTTTGCCTCTTGATCGTCCTCACCTAACGATGAATAAATTCCATGGAACAGACGACCCAGAGTATCAAAAAGTCGCGGGGAAACTTGAGGAATTTCTTCATGGGATTCGCGAGGGGACGGTGCTCAATATAGCGGATGCCTGGATCCGAAACCAATGCTACGCTGCGGACAGGCTTCAGATTCGCCGACTTTCAGAGGAAGAGTTGCCGATGGAGCAGTGCTACATCAACCTCGCCATCATCGAGCAGCAGTGTGGTCGAGTCTCTAGCGGCTCGGGATATGGGTCAAATGGAGCGGATTCGACTAGCCAGTCCTACCCGTTTTCGATCCTCAGTCGTCAGAAGGTTCAGACGCCAGACAAGTCGATCCATGTTGAGTTGGAGACATTATTCAACCAACGCGACAGAGGCGATCATGGTGTGATAAAACCCCGACGCATACTAATTAGAGGACGTGCGGGAGTTGGAAAGACTACCTTGTGCAAAAAGATGGTCTATGACTTTATCCAACAAACGTCGTTGCACGACTTATGGATGCAGTGGTTCGACCGCTTGCTCTGGGTGCCTCTGCGTAATCTACAAAGGCGGCCGGGTCAGGGATACAACCTAAGTCTTTTGTTCCGTGACGAATATTTCCGTCATCACCTAGGCAAGGGCGGTCTTACTCGGGAGGATCTTGCTGCAGAGCTGAGCCGGAAAGTGGATGATTCTAACAGTGAGAGAACTCTATTTGTTCTTGATGGCTTGGATGAAGTATCTCAGCTCCTGGCCTCCAGCAACGAGATGTCCGATTTTCTCAAGATGCTTTTGAATAAGCCTAACGTCATCGTTACATCCCGACCCAACGCGAGCCTTCCAGCTATTAGGGCCTTTGATCTCGAATTAGAAACAATCGGATTTTACCCCGACCAAGTGACAGAATATATCGAGAAATCATTTGTCGACCCAGATACAAAGACTACAGACCTAAATAAGCTCAAAAGCTTTCGGTCTTTTCTTCAAAACCATCAGCTTATCCAAGGTCTTGTGCGCATCCCAATTTTACTAGATGCGCTTTGTTACACCTGGAACGACCACAAACCCGGAAATATACCTGATACTATGACTGGTATTTATAGATTGATTGAGCTGAAATTATGGAAGAAGGATATCTTGCGATTAGAGAAACGACACGACGGCGCTCAGTTATTCAGCTTCAACTTGGAGACGGCGCCCAGACCAACTATTAAAGGTTTCGTTCAGGAAGAGATGGATTTCCTTGAGAGCCTTGCATTTACTGGATTATACGATAACACAGTGGACTTTTCTTTGGAACATATACATGGCATATCGCATTACTTCACTCCGGGTTTGTTACCTGACAAGACCTTGCCATCGCTCTCCTTCCTACGAACGTCCGAAGCCTCATCAGATTATCGCAATCAAAATTACCACTTTATACATCAAACTTATCAAGAATACTTTGCAGCACGATATTTTGTGCGGCAGTGGAGCAATCCGGAGGGACGCCTTGTGCTTTTTGCACAAAATGGTGGAGAGCGCGAGATGAAGCTGAGCAATCCCGTCGAATTTCTTCAGGAACATAAATATGCAGCGGGCTATAACATTTTTTGGCGCTTTGTTGCTGGCTTACTCGATGCCGAAAGTGGAGTTAAAGAGACGCTGCGCTTCTTCCGGACGATCGAACAGGAGCCGTTCGACCTTTTGGGTCCTACGCACCAACGACTGGTTATGCATTGCTTGAGCGAAGTATCAAATGAGCTACAAATTAGAAAGGACTTATTGGCAAGACTAACTCAGTGGGTGCTATTGGAAGCCCACCTGACACGTGCAAATTTCTGCACTATACCAAGCGAACCAGAGTGTCCAGAGGAAGTCATACTTGCAGCCTTGGAATTCGTTCCGGACGAAAGAGGGAAACGTATTCTGCGCGCAGTAAATAAACGCCTGTCGGATACGACTATAATAGCCCTAATAGCGCTGCTCAGGGATGAGCGGGAGACCAAAGGTGGGGCAATTGCAGCCTTGAAGAGTCAATCCCATCTATCAGACCAAGCTATCACGAGCCTGCTAGCGCTTCTCGAGCACGAAAACGAGGAGGTTCAATTTGCCGCAGCTGAGGTCTTGCGGAACCGTTCCAACCTATCAGACACAACTATCACAAGCCTATCAGTGCTGCTTGAGCACGAACAGGAGAACGTCCGATTCTCGGCAGCTCATGTCTTACAGGGGCAATCCCATCTACCAGGCCAAGCTATCACGAGCCTGCTAGCGATACTTGAGCACGGAAAGGGCTGGAAGCTTCCATATGCCGCAGCTTTAGTCTTGCACAACCAATCCAATTTATCAGACACAACTATCGCAAGCCTATTAGCACTGCTTGAGCACGAAAAGGGGGGCGTCCGATTCGCGGCAGCTCACGCCTTGCCTCGGAGTCCTCCAGATACTATAATTACAAGCCTAATAGCGCGGACTAGGCATAAAGAGCAGCGGGTCCGATCTGTGGCAGCTAAAGCCTTAGGCACCCAGCTTCAGTCAACGAAAGCCGTCGAGGCCCTCGAAACTCTGCTCCAATCCCAAGATTATAATGATAAAATTGCTGCAGTCGAAGCCCTGTGGGGTCTATCAGACGCGACTATGGTAAGCCTCATAGCGCTGCTCAAGGACGAATCGTCACCAGCCCAATCCGTGCAGCTAAAGCCTTACATAATCAGTTTATTCTATCGGAAACGGCTGTCGCATCAATACTAGCGCTTCTCGAGCACGAACGGGAGGAGATTCGCTCCGTGGCGGCTAGGGTCTTGTCTCGGCAGGCTCTACCAGACGCGGCTATCAAGACCCTCACAGTACTGCTTCAATCTAATGATGGTGTTCTTCGAGCTGCCGCAGCTAGCATCTTGACCTTCCAAAAAGACTTACCAGACGCGGTTATCGAGTCTCTCTTAATGCTGCTCCAATCTGAGAATTATGATCAATATACTAAAACTGACATAGTCCATGCCTTGTGCTTCCCGACCCCACCCCTCCATGTACCACATGTGGAGAATCTCATGAAAGCCCAGTTTCGGGAATTTAATCCCTGGGCTGCCTCTGTCCTTGTCATGGCTTGGAATAGCCTGCCAAATTTGTCAAACGCCGCTATCGAGTCCCTCATAGCGCTTTTTCAGGCAAAGGAGTTGAACGCCCAAGCTTCGATAGCTGAAAGCGTGGGCCAGTGCCCGGACTTGATAGACAAGATCCTCGAGACCCTGGGCTTATTGCTAGAAACCGAACTACCAGCTGAGCCCATCAACAACATCTTTCGCGAGCCCCAAGTTCTAAAATTTGTCTATGGCATTCTACTGCATGACAGTTTTCGGAGCCATAATAGTTTGTATGTTCAAAGTGATGGCGGCAGTTGCCGCTGCATTCTCAATCGACGTACTGGACGCCGAACAGCGTCTTTTCAAGAAAGCGGCGTGGCCGACGAGTTTCAGAAGTTACTTGGCGATAGCCTGAAATATTGGAATCGCGGTGGCTACAAGCTATGGGACAGTTTGGCGGTCGATGCTAGCCAATAGTAACTGCTCTACATACTGGGAGAAAAAAAAATTTCAGCGTCATCTCTACATAAGTGGCAAGTGAGTCGGGATTAAGGCTGGGAAAATGCTTAGCTGACTGGTCTTGCGGACACAATATGCAAGGCACACTACACTCTACCACATGATCTTGTCATATCTACCTTTAACATCTACATTGTGTGAAGGTCAGGGGTACAGGTTGATTTATATGTTGAATTTGTATTAGACGTGTGCTCACTGGTGACCATGGCACTATCTTGTCAAATCAGTGCCTGGCGAGGGACAACTATTGGGCTAATTTGATGAAGGACTATGTTGAGAAATGGCTGGTCTGGTGGTTTTAGTCAGGGGCAGGACTGCAGTGGTGAGGTTTCGTTCTCAGTCGCTCTTTGAAAAACGTTTCACCCTATAAGTCCCGTACTTTGAAGATGCTTGTAGTGTGTTTGTCCCATTTTTCTGGACGTCACTGATTCCTTTGCTAGTTGCACCATCCGTTCTCAAGCCAATTAACAAGTTTAAAGTCATGTCGCACTGGAAGTTATGAAGATAGTTCCCTCACAGTGCTGAGAACTCACAGTTTGCCTGTATAAGAAGATATGTGAACTCCGGGTTGTAATCCTTGATCAATTCCCATGTCTTCGCTCTTCAAGTAACTGTTTTTATTCCAAGTCCTGCTGAACAAAGATAAAAAGCATATCTGGCGTAGAATCAACAATCTGATCCACCTTTTAACTCTGCTAAAGACGTATAAAGGCCAGTTAGGCTTAAATTAAGCTTGTTTGTAAAGGTCATTTTAGCCTTTGTAAGCCAAATACCACGACACTTTTGATTTTTGGCGCATCTTGACATTGTTTTCGTTACATATGTACCCAAAATCTCACCAGCTATAATAGTCCGTGTCAATACTTGATGCCAGAAAAATGCCGGCTTACTTGGCATAGTCGAAACCAGGGCCTTGCAAGGCGCGTACTTGGGGGCGTAAAAGCCAACTACGATATTGGAAGGGTTGCTATATGGTGATGACAAAATCATATTGCTTGTTTGAAAATTTTTATCAAACCTTTGGCAAATATGAAAGCTCAAGTTGGTAGAGTTCAAAATTTGCGCGTAGTAATCTGTAACTGTCACGACCGTATAAAAAGTCTACACGGCAAAGCTGCGTAAGGGTATGTGTAAATTGAAATGCCCATTCTAAACCTGAGCGGTTCGCGTTACTTGTTGCAAAATTCTGGTACTATTAACTAATAGAATAAACAAACGGCACAGACTGGACGTATTGTCCTGTGCGGTGCTAAACTATCGCATCTATCCTGCAAGTATGGCTAGTGTCGAAGGAAACGCCATCCAACAATAGCTCCAGACTCCATTCGCAACTTTCCAAACTTGATCGATAGTCTCGGATAGCAAATGTCGTCTTCTTTACATCTAGATTCTTCTATCTGAATTGCAAGCTACTCGTATCTCTATCAAGATTTGATAAGACCGATTCTCCGAGATGAACCTTTTCAAAGATGGACGTTTCTCATACTCTGCCAACAATCTCAACAGAAGTCAAGCTGTAATACTCCATCCAAATGTTTCCATCTTCAGAGTCTTCTAAAGATAATAGCTTCCAAGAATTATCGTTTGTCCTTTAATTTGTCACAGTGACGAGTACTAGACAGCCCGAATGACGCAGGGTGGTGTGAACCGCATTGTGTCCGGGCACGTCCCAAACCCTTTGCCTCGAGAAAAGGAGACTTCTGTACGGTGTCGGGTGGCAGCATGGTGTAAAATTGTGGTACGGCCCATCATTTTACACAGCCAACATAGAGGCATCGTGCCGTGAAACGGTCTGGTTAGCTCTACGGAGAGATGGTTAGGCCGAACAATTTTGCTTGCCAAGCTCTGAACTGTCCCAAACTATCCAATCACCAAGTAAATACAATATTTGTTCACAAAGAAGTGTCAGTGCCGTACAGGACTGCCAAATACTACTGGCCTCACGTGTTACACGGATGTCACGTTGCCATAAAGGCACGGGCCGTACCTTGAACATGACGATAGTTACACAAGGGCTCGAGACCTAATAAGAGCCTCAGGCACCCAGGACAGCCCTTTGACCGCCTCTTGATATAAATAAGGGTCATCTGCCCCTTGAGGACTTGGGGAAAACCAAGGACCTTTGATATCAAAGCGAATTATTAGCTGAATATCGAACATTGTTCCAAGCCCTATAAATATAGCCCTTGTCACATCACGCCTGCGTCAAGTAAGAGAGTAAAGGGCATCTTGCTGCTCGAGTGGCTGACAAAAGCTGCCAACGACCAACAACCATTCTGGGGTTCTGCTTGATGGTTGCTTTCTGACCAGTATCTTCGTGATTGTACATTTGACAAGGGACCAGTGGGATTGCGCTACCATAAATGAGCGGCCTTCGCAGGCAGACTGCACTTCTACTGTTCGTCATTATCCTGGCGGCCTGCCCTTGCCCTACGCTTGACGTGCGGCCGCACAGGCAACGAAACTGCGTTCCTGTTGCAAATGTAACCCGAAACAATTACTCTGCCGAATAACTCAAAAGCTCAGGCGAAGATTGTCAGATGAACCGAAAGAGGTCCCCCCCAATAGGTTACAATCAGATGGTGTAACTACTCAGCAGTGGGAAGAGCCATAAAGAGCATATAGATTTCAATTATGAATAGTACCTGGTGACTTCCCCAACCGATGGACATTATTAATAGTACCCCATCTCCAACACCGCGAGTGAGTAGTAAAGCAACTCCATTGCCACTGCCAGCCTTCTTGTTGAATCTATGCTCCTTCGGCACAAGCCATGAACGCGCCAGCAGTCGCCTCGCGCGTTATTTTGCGATGGCTAGCAGAGTTCTTGTTCTCGCACACGAAATAGTCGGTGTAGTAGCTGCCATGACCGCAGGAGTAGACGTAGTGGTACCGGTGGCACATCTCTACAACCGACTGTCAGTCAAGTTCCGTAAGCCACAAGTACTAACCCTGATATGGATGTATATGAAACGGCAGTCCTACTGCGGAGCTATTCCTATCGTGATCTTGTAACAAATGCGCAAGGTGAAATGGTAAAATGCAGCTGTAATTCTGTCGAGGTTGGCGCTGGATAGCAGCAATCGTCAACGGGAAAAACTGGCTTTAAGTAGCTTCGTCCTGTATAGAGGAGACACAGCTAGTTGGTTTGGCATGATTTTATCAATACTGTTATCACCACATGGCAAGCGGCAGCTGTTGGCTATACTTACACATTCGAAGCTGTGTTGGTTGCTCGAGCTTGTCGCATACCGCAACGTCCAATACACGCTCGAGTTTTCAACTTCTGCCTACCGTACCATCCACCACAACCATAAAAAAAGTCTTATCAAGGCTTCTTTACATTCTATGATAGGTTGAATTCTGAGAAAAAGCAATGCGAGTAGGCAGTATCTGAGCCGAGGCCGTAAAGTGATAGTTGCGTGACCTCTGCCTCATGCAACCATGAACCTATCGATGACAAGTCGCAGAACCCGGGCGTGTGGCCGTAGATTTGGGAACTTTCAATCTCCAGGACTCCCTCTCCCGCGAATGAGGTAGCTCGCTGAATCCTCAAGTCATGGCAGTCGGATGGAGAGCGGAGGACTTTAGTAACGAGTTGTTAGCTTAATGGGTCACCGATAAAATACTCGACTGTACAAACTAGTCTTGGCGTCACTTGAAACGATATGGATACCGATTTTATTTTGCCTGGAGGAAAGTCCCTAGTATTGAGGGTCAAGTTCGATAAAATTGGTTTAAAACCTGTAAGCCTTAATCTTTCTCTTACACTTGTTGGCGTGAAGACCTAGCCTTATCTGCCTCTATATGTGAACGTTACTAATAATCCTGGTTCACAACATGCCGCGTCTACCTGTTTGGAGCATTTTCCAAGTCCCTCTGGAAGTTTCCTTGTCTATGATCAGGCCAATCGTAGCTTTGTGGATCCAGCTTTGTATGGTCGTGCGTCTGTCGCCTTCTGTCACACGGTCAGTCCACCAACAAAAGTTGTTGGTGTGATAGAGAGCTAACAACCTGGAAGATGCCACGTCAGTTGGGCCAACAACGGTTACACAGAGCATCACGCGGCCAAGTTGGAACATTGACGCTTGGGCCTTCAACTGTCCTCGACTTCTTGCATAAACAAAGTCCGTTAGGAACAAGGGTCTTTGATAACCCAAAGCAGATTACTAGATTAAATGTGAAGACAGTTGTATATATTTATAATACTTACTTACCATTGGTTCGTGATTACTCTAGGGTGGTATTATGTACTCGTGGATATTTTCTAATCGTTTCGTGTTGGTCTTTGCTATTGATGTGGTTACGACCCAGTCGGAGATTTTCCTCCACCAGGCTGATATTAATGCTCATGGCGTTAGGCTTCCCACCCAGCCATGGAACAAACGAACCAATAGACTTGGCAAACTATTTATTGAGCAACAGCCCTTCCTTTAGATCCCTGAAAGCCGTTCCCTGCCTCCCTTTGGAATGTTATAAGCCATTTCTAGGAATTTGAAAGGAGCGTCTCTGAATTTAGTTTGCAGACATTCTGTGAGGCTCTTATCGAGATATTTTCAAGGTAAAAACCCTCAGCAGTTGTCGTTATCAAATAGCACCAGACTACATATCTAAGGTTGGCCAGAATGAGGTCTGGTGGCACCTGCCAAGTTGCCAACTGGACTGCCAAAAGTGGAGGCGCCAGACCTCCCGTTGGTACCAGGTCTCTGTCCATCTCTTTCCATGCATCACAGTGCATTTCTGAATTGCATCTGCATCATCTACATAAAGTAGTTGGCCCGTGTTCGCGTGGAAATGATTACATAATCACATGGGCAATGTCCTCCCCGAACCAACTCCCCTATCACAACCCAAAGTAGCACCCAAACCACGAGGACACCCAAAGCGCCACAGCCAGCTTTACTATTGACGGCATCGGCTTTCCACCTTTCCCACTCAAACATCCTCGTATCACTGCTATTTCAATGTCCTGGAAGCTGACCAAGAGTAAGTTGCGCTAGCATGGCCTGATGAACGCCCGGCCGCATGCCCCTTAACCATCACGCAATCATTGTCTGTTGCACAGCCCGATTCCGCTAACGGCTCACCTTGTAGAACTAAAGGAGACACACCTGGGCTCCTTGGCAGGTTTCACGAGATCTACATCAACCGCTTCCATCTTGGACGCTAATAAGGACAGCAGCCATGGGCCTTCTACTCTTGATGAAGGAACAACAACCAGCTCCATCCCCTCTGGTACATGTATGTTTTTGTTGGCCTCGTGTCAAGCTCCAACTCGCTGACCGCCCGTTACAGTTGCCTTGGAAAGCCCTAGCCAGGCTCCTGTGGTTAAGACGCCGAAACAGGGCATTCTAGTCGTTACCATGCATGAGGCCTGTGGGTTATCCCTGCCTGAACAGCACCAAAATACGTACTCATCGCAGTACCACACAACCTCCCGCTCGACAGGCAATGCAATGAGCAATACCGGCTCGACGGAATCGACCTCATCTCGTACTTCGGCTCCATTCACGAACAAATCACATCGGCCTCAGACCTCGCTGGGCCGTGGACTTCGAGGGATCCCAACCATCCACGGCCGAGTATCTACCAAGTACATGCCGTATGCTCTGGTCGATTTCGACAAGGTCCAAGTCTTCATCAACTCTATTGAAGGGACGCCAGAGAATCCCACATGGGCCGGCGCCAGCACCCAGTACAAGTTCGATGTGTCCAGGGTTTCAGAGCTTACAGTACATCTCTTCATCCGCAACCCTGCTGCTGTGCCCGGCTCAGGTCGGTCGCAGGATATTTTCCTGGGCGTTGTTCGACTTACCCCGCGATTCCACGCCAATGCATCTTCCAAAGATGCCACATCTGGCAAAAATAGCGAAACGGCTCAAGGATTTCATGGCGTTGGGTGGTTCAATCTAGCGTATGGAACCGGGAAGCTTCAGATTGGCGTCAAGTTTGTGGAGAACCAAGCCAACAAGCTCAGCATTGACGAGTTTGAGTTATTAAAAGTGGTTGGAAAAGGCAGTTTCGGAAAAGTTATGCAAGTAAGAAAAAAGGATACGAACCGCATCTACGCCCTAAAAACGATACGCAAGGCCAAAATCATCTCCCGCTCCGAGGTGACCCATACGCTCGCCGAACGATCCGTTCTTGCTCAAATCAACAATCCCTTTATCGTTCCTTTAAAGTTTACTTTCCAGTCACCAGAAAAGCTTTACTTTGTTCTAGCTTTTGTGAATGGAGGAGAATTATTTCATCACCTCACAAATGAACGAAGATTTGACGTAAATCGCGCCCGGTTTTATACAGCTGAACTGTTGTGCGCCCTCGAGTGTCTTCATGGCTTCAATGTCATCTATCGAGATTTAAAGCCAGAGAATATCCTCCTCGACTATCAAGGTCACATCGCACTTTGCGATTTTGGTCTATGTAAGCTCGAGATGAAAGATGAAGACCGCACCAATACATTCTGCGGCACGCCTGAATATCTCGCACCTGAACTATTACTCGGCCAGGGTTATAATAAGACTGTGGATTGGTGGACGCTTGGCGTGTTGTTGTATGAAATGCTAACTGGCTTACCGCCGTTTTACAACGAAGAGACCAACGAAATGTATCGAAAGATCTTGTCGGAGCCTCTGAGCTTTCCAGGGAACGACGTGGTACCACCAGCAGCCAAGGATCTCTTGACGAAGCTACTGAATCGAAACCCGGCGGAACGCCTTGGGGCGAATGGCTCGGCGGAAATAAAGGGACATACCTTCTTCCACGCTATCGATTGGAGAAAACTGCTGGAACGAAAATATGAGCCGACGTTTAAGCCCAATGTGGTATGTTGTTCCTCACCTCGTCTTGTTCGATGCTACGTGACTGACGAGCTTGGCTGAATTATGTAGGCTAATGCCCTTGATACTACCAACTTCGACCCCGAGTTTACAACTGAAGCACCTCAAGATTCCTTCGTTGAGGATCCTGCTCTTTCTCAGGCTATGCAGGATCAGTTTGCTGGCTTTAGTTATAATCGCCCTGTCGCCGGACTAAACGATGTAGGGGGGAGCATCACAGGCCCGTCGTTTATGAGTAGCTCTGAAAGTCAACGATGAGCACTTGTGGTGCCTGTAAATGTTGGCAAAAGAAGGAATGAGAGGCTCGTGGTGGGTTGGGAGAAGGTGCAGAGCTCAATTGTTGCGCAAGGGTGGCCAGAGTGTTCTGGGATGCACTATGGTGTTTGAATGCAACGTTGTACAATCTATCCACACCGAAATCTCAATTCAGTAACGCCTATATGGATCTCGGAATTCAGATAGTAAGCATAGCTGCAGGACTGGTCCTTGTTTATGACGGCATCCCAAAAATTTGTCTGGCAACGGCCCACACACCAGGCAGGATGACGAATATCTACAATGACATGCGCAGCCGTCATATCAGATGCCAAAGTTCACGCGCTGCCATCCAATGCCATTTTTAGGCTCGAAAACTCCGATGTCACTGCAAGACGAGTGGGACTAACTGTGGCTATTTAGATGTCCCCTTTTTGGTCCTGCGAGGGACTCAATACATCAACCTAGGTAGCACTGAGCGAGGCACATGGTCCTGCTGACATGCGAGGAAATGACTTTTCGGGCAGGCCGCAGCAATATTGACGTTGGCTGACTGAGCAAGGAATTCTCGATGCAGGCTGCAGCCCATGTCACACGCCAAGCCTTGATGACCACGAGCACATTTCTCACCCGATTTTTCAGCGCCGTCTTGGGCCACGACTTTGCTCCCACCACCGCTCAAGACACCGTCAACACCCCTCCCTCCAGTCGTCTCCCATGGATATCCATCAAGATACAGAGCAAACGGCACTACTTCGAGAAGGACACGATGTACACGGCACAACACAGGATGCCGTTCGCAATTCCCTGCCGTCGCGTCTAGCCGTCGCCCTTTCATGTCTCCTCCTGCTCGCATTAGTTAATATCGGCAATACACTCATCAGCAGTCCCATCGAACGAATACGATGGGAAACCTTCTGTTACAATCCCAACATGACCAGCATCCCCAGCGTTGCGGCCAATCCATCTTGCGCCAAAAAGGACTATGCCCTGCTGCAAAGCTGGAAAGCTGCTATCGAAATCGTCATGCTTGTCCTTACCGCTGCTCCGTTTGGCATGGCAGCCGATGCGTACGGCCGCAAGCGAATCCTTCAGCTATCTGTTGCAGGCATTACTTCAGCGCAGGCATTCGACATTGTCATCGGTACTAAAAGACATGCATCCCGACGTGTGGAAACAGTGCAATGGGACTGATGTTGTGGCGTAGGTCGCTTCCCCGAAACGTTTCCAGTCCATCTGATGGTATGGAAAGGATTTTGGGTCATGATGGGCGGCGGCGGCACTGTATTTTCAGCCATGATATTCACAATCTTTAGTGATATAAGCACAGAGGCACAAAGGTAAGGCGACGTCGCTTTGTTCTCGAGCCTTTCGCTAACATCCTCCGCTGGTCAACCACCTTCTTTTATGTCACCGCTGCAGCAATATTGAGTCAACTGCTGTCTTACCAGCTACTCCCCATACTCATGTACCCGGATAACTGGATTTGCGTATACGCCGGACTAGGCTGCTTGATTCTATCCTTGTTGACGACGCTCCTTTTGCCCGAGACCCGTGTATCAGTCCCCGAGCGCTGCGGCCAACTGCTACCATCTCAGAGATCAATTCGTTCACGTAGCAAGTACCAGAGCCTCATAGACTTTTTCAAATCGACCGTCGTGCTAGCCCGTCGTTCTTTCTATGAGAACAAAAAGCTAGGTTTGCTTCTGTTGTTTTGCGTATTCACAACTACTGCTAGCAACGTGCCGTTGATGCTGGCCCAGCAATTCTCAGGGCGACCTGACGCCCTAGACTTGGCGGTGAGTTTGAAACTTTGTCCGATGTACATGTAAAGCCTTTAATTTACCAATGCCCTAGGTGCAGATTTATCTGTCCATTATGTGGTCCAATATTCTAAAGGTCGTGGTATTAACGATAATACTGCCCTTGGCTAGTTACTTGCTTGCCAAGAAACTGGGACTTAATCCGGTGATGAAGGACGTTTACATCTCGGCCGTGAGCATTGTAGCGCTTGTTGTTGGATCGTTGGGCATTGTGGTTGGAAAAGCGACCGGGTCAGCCCTCGTGGTTGCAAGCATCTACATCTATGCCCTTGGATGTGGATATGGCCCAGCCATGCATAGCCTCCTGGGCCTGCTATCGGGTGGTTGTCACATTGGCATGCTGTATGCTATTATTAGGGCTATGCAAAGCGTGGGGAACTTCATGGGGGGGTTATTGTTTGGGGCCTCGTTTGAAATGGCGCCTTTTCTTTTTACAGCCTTGTTCCTGGTGCTTGGTGCGGGTGCCTTGTTTTTGATACAGTTGGAAGATACCCAGCAAAGGCAGCCAATTTGGATTAACCTTGATGACCTTGTGGTACACAATGTGTCACCATGAAAAATCAAGATTGAGTTTATTTATCTATAGTTGGCTTAAGAGACGTGAGGTTTCTTAGCGCGTGTTATATGATATATGAAGGAAATTATGTTTAAAGGGGTCAAGCGGAATTTGTTTCAGTTTGTGAGGGAACGCATAGGATGGCATAAGATGGCATAAAGATACTATACTAATAGATCATCGGTTTGAAATTTCATCAAGCACCCTGTAACCCGCTCACACTAACAAGCTTCTGACCATAACAATATTGCAAGCTTACAACCTGAGTTCTGACCTCCCGGGGGGTTTCAATATCCTCTGATTTGTAATCTGCCACGTCTTGGCAACAAGCCCCAGGAACTCGCGAGAATCAAGACAGACCTAAATTAAACTGAAAATATTGGTGCCTAGTTCTGCTGGCGACAGAAGTGAATTGGCATCACGGCTTCCAGCACAACGCTCTAGCCAGCGGAGGGTCATTCCGGTCGCTACAATGTCGCAGATACCGCCCTGGGCTGTTATTCTGAGCGCCATGAGTGTATGTCCGGTCAACAACGTCATGGTTCCGGTTGGTTCTAGAGACGCAATGGATTTTGACAGAACAGGCACGGTGGCGTTTGCGTGGCCACATGACTTGTGTCTCTGGTCCAAGCCCCTGCCGCAAGAATCTCGGAACTTGACTCCCCGCCATTACGCGGGCACAGGTACCTCTTACAACTGTAATCTCAAATATCGTGTTTGAAAACTGAAGAGTCGTCGTGTTTATACCGTAATTACACCTCTTCGCTGCCGGCTATCAGACTCTCCCATCCACCACGGTATGTTGTTCCCGCCGGGTGAGGGACCGAAATCGGGGCAAATGTATACTCGACAATAAAAAAGACTTGTGGCCCAGGTTCCTGATTGCCAAGAGGCCAACGCCCGGAATATTTCACCATGGCCATGTAGAGACTCATGCTGAACAAAGGGAGTTGCATCGCCTCCGCCACCGGCAGACCTTGCCACGTGCGCACATGACCGCATGTCCGAGCTGCATAGTATGCTACTATGGAGTACCTTTAAAGATGGCGTCAATCCTGGCATCGAGAGGATCCAGCCCATTAATGACATCTCTGCATGGGTCATCCGTGGGTGGCCTATACTGGCCTGTGTCCGAAATCTCCCCGGATTCTCTGCAGCCTCTTGTTTCAAACCTACGTATCCAATGGCCATTGGCAAAATCTTATCGGATGGCTGGCCAAAATATGGCGTAATCATTTGACATAACTCCAGTCCACCCCAGGCTATAAAATGGGGCTGGCATTCGATCTGTTTGGCTTTCTTGCACGAGATTCGTCGATCTTCGATCGATATTGTGGCGAGGCAATCTCAGGGATTTGATCATGAGGCGCTTCCTTCTAAAAGCCTCGAGATTTAGCCATGACACTGTCCTGCCTCTGCTATTTGTCAATGTATTTTGAGGGTTAGGAACAGCTAACTGCAACAAGACTAGAGAGGGGGAAAGATGAGCCCATCAGCCACTTTCTTTTAAAATAAGCTGGGCGTACTTGCTAGTTTTTAGATATGCCGTAATTCGGCCCTATCCGCCATGGCCACCATGACATTTCTCCTTCTTTGGAGTTGTAGTCTTGTTATCAAGATAGCGATGTGGGAGAGGAAGAGTGAAGCACAGGCTAGTCGTGACAAGTCCTTGGCGACAAGCATATGACTCGCTCGTAATCAAAGTGAATGAAAAACGGGGTTGCCTCGGTCTAAGAGCACGATCCAAGGAGTGGTCCAAGAGTGCTGGGATGTAGCCTCGTTTGCAGACTAGCTGGCAAGATTCAACAGATACGCTCGAGGTTCCTTTTGTAGTAACAACGTCCTTGCGTTGTTAGGTGTCATTCTGGGAACATGGATCCGAGCCCAAGTACAATTTCTGTGACTTACAACTGTACTAAAAATTTCTGGCTGAAGAATATTGAAAGAAGAATATAAAGAACAAAGCTTGTCGCCAAAGAAATATATGAAGAAGTGGCCGTCAGATTCTAGTCTTAGCTATCAATAGCAGAATCGGGCAAATACAACCAGAAATGAAGCGCGTGTTGTGTTATACTGGCTACAATGTTCATCTACACTTTAGGTTCCCATAAGATTACAACAACCCGGAATGTCCTAGCGTGTCCCAATTACATATGTACATAGATGCCTCCCTCGTCAAGGCGCAGCCACATTGTCCGACAGACCCGGCAGTGGCTGCGTTATCCAGCGTGAAAAGGCCCGATTAGCATTTCCAGGGGCATCCTAATATAGAACACAAACCCGGCCACGTGGTTGTAGGGCGATGACGCAAGATTTGTTGAGAACCTCCCGTAATCGCCTCGAGATATGCGGGGGTGGCAGCGCTCGCCGGCCATAAGACCTGGGGAAGACCTGGGGAAGTCCACTTGCAGAAAGCCTCAGAGGCAACCATCTGCAGCGGTGTACAATAATCATGGGGTAAACTGGAGTAACGATCCACACCTGTTGGCTCCAATTTCTATTGTGCTTTCTATTGTTCTCCTTACGGCAAGTCATCAGGCGGGCAACTTCGTGACGCCCTGACCATCTGGGGTATCTATTGTCACAATGGAGCTGAGCCCCATCTCGCTGGTCTCCAATGCGGCATTTACCCCAGTCTTGATGGCTTCACGCAGACGCGTACTGTAGATGACTCCATGTAGATGGGTTTGATTAGAGTCTATCAGTCCGGAGTCGGCGGGGTTGTGTAGATATAAATTGCAGCCATCTCCCGTAGTTTCAATGGCATCGCAATCACTTTACTATACACCAACAATCTTTTATCACGCTCACTTTGAATACGAAATTCTCACAATGAAGTTTTCAGTTACTTCTGTCGTAGCTGCCATGCTGGCCGTTGTCAACGTACGCACCTCGATAGGACATACGCCCACTTACACCAGAGCTAACAATGTACCGTAGGGCCTACCTAGCCCGCCCTTGGCTGAACTAGACGCTTTCAACGTAATCGGCGGAGTCACCTGGACAGGCGAGGTTCTCCCAGGAAAGAACGTTACCTTCAGCGGCACCATGCAAGAGGTCCGGGCAAAAATACTCGCCGAAAACCCCGACTACTTCAGTGCCTATGACAACGAGGCGGGAATCGAGCATGGAAGCCATCTTCAGAAGCGATGGGTACGTTTGTACTCTTGTCCGCTGTCGTGTTTTGTCTTTCTCCGGGATAACGATTAACATGGTCGCAGGAGCTGAAGCAGCCTCCGGACTGCAACTACGGTAATTTCATTCGAAGAATAAACGCCATCAAATTCATCAACGGTACGTCAGATGACCCTGACTCCCGTACCCGCGCAAATACATGATCGCTGACACTTTCTCGTCATGGTGCAGAACTAAACGCCAAGGGGGGCGGTAATGCCATGTGTGGTGCGCCTCCGCGTCGAGGACCTGGACTGGGGGGTTGCTCCAGAGTTAGCTGTAGTTGGGGATCGCAGATGTGGTTGTGCAATGATAATGATTACCACTTGGATCTTCCTTGCACCGAAGTTGCCTCTGCTTTGTTTGAGCTGAGCAATGTGTGCTATACTGTCGTAAGTCAACCGGCGCCCACGATGCAGACAAATCCCTAACGTTTACAATAGCAACAAGGTGGTGATACGGAGACGCAGGGCCAGGTCAGTATTTCGTCTCCCATTGTAGTATCAGCCACGGCGTCGTGCTGACACACTTGGCAGCTCTTTACTACGGATAATTGGAATGTTATTATTGATTATTATGGTGACTGTCATTCAAGCCCTACTGTCGGTCGATAGATCTGCTGGGAAAGAGGCCAAGGGCCATGGCGTCGAGCGTATTATAAAGCAGAGCGTCTTGCATTTAGAACTAGCCTAAATAAAGTGCTGTTCATGAGACAAAGTTTCAGCTGCTCACCTTTCACGCACTCTTCTTAGTGTCTCGTGAAGAGTTGTCACATAAGGCTGTGACGCCAATCAGGACAAATGACGTTTTATATCCCCAATGCCAACAGTTTCCGCCTTAACAAATTGTATAGGGTTCACGATGGTCAGCAACATACACAGCAACGGCAAACTTGGACACTGCATATCGGTTCCCCAGTCTCTGCTGCGTCTACGCCAACATGTTGTTAAATTTCCCTTGTCCCATTTTACGTTAATTGGCCTTTTTCATAATCTATTGATCTATTAGCGCGAACAACACATCATGACCCCAAGTAGCCACTTGTGAGTCAACAGCACACAAGGCCAAACAACTACCAGCAATGTCCACCAAGCCACTGATTCAAACCCGATTCAAAAGGTTCTTCTTCACGACTTGCGATATAATGCTAACAATGGGAATCGACGCATTTCGAGACCCTCTCCTTGCCCAATCATTCAGTGCTCAGAGTCGGCCCGTGACTTGAAGTAGCACGCCAGTCTTGAAGCACGCCAAAGAAAATTCACCACGCCACATGGCCGCCATCAATTCGAAGGTCGCTGCCCGTCATGAAGCTGCTTGCGTCGCTGAGGAGAAAAACAGCCGCGCCTCGATACTCAGCGGGAAGACTGAGCCGGTTGAGCATGTTATCCCTGGACCACGATTCCCTGCGCTCCGGAAACTCGTCCAAGAGCGACTGAACCACTTCTGTCGTGATGTATCCCGGCGACAGCGTGTTGACCCTAATGCCATGCTCGCCCCATTCCGCGGCGAGGCTGCGGCATAATTGAAGAACGGCCCCCTTGGAAGTATTATATGCTCTGCATGGCAAGCCCGTTAGTTGGAGGTGGTGCGTCACTGTGTCAGGCACGGAACATACGAAGAAGGCATGCCGCGGTTCGCCACGCTGCCGCTCATGCTTGCGACGAGACAAATGCTTCCGGGGCGCTTGAGCCGAATCATCTGGCGGGCAGCCGCTTGGGCCGTCATGAAAGTGCCGATGACGTTGACGCTCATGATGTTTTCCACTTGTTCTGGCAAAAATTCAAGAGCCGAGGTTTCGTTTTTAATGCCAGCCGCGGCGATTAAGCCGTCGAGACGACCGTGGTCGTCGACGATTTTGGACATGACTTTATTGATCTGATGGACATTTCTGACATCGGCCTCGTGGTACGTCAGGTCCGGGCTTGGACTGTCCACGGGGAGTGTCTTGTCGATGCAATGCACTGCAGCGGATTGAAATATACATTAGCAAATTGATGCCATATTTGCAGTTAGCCCGCGAGGAACAAGTTGCAGCGTCGCTGCCTTGTCGTACCGTTTGCGCCGGCGTCAAGCAGGGCTTGGGCTTGGGCAAGACCGAGACCCCTGGTGCCTCCAGAAACAACGACGACTTTTCCCGTCAGGTCGAATTCCGGCAGCAGGCTCTTCCTGCTTGCATGTTTCGAGGCGTCGTGGACAAATCTGGCCGCGCAGCCGGCTACCGAGGCGGTCCTAAACGGGCGCAGGCAGCGGTTGATCGGCAGCATTGTTCGTTTGGGACTGGAACGGTTTATCGACAAGAAGGGGGTGATTTCGCAACACGCATGTCCAAGAGCTTCCAGTGGAGTACTTATATGTACGCGCTGTGATACTATCCGTGATTGGTCTTCGGCAGCGGTGTCCGGGGTGCCATGTAGCATCCGAAGTGTTTGAAGCCACGGAGCGAGCTAGTCGGGGCTGTAAAGTTTGTTGCAGCGCCAGACCAAAACATCCCAGTTTACCGACTCTTTTGCTTTCGGGATGCTTACTTGATACTATTGCAATGTTGGTCATGGTTGGTGATGAAAGTAGGACCGGAAACAGCGACACAGCTCTCTTCACTTGAACGTTCCGAGTAAACCCTAACCCTATTCGCGTCGTGGTAAGGCGTACAGTTTTCTGTAACCCTGGACACCAACCCTAACCCTAACCCTCTCTACTTGTGGAGGTATGCGCTAATATGCGCTAAAATGCCGCAGCTACTTTCTCGCGGCATGCGCCCTCCGTGACTCACATGCAGGTGAATGACAGCATTGAGGCCATCAAGGGAGTTTTGCTATGCGAGCAGCCGGCAGGTCTGTACCAAGAGAAACGTAAATAAAAAAAATTGCAAGCAGGTATAAAACACGAGGAAAAAATTCTACCCGTTGGCCATTTTCCCCTCTTTCCACCTTGTCACCTGGCTACTTACCTGAGCAGCAGAAAACGCGACACGCACCACTCACTCATATCGACAAAGCGACCCCTGGTTTCTGCTACAGATCCCATTGCGTGCCTAGGTACATACTCAATGCTGCTATAAAGGTTCACATGCTGGATGCATTGACCAGACCAGGTTGGCCAGATTGACCAGATTGACGCCTCCAATCTTCAATGCGCTGCTGCACAAATGCGCCATAAAGTGGTTCAGCAGCGCTGCATGCGGTTATTAGTGGAGCTTCCTGCCAATAGCAATCGTCCATCAAGGTGCAGCCCCGCCTCTCATCATTTTTACATAAACCACATGTGTGCAGTCATCGACAAAATTCTCGAGCTCGAATCGACTCAGAGCCATTGACAGCACGCGCATTCCTTTCCAGGCCCAGCACGCACACCATGCCCTCCAGATCAGACATCACCTATTTTGGTGCAGGCCCTGCGCTTTTGCCCACCGACGTCCTCGAGGATGCTGCCAAGGCTCTCCTCAACTACAATGACACTGGCTTGGGCGGTACGGAGCTCCCAGAGGGCCCAGCCCTCACATTCTCCCTCTTCGCATAATCCCCGAAACGTCCCTCTGCCAGGCGCCTTGAACAAGTGATGCTGACCTGTAGCTTCTCCGTGTAGTCGCCGAGCACAGTCACCGCTCGCAGCTGGCGACTGACATCATCAACCAGGCCAAAGCTGACCTGGCCTCCTGCCTTGATATCCCAGACGACTATGAGATCCTCTTCATGCAGGGCGGTGGCTCGGGCGAGTTCTCGGCCACGGCGTACAACTTTGCCGGCGCCTGGGTTGCCCGCAAGCACAAGGCCATGGTGGACGCCGCTGGAGGCGATGCCGCCGACCCCAAGTTGATCCAGCAGCTCAAGGACACCGTGGACAAGCATCTCAAGATGGACTACCTCGTGACGGGCGGCTGGTCGCAAAAAGCGGCAGCCGAGGCCGTGCGGCTGTTTGGCGCGGAGCACGTGAATATCGCCGCGGACAGCCGCGAGTCCAACGGCGGCAAGTTTGGGACCATTCCCGACGAGAGCACCTGGAAGCTGTCCGAGGACGCGGCCATGGTGTACTACTGTGCAAACGAGACGGTCGACGGCGTCGAGTTCCCCGAGTTCCCCAAGTCTCTGGCGCCGGGGCCCGACGGCAAGGGCCCGATTGTTGTCGCGGACATGAGTTCCAACATTCTTACCAAGAAGATTCCGGTCGGCAACTTCTCGGCCATCTTCTTTGGCGCACAGAAGAACCTCGGCGTCACGGGTGTCACTGTTGTGATTCTCAAGAAGAGCTTCCTGCCGCCTGTTACGCCTCAGCCTTCTGCGGCCCTGATGAGACAGCTGGGTCTGCCTATTCCGCCCATCGTCTTTCAGTATGAGACTATTGCCAAGAATAACAGCCTTTACAATACGCTTAGCATCTTTGAGTACGTTGTGGTCGATTCCGAAGTGACGTGTTACTAATCGTGTTTGTAGCGTGTACGTGGCAGGCCGGGTTCTCAAGAAGCTGTTGCAGACGTACCCGGATAAAGTGCAAGGCCAGCAGGCTGTTTCTGAAAAGAAGGCTCAGCTCATTTACAATGCTCTAGAGGCTTTTCCCGACATTTACAAGGTTATCCCCAACAAGGCAGTGCGGTCTCGTGTCAATATCTGCTTCAGGGTTACCAAGGGCGACAATGTTGATGCCGCCGAGAAGGCCTTTTTGGAGCAGGGCGTTGCCCAGGGGCTGACGGGGCTCAAGGGGCATCGTAGTCTGGGTGGAATTCGCGCAAGTAACTACAACTCGGTTCCGCTTGAGGGCGCAGAGAAGCTTGCCAAATTCATCACCGCCTTTGCAACGTCATAAAAGCGGCGTGTTAGTTAGGCTGGCCCAAAAGTCGGTGTGTGCTGGTACTGACCTCTGCAATGGAGCAAATGTAGAATTTGCTTTCCTTGGCATTACCCCGGAGTCGATAGTGCAATGAGCCAATTCTTTATGTATTGACGGCATGTCTCAAACTCGTGGGCCAAGGCATCTTTACAAGGACATGTTTGTGACGCATGACCAGCCGCATCTCGTTGGTTCAAGAGCCATCTCAAGCGAGACGGCGGGATTCATCACGTCGAACGAGGCAGTTTTTGTATCCGCGCTACCAATCTTTCGGACAGGGTAAATCAAATAATCTGACACTGGGCTATAAATGATTGTGTTTCTATAAAAACACTCGACCGATACCAAATCTTCAGCTTCTCGGAAAGCCAGGATTTATCCGCAATGTCTATTGCTTCCAAGCCACCTTGTTTGCACCTTGTTGCCTAGGGGTCCCCTTCTCGCGTGCGCATGTACCATCGATCCGCCCAAGCCACACCCCAACTCGACGAGTCCCAAAGGATTGTGAATGAAGAGAAGGGCCATGTTGAAATAATAAATAAAGGACAAGAAGCAAAACACAAGTAGCCTCCTCGCGCCTCCTTGTTCGTTCGCCGTGTAGATCTTGTCGAAAGATGGGATTTTCGTCGGGCCGTCAGATTATGCAAAGGCCAACCCCGGGGGTAAGGGGGCACATTGGCCGAGAAGCGAACCAGCACTTCTGTTGTAACGCGCCCCCAACTCCGCTGCTAGTCTAGATGCTTGTAGTTGTCGTCTCTGTATGCTGTTGGTATCGGCTCATTCTCTGTGAACAGTGCTGTTCTTGGTCCATCTTCTAAACGTCTTGCCGTGATAGTAAAACACGATTCCTACTCCGCAAAACAACAGCGTCAAGCCCATGTTCAACATGAAGACGGGAATAAATCTGCAAAGCACAGTTAGCGTCTTGTCTCATCCCTTCATGTCATGTTCATAGATCAACCTACCCCGACTGTTCGCTCCACCCCGTAACAAATTCAGCCATGCCATATCCCCAGACATTCTTATTCACCGTAATAGCCACAAATAGCGCTCCCGCCACCGGCTTATAGCTATCCACAGCGTAGGTGCTCACAATCGCCGGAAGGGCCGCCACTTGGATGCCGGTACACGTGTACCCAAGGATAACGATAGGCTGCCACGGCCACTTCTGCTGGTACCCCACGGCGGGCAGGATATGCCCCAGCATCATGAGCACGACGTAGGGAATCATGGCGGGCAGACGCATCTCGGGCTCGCGCACGCCGCCGTTGCGCGCCGTCGCCCTCGCGCACACCCAGTCGCTAAAGGGCCCCGCGGTGAAGAGGCCGATGAAGGTGCCGACAAACAGCGGCAGGTTGGTCAGCCCGACCTGCTCGGCGGTCCAGTTGTACGGCGGCGCCGCAAAGACCTGCGACTGCGTCAGGTTGATGATGAGCAGGCCGCTGCAGCTCCAGCTGACGGCGAAGGAGGCGAACAGGACGATGGGGAAGGCGAACAGGCGCCAGGGCGTCCAGAGCTCGGTCCAGATGAGCCGCCAGGTCACGGGCGTCGTCTGGAAGGCCTTCCACTGGCCGCGGGTCGGCTTGCCGCTGCCGACGAGCGACTGCGGCGGCGGGCTGGGCCCCGTCGTCGGGCTGCGCGTGATGTCCTCGAGCTGCACGTCCGACGCCTTGGCCCAGTCGCCCTTGGCGTGGTGGCCGGCCGCCGTCCTGCCCCGGTGCCAGATGGTCTCGGGGAAGCCGAAGACGATCATGGCGAGCGAGAGCACCGTCATTCCCGAGCACAGCCAGAAGAAGCTGGGCCAGCCGGTGTGCTGGGCCATGGAGCCGGACACGACGGGCGCAATCTGGTCGAGACGACTTTGGTCAGCACGTTACGTTGCAGCCTGGGGTGAGGAAGTCTCGCGCGCGTCTCTCACCATGAGGGAACCCATGTAGATGACCCAGTACAGGGTGTTCCACTTGCCGCGGTCCTTGAGGAAGAACAGGTCGGCCGTGACGGTGGGCTGGATCGTCTCGGCTGGGCCGGCGCCGAAACCGTTGAGGCTGGAGGGCGGTTAGCGCGCGGGCAAAACGGGCGGTTGTGAGGGCATTTCGGCGGCGGCGGCTTACATGATGGAGCCCATGAATGAGCTGTAGCTCGTCGCCCGGGCGCGCCAGATGTATGAAATCAGGCAAATCACCTGGGACGAGATCAAGACGACGCGTCGGCCGTTGGAGGTTGTCAGGGGGACCCTACAGACACGCTTCGCATTAGCCCACCTGTCGTGTCCCGCGGAGACGGTGCTGCTTGCCAGAAAAAGTTGCTAAAGCCCAGAATCAAAATAATGACGCCCGTGAACTTGATGACGTCGGCCAACGAGCGGTTGAACTCTTCCATGAGAAAGGGAAACATGGGTGCCAGGGCCAGCGAGGCAAAGCCCTGCGTAAAGGTCAGGGACGAGGTGGCGATAATGGCCGACGCTTTCCAGAAGGGAGACCAGTTGAGCGGATCGTCGAGCGAGTTGGACGGCTGGGGGACCAGGACGGAGGATGCTTGGTCGTCGCCCCCCTTTGCGGCGTCCGTCATGATCTCGGTGCCGGGGAGAATCTCGATGTCCGGGTCATCTCGGCGGCGGTCATACTCCTCCTGCGGTCTTGTTAGCGAATGCAAAGTCCGGACGGGTTGATGCGAATAGACTCAACGCACCTCGGTGTATCGGGGCGCGTTTTCCTTCATGGCGCAGATGAGTAAAGTGTCGAATGTGATTGCACAGCACAGCTCAGGCAGAAAGGAGATGGAGTCGGGGCATCGAGGTTATATGGAAGCCCCGTCGATATCGCCCCCTGGCCGCGTTCCAAACCGGCATCTGGCATCTCCAGACTCCGCGATTGGCTTCCCCGCATGGAGGCCGGTCCGTTATCTCATCGGATCAGGGGTCCAGGATTGTTGCCATTTTCGGAAACCGGATTGGTCGCGTTCCGATTGCGGGAGGGCTGGGCGCATAACGGCGCCGTGGGGACGCGCAATTCGTGTCGACGGCCGATACGGGGTACGGGGCATGTATGTACGTGTACGGAGTACATCCAGCGCAATCCCACTTGGCGCCCGACGTGCAAATGTTGGCCTTCTTTTAAACCAGCCACACGCGGCGGCGCTGATTCCACGCAGACCAGCTGGCAGACACTTGGCACCGACCTCGACCTTGACGCCAACCTCGACCCCAACCTCGACCTCGACGACCACCTCCCGCCCTGCCTCCCTCCCTCCCTCCCCAATGCCACGTCCTGTACGTGCATCCCCGTCTCGCCGTCCTCCTGCCTGCCTTGCTGACCCCGCGACAGGAAAACCTGTCCTGTGTCCTGTACGGGCCTGGCAAAGTCCGCTTCGAGGAGCGCCCGCTGCCCGTCGTCGAGGATGCCCACGATGTAGTCGTCCGCATCGCCTACGTGGGCGTCTGCGGAACCGACGTATGTGAGCCCCGACATCCACCACCTACGTGACAGTGTATGTACATATGTACTGACAGACGCCAGGTGCGCTTCTGGACGCACGGCGGCATGATACGCACCGTGTCTGAAGACCGGCCGCTGGTCATGGGCCACGAAGCCTCGGGAGTCGTGGATGCTGTGGGCGCAGCCGTCACCCGCGTCCAGCCCGGCGACCACGTCGTCATCGAGCCCGGGTTCCCATGCCACAAGTGCAAGCTGTGCCTGCACGGCAGATACAACCTGTGCCCCAGCATCAAGTTTGCCGCCGACCCGCCGCAGGACGGCACCCTGTCCCGCCTCTACCGCCTGACGGAGCAGTTCGTCTACAAGATCCCGCCCTTCCTGGGCCTCCAAGAGGCCGTCCTCGTCGAGCCCCTGAGCGTCGTCGTCCACGGCGCCCGCCTCGCCCCCCTGGCCCCCGGGTGCAGCGTGCTCGTCCAGGGTTCCGGCACTATTGGCCTCCTCGCCGCGGCCACGGCGCACGCCTTTGGCGCTGGGCCAATCTTTGTCGCCGACATCAACCGCCAGAAGCTCGACTTTGCCAGGGGCTTCGTGCAGTGTGCCACGTTTGCCCCCGACGCCGCGTCGACGCCCGAGGCCAACGCCGCCAGGTTCAAGGCCGAGACGGGGCAGGCTGCCGGCGTCGACATTGTGTTTGAGTGCACCGGCGCCGAGTCCGCTGTGCAGACTGGCCTTCACGCCCTGGCCACGGGTGGCACCTTTGTGCAGATTGGCATCGGCAAGTCGGAGCAGGTGCTGCCGCTCACGCTCATGTGCGAGAAGGAGGTGGACTTTCGGAACTCGTTCCGCTACGGGCCGGGGGACTTTGACCTGGCCATCAAGTTGCTCGAGACACGCAAGTTTTCGGTCAAGTCGTTTATCAGCAATATTTTTCCCTTTGAGAAGGCGGTCGAGGCTTGGGAAAAGACGCGCCAGGGCGAGGGGGTCAAGAATCTAATTCAAGTTGCCGGAGACTAGATGAAGCTTGTCCGCAAGGGGCGCGTATAATTCCAATGATGGTATTACTTTTTTCTTGTCGTTGATGGTATCCCGTTCTAGACAACTGCCAAGATCCAACTGCCAGACGTATCAACTTGATATTGGGATATTCACCCAAACCCCGCCGCTATTGCCACATGACTCGGTGGCCAAGCCTCGTGGTTATCATGACAAGTAGTCCATAATGTGCGAAGCGACACAACGTCCAGCCGTATGCAGCCCAAGCTTAAACCCCAGCTCTGCATACATACAGCCTCAAAGTCTAAGCCTCCCCCAGTCTGTACACCGGTACAAGTAGTCTAGGCATGCCCCGAAAGACCAGCGACCCCAGACCGGACAAGCCGCTCGCGCGACCATGGGATGAAACTAGTATGCAAAGTCTTATCCCACCTGTGCCGCGCCGCCAATCCGGAACCCATGGCCCCTGTCGGATTCCGCCTGCCTGAATTGGCCTTCTGCATCCGATATCCTTGGCATGGAGATTGTAGGGTGCCATCGGCAGGCATCCGATGGCCAAGCACGCGCGAGAGAGGCTTCAATATTCCCTTTGGAGCTGTGTCTCTCCGACAGCCTTCTCTCCACTTGGCCAAGGGACTCAGGGGGCCCCTGGTCGTCATTCCCCAGACGGCTTGCATAATGGCATCAAGCCATGGCTATTGTATGTACGCATATTGCAGTTGGAGGCGGCGCCACCTTGGCGGCTGGGCGCGCCATCGCCACGTCTTATTCGTTGGACCTGGCAATAGATCCTCTGTGCGAATCAGCTGTTGCTTGATTTCTTGCCCTTGGCTTCGCTCGCCAACGCCACGCCAACGCCACGCCACGCCAATGGGATGTCCCCGACGTTCCAGACGTATTCCTATCGTGACCAGCTGGCGTTCACACCTATCCAGAGACGACGGACAAGTGTGACCTGGATGGAAGGGCGCAATTTGATTCCGAACTGTTACTTGTACCGTTTGGGACGACAACAAGTGGAAATGAATGCTGAAAATTCAAAGAGGCGGCCGGATAATCGAGTAGGCAGACGTGCCCGTCAACGGCTCTGGCTTCTTGAAATCCAGATACTTGCTCGATGCAGCCTGGCGACACATTGTCCATTATAATTTCTATCCCATCGCCGACTTGGATATCCAGCCCGTTTTCCGCTGACTTGACGCCTGCTTCGTGCTGCGCTGGGAGGTCATGCGCAAGAATGGCGTACGTCTGGCAGACCAGTAGAGAGAGGAGCCGAGTTTGCACGCCCGGCATGGTCAACTATTTCATCGTCAACGGACCCAGTGCCGCTGTTGGCCATGGGATCCTGCTTTCCGTGATGGAGTGAACGGCGGAATACATTCTGCAATGGTGCGCAAGGATGGCAACCAACAATATCAGGTATGTCCAAGACGCCGACACCTCATCTAGCTCCCGTGCTAACCGTTTCATTAGGTGAGTGACGGTGAACTCCGCTGCGGCCGAGGAGTACAGCGAGCATACGCAAGAGCGGTCGAAGGGAACGGTTTGGACAGCGGATGCCGGTCGTGGTACAAGAACATCGCCAGGAAAGGAAGGTGACGGCCATGTATGCGGGAACTATTCCGCATTAAAAGAAGTTGGTGGGAAGCTTTCGCACTCGAGACTTTATTATTGACTACCATTGTTACACGGATGTCACGTTGCCATAAGGCACGGGCCGGTCCTTGAACATGACGTTAGTTGCACAAGGACTTGAGACCTAATGGAGGCCTCGGGCACCCAGACTGGCCATTTCACCGCTGTTTGATATAAATAAGGGTCACTTGCCTCGAAAGCCTTGAGGAAAACCAAGGACCTTTGATATTAAAGCAAAGTATTAGCTGAATATCGAATTATTCCGAGCCCTTGAACACAAGCCCTTGTTACAACCATGGTCCGAATAGGTTTGCATTTCTGGGCAATGGGTTGACGGCGCGAGAACAGGCGGGAGATTTGATCTTTCGTTTATAAATGAGGACATTCAGACGGATTCTTGTCGGTGAGACGGCATGGGGAGCATCACGCATCCAGGCACAGCAATAGACTACTAGACCGCCGGGTTATAGGCCGAATCTAAAGCTTGTCCATGGAACTAGTCATTCACTCAGTAGTATCTGCATGTCCTTGCTCATCTGTTAAAACAGGCATCCCTGAAAATTCAATACAAGGAGGTAGTTGAGCAGTAACAAGTCACAAGCTCCGGGGTCGGAAGTGGTATCTGGTCGTTGGACCATCTGTGACAAGGGTTCAATATAGAAGGGTTAGAGCAAAAGGGCTCAATTTAATAATAATCTTAAAGGGTCTCTAAGGTCTTAAGTTACTAGGAGAAAAAAAGAGAAGAGTAATTATATTATATATATATAAAGAATACTTAAAGCTAAGGCTTTTACCTAGGCATATATTTAAGCCGTGTAACTAGTAAGTCTTGTATTAGTGAAGCCCTTTTATTGGGCTTTACGATCTGTTAAGCCTTTTTGGTGTAACACTATCAGAGGCTTTTTGCCAACGCTCGCCAAAGGCCGTTGAAGAATGGCCATGACAGAGACGCAATATGACAACCAAGACAGACAGGCAGCTTGTTCACTGGCTAATTCTGGGATATCCGATTTTGCCAGATTCCAAGCCTCGAAAGACACTTACAACGGCGGCGTTTGAGCATCCATGTGGTGTTATACAATACAGCACTAGCTTGACTTTTCACGTCGGCATTCCTCTCATATAGCGGTCAGCAATCGTGGAGAAAATAGGCTGTGACCCAGCGAGCCTTTGTATAATTTGTGGAATCCAGAACCGGGTGTTGCGCACACATTGGCATCTTTCAGTTGGGATATATCTTGCATCTGTGTATAGAGCCAAAACCGTACAAGTCCCTCAGCCACGCACTATTTTCACAGTCAAATCGTCAGTTCATACTTGACATCTTTATTAGCGTAGGCTGCCAGGTGCAGAGTTCCTACTGGCATTTTGCTGCTGGCAAGTGATACATCTGATATAAGTGAGCGGCCTGAAACCCTTTACCCCATGATCCATGTCACTCGACAAGCTTCAGTATTCTAGGCAAAGAGGTGAGCGATTAGTTGCTGGAGGATATTGGGCTTAGACTAGCAGGTGTTGCATAGTATTCCAAGGCTCCTCGCCTGGTCTGGACGTAGATAATGCCCGTGAATCAAGTCGTGCCATGTTACACGGAAAAGGCCCAACAGATCGTGAAGCCCAACAAAAGGGCTTTACGCTGATGTAAGACTTGTTAGTTACACAGCTAGAACACGTGCCTGGGTAAGAACCCTAGGCCTAAGTGTTCCTTTTATATATATAAAGTAGTTACCCTTCTTTTTTTTCCTCTTATTAACTAAGAACCTTTAATATTCTACGAGATTATTATTAAATTAAGCCCCTTATTGCTCTAAGCCCTCTTTCTAAGCCCTTGTCACATGCCATGTCGTATTGTTAAGCGTAGATTAGGCAACCTCATTCTATTATTCTGGTTCTGTAGGCCGAAACCGGTAAAGGGTAGACTCTAGCAACGCCAGTGTAATCGGATGTGACAAGGGTTCAATATGAAGGCTTGGAGCAAAAGGGCTCAATTCAATAATAATCTCGTAGGATGTCAAAGGTCCTAAGTTATTATAAGAAAGGAAAAAAAGGGTAACCGCCTTATATATATAAAAGGAACGCCTAGGCCTAAGGTCCTTACCTGGGCACGTGTTCTAGCTGTGTAATTAACAGGTCCTGTATCGGCGAAGCCCCTTTATTGGGCTTCACGAACTGTTGGGCCTTTTCCGTGCAACATCGGATGACGATCCTAGAGGGAGAATATTGAATAAAACGTTTGATTTAGAATTAAGAATTAGTCAACGAAGAAGCCAAGTATGGCGTGCTCCGGGTATATTTCACCTGTCTTTGAATGACTCATGAAAAAGTAAGCACATTGATGACTCCCTCTGAGAACGGAGGCCGCTGCATGAGATTTGACGCAGTCGCTACTTTGTCAACTTGACTGAAACACTTTGCCAGCCATTCCAACGGCCAAGGTCTGTCCCAGATAGACACCCCTGTGAGACTGCAAGTGCATCATTCTGTATTTCGCTTTGAGAAGAGTGCAGCGCCAAATCTCCAATGACAACTTGTCACGAACTCGAATGCAATGCTCCGCGGGGATACAATTGCCGATACGCAGACACTGCGCATCAAGTTGCCAGACCTACAAGTCTAGCCAGTCCATTGCACATTGCAGAGGCGACATCACCTTGACAAAGCCCTATATGATGAACACGCCGTGTTCCATGTGATCCAGGGCCAAGTGAGACCAGCCCGACAGGATTCGGGGCTGACGTGAACGGTCTGGTACAACTGACAAGTATACAGGAGCACGCTGGACGAGGGATTTTTTATTCCATGTTGCGGCTACCAATGATGGGCATGTTCAGCCCGTAGCATGGACAGTTTGGCATTTGAGCTCAAGGTGAGAGACATGATGAGACACCCCGGCCAGAATGTGAGAATGGGCAAGACAAGACAACCTGTGCGAGCTGTGAGCTGTAGTCAGTGGTCACGCAGTGCAAAGGAAAAAGAAATTCTCATTCTTCAACCAGATGCGCTTTTGTGATTTGTGACAAGGCCAGACACGCAGTGACTGGCCTTGCAACGGGGCGTTTGATTCAAACTAGCAATCGACTTTAAAGTTTAAAGTATCAAAGGTTCTTGATTTTCAAAAAGGTCCAGATGTCTCTATAAATACACGTGCAGCAAGTCGGTGAGCGCTGTGCTTTGCCTCAGGCAGCCCTCGCTTAAAGCCGGCCTCAGGCCTCGTCATTTTTCCATCTTCCTTTGTTGTCGTGTAACCATTGTTGGCCCAACGCCCTTTATGCAACTCGTGAGCCAACCGTGCGACATCAACCTAGGCCGCACGTCTGTCCTACGTGACGAGTCAATTTAACAATTGTCCCAATCCAAGCCGCCTGAACACCATGTCGATGGCCGCTCCCTCCAGACTCGGAGCTGAAACGTCATCCAGCAACGCGTGGCCGCAGACCGGAGCCTTGACGTCTCAGCTCCTCGGTCTTTGTCTAGTCGCGTTGCGATATTACCCTTCTTCACTCGCGCCCCCAAGCAGCCGACGCCCGGATATGAGCTAATAGCTGACACTTTTTGTTCTTTAAATAGGTGCCATGTAAGCCGCTAGCCGTAGCTGGCCTTGGCAGGGTATCGCCTTTAGCTGATGCGAAGCACGTTGCCATGGTTCTTTCTCAATCATGAGAATGCCTCTCCGGATGTCGGGCGTCTAGGGCTGTGCTTATTTTTGTCAGGAATCCTGCGGTTCTTTTCATCACCGCCCCTACCTTGGCTACTCATTCGGGCTGGGCCCGTATCCTGGAAAGGGGCCTCCTCACATATAAAACCACATATATCTGCCTGTCTGCGTTTATGTTATCCAATTCGCGTCAATGCGAGTAGTTTACATGTTGCCCTCTTTGCAACTCACTTACTCTACCCGCAAAACATGTCCCGGATGCCGGCCTAGGTAAATCCTGCCACTGTTGTCCGTTTGTCCGTTCCATCGACATCCGCCTCGTGCCGCTGCGCAGCTCCTTATTCCGAAATAGTCTACGCAATCGCCACTGCGAAACCTGGACATGACGACTTCCGCGACGGACGTGATTCCGCCCGCACACGAGGCTGCTGGAATCTGCACAGCCCCGTGTCGCGCTGACGAGCTGAACAGGCACCACGCCCGCGCGCAAGGCCGCGACCTGCACTGCGACAGCGAGGGCCGCGGAACGACAGAGCGGCCGGGAACAGCTGGGCACAGCTTGCGCGCCGCGCGGGATGAGGCCGGCGACGCGCTCGTCTATTCCAACTTGGGAGACGGCAGGGTGCTGGTCTTTTGGCTGCTTCTGCTCGCTACCCAACTCGCGACTGCGCTGTGGTTCGGAATCGTCGTCTCCTTGGCCAAGATGCCCGTCTTGCCCCGTGTTTCCGGCCCTGAACCCCGTGCAAAAGGGGAGTCGGCTCATTTATTGGCAGATGCCTGGTCGTCACTGACTCTCAGCACGACCGTCGACGCCGTCGCCGTCTTGGCCACGTTCAACGGCCCCGTCATCCGGCGCTTTCATTACGCCGTGTCCCAGCGCATCATGATTCTGGCCTCGATCCTGTCCTTTCTCCTGTCTTCGTGGAACGAAAAGGCGGGTTTCGTCGCGCGGTATCCAGTCGAGTCCGTGGCCGTTGCTTGTGCGCTGTACGCGCTCTTCTGCCTCCTTCTAGACAGCTTCGAGAAGAAGATGCACGCGAGCGATGCGGATTGCAGCTGGCGACGGCTTTCGCAGTACAGCCAAAGGTTCTGCCGAGCTCAGTCCACCTGGGGCCGTGCGCTGATACACTCGGCTGTTATTGCTGCCGTCGGGCTTTTCCTGACCGCACTCATACCCGCTCCGTGGTCGTCGGTTATTCCCGTCGTCCAGATACTCTTCGAGGTATGCCGAGTGAATCAATCCCACTATGGGTTGCCGTGCAAGATGCAGGCTGCTAAACCAAACGACAGGCCGTATACCTATCGACGTTGAGGATAAAAAAGACGCCGCAGTATATTCTCCTCAGCTCGCCCCCCTTCTTTGCCAACATCTGCGTGCTTTGGGGGGTGGCGCCGCTGCTTTCTTCGCCGCGAATATCTATCCGGCCTTGGTCTTTTCTGGCCCTGTTTCTGGCAGGACGCGTACTGCTTGACGTGCACTTGCGAACTGTACTGAAATGGCGGCATGAGCTGCAATGGACCAGAGAGGAGGTGCTCCCTTCTACACGCCGACTGTTGTGTGTTTGCGCCGCAATGTTGCTGTTTGAAAACCTGGGGCTCAGGGTTGTCACATATGTCAAGCTTATCATGATTCCTGCTATATTTGGTGCGGCAAGTGTTGGGTTCACTTCGCTTGCCGCCCACAGCATTGCTGTTAGGGTCCCTGCTCACAGATAGCGTAGTTGATATTTCTGCCGAATCCATCGAGTTCTGAGAAGAACGCTAAGGTAGTAATTAGTTTGCATGTGATGGAGTGAACTCTGGCCCGAGATAAACATATCCTCGGTTGCAGGCGCAAACTCGGTCTTGAGCATGGCTTTCGATCCCTTGCGTATCCGAAGTGAGGATAACGTGATAGACATGTCATGCAACAAGGTTTCAACGGCAGTTGTAGTATGAAATATCTCTTGTTCGAAAACGTAGATATAGAGTCTGGAGATGGCCAGTGAGAGCCCAGAGCAGTTTCAGGGGCATCCTAGTCATGTGGAACTCAAAACTGTGCTTGTTGTCAAACTGGAACTTGACATTGATGTTGCCGCCCTACACTGGCTAACCTAACCGTCTCTGGTAGAGGCGTATCTTGGTGGTCATTGCTCAAGGATCGCCTCCAAGAATGCCATTTTCGCCAAACTGTCACTTGACACCGACAGAAGCAAGTATGCCGCGGCTGGTGGTGAAGGGACGTTCACATGGCATCAACTTACTATCAAGTGTTTTACGCTATCGCTAGTCCAGGACTATGACGACTTGACGCGTGTTCGACTCTCCGGTCTATCGTCAACAGTCGACTGCTTCGCTCGTCAAGTTTGCAGTGTTATCTCGGACTTTGCATCGCACAAGGCTTGGCTCTCTACGTCTATGATGCTACAGCTCGAGAACTATTAGCTTTGACTCTTGCCCAAACGAGAGCTCAAGCGAGGTAGAGCCTCGCGTGACTGTTGGTCTGGTGTCCCCTACCGGGATTTAACTTGATTGGGAACGCTAGGCAGCTCGACCAGCTCGTGTGCCAACCAAAACAATCCGTGCATCTTGGCATCCATGTCAGTTTATCTCGCACCCCGCCACGATCTCCTAATGCTGCCTTCCCCAGGATCAATGATGGGTTGGGGGCAAAGACAAAGATGTTGCGGGGAAACAAGCATTCCCGAACCTAGCCATTGTCCTTATCTGGCCGCCATCCACGCCTTCATGAGACGGTCAAAGCGGGGGGTCCCTGTTGATTCTGCCGTGGCGGCACATACATACATACATACATACAATACATTGTGAGTTGGCGCCAGCTCTGGCACCGAGGTCATGGCAAAATCACAGAATTTGAGTTTGGCCTTGTTGCTGTAGTCATCTCGTTCCTTTACACGTGGTCGTGCTTCACGATTCCCGCCCCCACCAATTCTGTAAAGTCTGCGAATCGACACGGACAACCCAAGCCACCAATTTCCATTACGGGCGAACGTGACACACTAGTCTGCTTGGTTCTCGTCAACATGGAAAAACGCGAAATGAAAGTCCGTCAAAGTCCGTCCAAGTCCTTCATCACAAGCCGCCAAGCTATACTGAAGCCCTTTATCGCTTCTTCCCCCACAGGAACGGCCCGAGTGTCCCAACGAGGGACATCACATGCTCAACCATCATCGCCATCGAGTCTTCAAGGGAGTCTGATAGATTCGGGGAAACAGGCGAATCCAGAGATTGCGTATACCGCCCTTCGAACGGCCTCGTCGTCCAGCCGGACCAGGTATTCGCAACCCGCCAAGGCAGCTGCCGCAGATCAGAACAATACAGGCCTTGGCAGATCCTGGAATCAATATAAATTGGCAACCATGTGCCCTGTTCCATATCTGGTCCTGTCTCGAAGCCTCATCCGTTTATCCTCGTGTAAGCCACGCGGACTGTGAGACACCGGAAATTTTACCTTCCCCCAGCCCAGCCCTATATCAACCTCATCGGACCCGGCCAGTTTTGCCGCCATGTTGATCCCCCGTTTGTCCCTCTCCCTCCTTTGGGCTGCCGTTGCCCTGGCGTCGCCCACCGGGACTCCTCCCGCGGGGGATCCTGAGCGCATTGCCACCAGGACCGCCACCGCCGTTGTCCCGGCCGGGACGATACTGGGCAGTGCGAGGTTCGGCGTCGAGGCGTTCAACGGAATCCCCTATGCAGAGCCCCCTCTTGGTCCCTTGCGGATGAAGCCCCCCGTGCGTCTGACCGAGTCGTTGGGCGTCTTTGATGCCACTGGCCTGGCCCGCCCTTGCCACCAGCAAGTGGTTTCGACGGACAGCAAGAACTTCCTGCTGGACACGCTTGGCTCCCTTGCGAATCTTCCATTCGTCCAGACTGTCACTGGACAAACTGAAGACTGCCTGACAATCAGTGTTGCCCGCCCCGAGGGTACCACCGCCGGAGACAATCTACCAGTGCTCTTCTGGATCTTTGGCGGCGGCTTCGAAGTAAGTCTCTGCAAGTCGTGCTTTTTCGATTTCAAACTGACACGGTATTTCATCTGCTCTAGCTTGGGTGGACGTCCATGTACGACGGCACGGGTCTCCTCAACCATGCCAAGTCCATCAACCAGCCATTCGTCTTTGTCGCGGTCCAGTATCGCGTGGCGGGATACGGCTTCATGCCAGGCAAGGAAATCATGGGCGAGGGCTCTGGTAACGCCGGCCTGCTCGACCAGCGCATGGGCCTGGAGTGGGTTGCCGACAACATCGCCGCCTTTGGAGGCGACCCCGACAAGGTAACCATCTGGGGCGAGTCGGCCGGCGCCATCTCGGTGCTCGACCAGATGATCATGTACGAGGGCGACCACACCTACAAGGGGAAGCCGCTGTTCCGCGGCGCCATCATGAACTCGGGCAGCGTCGTACCCACGAACCCCCTCGACCACCCTAAGGGCCAGGCCGTGTTCGACAAGGTCGCCGAGACCGGCGGCTGCGGAGGCGCCGCAGACAAGTTGGCATGCCTACGAGCTCTCAGCTCCAACGACTTTTTGAACGCCGTGACCTCGGCGCCCGGCATCGTGTCCTACGACGCTCTCGCGCTGTCCTATCTGCCCCGTCCGGACGGCAAGGTCATCACCGTGTCACCGGACATCCTGGCTCTGTCGGGAAAGTATGCGCCCGTGCCCATGATTATTGGCGACCAGGAGGACGAGGGCACCTTTTTCGGCCTGTTCCAGCCCAACCTGACCACCACCAGAGGCTTCGCCGACTATCTCCAGTCGTACTACTTCCCCGGCGCAACCACCGATCAGCTCGTACAACTAGTAGAAACGTACGGAACCGGTCTCTCCGCCATCACCAACGGCAGCCCGTTCGGCACGGGACTCCTTAACGAGATCACCCCGGGCTTCAAGCGCCGCGCCGCCGTGCTGGGGGATCTCGTCTTCACGCTCAGCCGGCGCGTCTTCCTGGCCGGCGCAACCGCCACCCACCAAAACGTTCCGTCGTGGTCGTACCTGGCCTCGTATGGCCGGGGGTTGCCCATCTTGGGCACGTTTCACGGCTCGGATATTGTCCAGACCTTCTACGGCGTGCCGGACAACTACGCCGCCAACAGCATCCGCACGTACTACTCCAACTTTGTGCACAATCTGGATCCCAATGTCGGTGTGCAGGGCGAGTTTCCAAACTGGCCGCGCTGGTCCGAGGGGAATAATCTGGCGCACTTCTTTCGCGACAGGTCGACGCTGCTCAAGGATGATTTTAGGCAGACGTCATATGAGTGGATTTCAAACCACATCGCAGAGCTCCGGTTCTAGTGCTTGTATCTTGAAATTAGCATATATATACATATATAAATATATATCTTGCCTATGACTGATGATGATTAAACTCGTCATTTACAAGAGCCCGTTTGTCTTGTGCATGGATCGCCCGGCATCTTGAACAGAAGCATACCTTTGCACCAAGTGTCGAGGTCAATGGCAGAGCCATGTCGAAGGAGTTTGACTTGGAGTTGTTTTTCTCATCAGAGTCTCTGCAAACTTGCGCCGCAGGGTAGCAACCCATCCATGTGGTACCGCTTTACAACGGCTTCCTGAAGAGGCATCTTGTTGAACTTTCCCATGCCCATCTCTTCATGCCTCTCATACTTGAAACAGTCTTGAGGCGCGATTTCGTTTCCACTTGATTCCGCATTCCGTCCTGTGATACACAATGCAAAATAAAGCCCTTGCACTACAAGGAGTGATCTCCGCTTTTTTGTAGTGTCAAGTATGTAGGTGGTAGACTTTTGATACGTCCCACTCGGCGGTGGTAGCTCTTGATGACGGTCACGTGATAGAGGTTCGGCCTCGTGCGATGCCCCCCACATCAGCCTCGTAGCTAGCACAAGCAAGAGCTCAATGCAATTGATATTTGTCATCCTTGTTTCCCGTTTGACAGTATCATGACCACGTGCGGCGTGTCTTGAAGCTTTGACATCCTTTTGTCCGCAAATACAACAATATACGCGGCCACCATGAGCTAAGGTTGTGTGCGCCCGTGGAACTGGAGTCCGCCCGCACATGGCAATTGTGGCGTGGCAAATCACGGAGCCCGCATAGTTTTGTGCTCCGTCCGCAGGTCATCAAGAGGCCCGTTCCGGAATTCGGAACCCCTGACGCCCATGTCTATCTGCAGAACTAGGCAGGTGGGATATTTCCCCGCACCAAAACCCCGCGAGTCACAGTGCCGTCGCAGATTTCGTGTCTCCAAGTGCATCGAGGTGTGGCTGATGGGGTGCGTTATCAAGACCGCCGGACTGGTCGTCGCCGATACGCCCGTGTTGCTGTTTCTGGCTCTGCCGGCATTCGGAACTTCGGAAGAGGCAGGATTCCCCGCAGCATATTTATATATTGCTGCCGGGATTCGAAGCAGACGACCAGCAAAAGTGGCATGAAACCAGCAACGTGGCGTGAAGGACGTGAAACCCTCTTCCAACCCAATGGCTTCGCATCCATCCACGGCCGGCCTCGAAAACGCCACCGCCTACATCAACGGCCGCGTCTTCACGGTCGACGAGAACCAGACATGGGCCGAGGCCTTCATCGTGTCGGCCGAGGGCGTCTTTACCCTCGTGGGCTCAACTGACACCATCGTGGCCGCCGCGCGCCAACATGGCATAGTTGTGCATGACTTGAACGGGCGCTTCGTCATGCCGGGCATACACGACGCCCATGTGCATCTCCTGACGGCCGGCCTCTCTCACTTCAGCAACATCCACCTGGGCCTGGACGAAATCATGCCCATGTCCGAGGCGACGGAAAAGCTCAAGAGCTCCTCGTGCGGCTGTGAGTATGCGCACGCCTTTGGCCGGTAAGCTTTTGTGGGAGAGTGCCGCGGGAGAAGACGAGACGCGCAAGACGATGAGAGTGATGATGATGATGATGATGAATGGCGTCTCGTTGGAGAGCGCAAGAGAGCAGGCAGTTGGTTTCTGACACAAGTCCAGATGGCTGAGCGCCGACGTCTTCCGCATCAAGGACTTTGACCGCGCCCATCTCGACGAGGAATACCCCGACACGCCCGTCATCATCCGCGCCGGCGCCGGGCACAGTCTTCATCTCAACACGGTCGCCCTCCGCGAGTCCGGCTACGACCTCGCCAACGAATCCTACCCCAACGGGGCGTATGTCGGGCGCCGACCCGACGGATCCCTCAACGGCGAGGTCGCCGAGCTGGCCACGACCAAGGCGCTCCTTGCCTGTCCCAAGCCTCCCGTCGCCCATGTGCGGCGCGCGCTCAAGTACGCGGTCCATCGCCTGCACCAGGCGGGTGTGACGTCGTGCCAGGAAGCCGCCACCAACACGCTCTTGCTCAGCACGCTGCGCGACATGGACCGCGACGGCCAGCTGCAGCTGGACGCGTACACGCACATCGTCTACGCCCCGGAGTTTATTGCCGAAGAGTCCCAGTCAGAACTGATCCAGCTGCTGGACCGGGCCGAGTCGTTCAAGACGCAGCACGTCGACACGCGCTTCGTCAAGATCATACTCGACGGCATCCCTCTGGATCCGTACTTTACGCAGGCGAGCCTGGATAAAGACGGCAACGTGGAGAAAGAAAAGCTGTTTCTGTACGACTTGCAAGAGGCCGTCCTGCGGTATGACCAGCGAGGAATGACGTGCAAGATTCACTGCACGGGCGAGGGCGCCACCCGGGTGGCTTTGGACGCCATTGAGGCCGCGCGAGCACAGAATCCCAACGGGCCCCGACACGAAATTGCACACTGCTCGGGGGTGCATCCCGGTATGTCTCTTTATCTCGTCACCATTTCTGTTTAGAGCGCGTCTACTCAAGTCCCAACCCGCTCCATGTCTGCTAACCTCGCCCTCTAGACGAATACCCTCGATTTCGGCCGCTCAACACGACGGCGGAAATGTCGCCCTCCGTCTTCTTCTGCCAGACGTTTAGCCCGGAAGAGGACGCCCTGCAGGACTGGAACTTTCCGCAGATGCTCCGCCACGGCGCGCACATCTCCATCGGCTCCGACTGGGGCGTCCCCGAGTCCCCGGACCTGCTGCCGGGCTTGGAGGGCATCCTCGACGGCGTGGGGTCCGGCGACCGCGCCAAGGGGGCCGCCATGGTGCTGCGCATGCTGACCCTGGCTGGCGCCGAGGCCGTCGGGCGCGACAAGGAGACGGGGAGCATCCAGGCGGGCAAGCGGGCCAACTTTATCGAGTTGGATCGGGACCTGAGCCTGGGGGAGCCCGGCGCGTTTACGGATGCCAAGGTGCGGAGGACGTGGTTTGAGGGGGAGCTTGTTTACACCGCGTCGGTGTAGGCGGTAGCGTCTGGTGGATATATGTACAGGGCCAGGCGTGAACGCCGGGGAATATATAGAATTGCTAATTGACCCTTTTGATCGGAGTCGAGGGCGTCTTGTCAAACAACTGGCTTGGTATTCCTACAGCACCGTCCGCTGCACAGAGTTGACGGCAACGTCTAGAAACGTGTAAAGTACAACCCTATAGAAGAAACTGGGTCTGTAGTGATTCATGATTCAGTCCAGCTGGTGTCATCACTATTGTTTTAAGCAAATATGGCGAGGCATAGTTTAGAAGACAAAAACGATTGTTGTACTATCCATGCTATCCATGTCCAAAAGAAAGTCGTGTGACTCGTGTCCCTGAACCTCCCACGGTGGCATGCCCGAATGCCCGCAAAGCAGTTCCTTTCCCTCGTCGTACAATGGTCATTTCAAGGCTGCAGCCAACCAGACGCTGAAAGAGTATATTTCGATCCAATCAGAGGAAACGTTATACCTCGTCGTATAAGAACCCCATGTATGTAAAGATCTAGGCGTATGGGAGGCTAGTTACGAGCATGATACATTAGTCTGTTGGTCTCCCGGTAGCAAGTATGATGAAATGGACCACTCACGGCTATAGATGGAGGGGTTTCTTCAAACGAATTTCCTGAACTTCGTCACGGCCGAGTTGTTTTTTCCCTGGCCAGAGTCCGGGAAGATGTCATCGATGATAGGAAGGTGAAACAAACCCAGGAAAGGCAGGGCCGAGACGGTGGCAGCAGCGAAACCGAGTAAAATCGCAAGACGCATGGTTCTTAACTTCTGAGCGCGGAATGCTTCAAATAGTAAGATGCAGGTTGGGTATTGTGGTCGGAGAACAAATTGCGGATGAAGATGACTGGCTTCTGCTCGGATCGTCGTCCCCTTATTTATATGAGGAGCAAGGGCGTTCGCTTTCAAGAGTACATGGACGACCTTTGCCGCTTCCGTGCTCTGCTCTGCTCATTTCCATTATTTCTCCATTGTGTCCAAATTGGCTTTTGTGAGAAGCGCGTGACAGCTGATGCCGCCATTCAGCACCACATCCAGCGTGGCCTGCGGACAATGATGTAGATCCAGGACAAGCGAGGAGACTATACAAAGGCTACCAAGCTTTTTTTTTTTGAAAGCCTTCTACACGTGGTCAAGTTTTTCAAGCCTTGTCATTAAATCTGCTGTCGGTGCTTCCCGCTGCTTCTCAAAGACATGCTTCTGGCACGGTCCATTCTCGATTCAGCCTGGGACATGCCTACGTCTTTGTTCGTCTGGATCCAAAACACCATGTTTGCACAAGGAACTCTGGTCACCCGAACCAAACTGTTGCCGTCCTTAGATCCCACTCCGTCACTTGTTTCAGTCTACAATTGGCTGTATGAGTGGCCCGTCACTCAAAAGACCCCGGGCCTCGAACCATGGCGAGAACATGCAAAGGCGACATTTGCGAATCGCCATGCAAAGGTCATGAGACAACGTGCATGCGACAAGACACGACAGCGTACATTGTGCCCCACGCTTGACAAGCGAGAGTCGTCCCTACAACCGCACCAGAGTTGCGTACGGTGCGTGTCAACTCATGCTTAGCAATCATCCGAGTCCAAGTCGACGTTTGCCATGCGCCGCTGATGGAGGCGACCATTCGGTCCCCACCTTTCGGCATTCTTTCGTAGGCCGAGATGCGATAAACTGGCTTCAGTGGAACTCAAATGCCGCATTTGTAAGAGGCTTCCTAATCACCGCGATGCGCGTGGCATGAGAAGCAAAAGGCCAGAGTATAAAGGATGAAGGCAACAACGCGGCGACAGCGCTCGTTTGAGCCCATCGTCCTCACCCTTGCCTCCATCCGCTCTTCCACATCGCACGCTTGATCGCCACACGATACATCCAGATTCCAGACAAACAGACATGTCGCGCGCGCTGCTGATAACAGGAGCCACCGGCAAACAAGGTGGCAGCGTCATCACGTCCCTGCTCGCGAAAAACGCCGACTTTCAAATCCTCGCCGTCACAAGAGACACGACCTCGCCAGGAGCAAAGAAACTGGCTGCTGCGTCCCCCAAGGTCACACTTGTCCAAGGAAACCTAGACGACACCGAGGCCATTTTCAAGAATGCCAAAAAGGCAACCGAGGCACCCATATGGGGGGTTTTCAGCGTCCAGGTACAGCGCGCAGAGCACAGCTCGATAAATAGCACTTGACTGTACTAATCGACCCGCGCAGTTGGCCCCGATGAACAAATCCGGCCCCAGCATCGAGGAGGCCCAGGGCAAGTCGCTCGTCGACTCGGCCATCAAGCACGACGTGAAGCACTTTGTGTACACGTCCGTGGATCGCCACGGCGCCAAGTCCATCGACAACCCTACCGACGTCCCGCACTTCAAAAGCAAGCACAACATCGAGCATCATCTCATCGACAAGGCGCAAAACACCACCATGTCCTGGACCATCCTCAGGCCAGTCGCCTTCATGGACAACTTTGCGCCGGGCTTCATCGGCAAGCTTTTCGCAACGGCTTGGCGGGACGCGCTGAAGTCCCGCCCGCTCCAGCTCATAGCGACCGAGGACATTGGCGCCTTTGCCGCCATGTCCTTCCTGGAGCCCGACAGATTCGCAGGCAAGAGCATCTCGCTGGCGGGGGATGAGCTGTCGTTTGCGCAGATGGAAAAGGTCTTTAGGGAAAAGGTGGGCACCACTCCGCCGACCACGTTTGGGTTCATCGCGTGGCTTGTTTTGCGGCTCTCGGTCGAGCTGAGGACCATGTTCAACTTCTTCGAGAAGGAGGGCTACGGCGCAGACATCGCGGCTGTGAGGGAGATGAACCCTGACGTCAAGGACTTTGGCCGCTGGCTGGAGGGGAGTGCGTTTGTCAAGTCGAAACGAGACTGAACCTGTGTGGTGGCGCGTCCAGTATGTATGTCCCTGTGGGAGTTTAACATGGTGCGGGAATAATAATACTATTGTTATTACATCTTACCGAGATGAATGGTGGCTTTTGAGTGAAAAGCGCAGGTGACGCTCGTTTCTTAAAGATGCATGTATGCTTTGCATAGAGAGACATAAGGGTACTGTCGTGTCTGCACAGGTACTCGGGGATGGCAAGTAGGTGTAAGAGGCATACAGAACATGTCTATCTGAACTCCCCGGAAATCGTTCCATGACCGTCGTAGCAACAGTCGCGTCGGGCATATCCTACCTCGGCGCCCCCTTTGTGATTCCCTTGATCAAGCGCCATCATCGATATCAGCATGCAATCATCTCCTTGAGTTGTAAGTCGTCTTGTCGACTAGTCATCTCAGAGACTCCGAACTTGTTATGCAACTTGCTGTCTCTTCTAATAAGCGCATGGGCTCTTTGCATTGCCGGCATTGTCCTCGCATCATTCTGTTCGACAGTCGAAACCACCATCCTAGCCCGGGGTGTGGCCCACAGCGCCGGCTTCCTCATCTTCTACTTCCCTATTCCAAGCATGGTCAATGAATTCTGCATCGCCCGTCGAGGAATGGCGTATGACGCGAATGTTCAAATGGAAATGTTGTGTCGTCAAAGTTCAACATCAGATCCAGATCAGTGCACTAGTCCTGATGCGGCCAAGTGTCCTGTCCACAAGAGTCCAAGACCCCGGTTCGCAACCAAGACTGTCAACATGCTTTGACCCCACGCCCGCTCTCCCTCCACCAAGCTGGCGCGTCGCGACCTACATCTTTTTCTTCATTCTTTTGCCTGCGCATCAAAATTCGTGCCACCGCAGCGTTACATCATCCAAACCATCAATTTGAGGGGGCGTTCATGTCACCTTGGTTGCCACATATACGTCTGCTCGCAATATAGTCCGTCAGAGCTCTCGGCGCAAATCATCGCATTCGTCTGCCCTTTGCGACAAGCGACGTCACTCAACGGCCTCGTCACCCCAAATGCGCTGAACTACCCCCTTGGCGGCCCAAATCTCACGCACCATGGCCGACTGGGCTAAGCTCAAGGTCGTCGACCTCAAAGCCGAACTAAAGCGACGAGGTCTTCCTCAGGGAGGGTTGAAGACGGAGCTTGTTGCGCGACTGGAAGAGGCTGATCAAGAGACCAAGGAACCGGACCCCGAACCGGAGCCGGAGCCAGAGCCAGAGCCGGAGCCAGAACCAGAGCCGCATGCTGAAAATCAGATGGATAATGAGGCGCCGGCAGTTGAGTCTAAACCTTTGCAGCCTATCAATGGCGATGCCGCCAGTCAGGCAGAGGAGGAACAGGAGGTGCAGGAGGTGCAGGGGCAGACCAAAGATGGACAATCCGTCACACAGGATGCGCCAGAAGCCGAACCAGAGCAAACGCCTCCTCAACCTCCGGCGACGACACAAGAGCCAACTCCTGCACCGGCACAAAAGGAAGAATCACAGCCCGAACCAAGCCCTCCGTCTCGAGACCCTCAGCCCGCAGGCAGCGACGCTCCCATGGATCAACAGCACATCCAAGACCCGGCCGTCGAAGCTCCAGCCGACGCGCAAAAGCGCAAACGGCGCTCTGCCAGTCCCACGCCCAAGGAGGAAGACGTTGCCAGAAAACGAGCTCGAGCAGACCCCGGGCTTGCTCCCAGGCCATATCAACTCAACCATTTCCCGGCCGAGGCCCACGATGCCCCAGAGGCAGAGGTAGACTACGACCGACACGTCGAACCCTCGATGCACCCGGCCACCTCAGCCCTCTGCATCAACAACCTCATGCGACCTCTTCGGCCGGCTGAGCTCCGCGCACACATAGTCGCCCTTGCTTCCGCGCCAGGCACAAGCTCCACTGACGACATTGTCACCAAGTTCTACCTCGACTTCATTCGCACGCACGCCTTTGTGGCACTGGAATCCGTATCAGCTGCCTCGCGTGTTCGCCAGCTGCTGCACGGCCGCGTCTGGCCCAACGAAAGCAACCGCAAAGCACTGTCAATCGACTTCATACCACCCGAAAAGATAGACTCCTGGATCGACATGGAGGAACAAGGTGGCAGACGGCCCAGTCATCGATGGGAAGTCGTCTACGCCCCCGCCGCCGACGGGAGCACCACGGAGGCAAACCTCGTCTCAAACTCTGTCTCTTCGTCATCCAGCAGTCGTCCCCCTCCGCCCACGAAGCCCGCGTCCGTGGCAGCATCAGTACCGGCGCCAGCACCAGACAGCATCAACTCTGCCCCCCTCGGTCCCAGAGGCACCTTCACAGACTCGGCTCCGCCAACTGGTCCCCGTGGTCCTCGACGCCAGCAGCCACCACCTGCACCGCATCCCCCATCCGGCGAGGCACAATTTACCCGTGCCCGTCCAAGTCTGGCATACCATCTTGTGCCGGAGGATCTTGCCCGCCGCCGCGTCCAAAACATGCGCGCCTTTTACACGCGCGACCTGAACCGAGACATGGGCCGCGAAATCAACAGATACTCCTTTGAAGATTCAGACTCGTTTGTCGACCGAGGCCGTGAAATCTTCGAAGGCATCCGTCCTCCCCACAGAGAGAGAGGCGGTCGCGGCGGTGGACGAGGTAGAGGCCCCGGAAGATCCAGAGGTGGTTTCCGCCCAAGAAGTGATCGGTATATTCCCGGCGCTGGAGGCAGGGACGAAGACGACCGACGCCGGCTCTAGGAACAACCCGGGTAGACCTCTTCACTTGCAAAATGGAGCACATCCCTACCGTCCAAACGTGGAGGTTTTCCGAAACAGCCATCTCAAGACATTAGGAACACAATGTACAACAAACCCGGTTTGTAACGCCGTCCAGGGGCGGTCAGGAAAGGAGGCCATTTGATTCCATTTCGATGAAATCAAGCAATGTATTGTACCATAGAGCGCAGGCCCAGCAAGCCAGCAAAGCTAAATACCAGAATATACAAACCCCCAAAGAAAACGAATACCCACACCACACTTTGTGTCCCGTCTCCCCAGAGACAAACCAAGTCAATCTAAGTAATCGTCCAGCCGAGAAACCACCTATGAAGCATCGAAGCAATGAGCCGATTCCGTCGTAAGATACCTCCACAAGTCCCCGACGCTTCTGGACATGTAAACGCTCGTCCCCGCGCAATTCACCTTGCTATTTCCCCCTTTAGCCATCTACTCGAACCGCCAAACCAAACAGAACTCAACTCACCCGTAGGCATAGCAAAACGTCTGATGCCGCAGCTCAATGCTCTCAATCTTGAACCCCCTGCGTAAAGTCAGCACAAAGCTCAAACTGGTTCCAAAATTATAAACAAGCATCTTCCATCGGCAGTACATACACGTCGTCGAGGTTCACGCACCCGAACCCAATGACGTTTCTCAATAGCCCCTCGAAATTAGGCTGACTGTACACCGTAGCCTTTCACTTATAAGTACGAGCATCCATTTCCCACGCAGTAGGTTTATGAACATACAGAGACGACGCCCTGCGCTGCAGCGGTGGAAGCAAACAGCGGCAGGAGCAGGAGACGCATCGCCGAATATGTCCAGGGCAGATACATAAACAGCCCGCAAACAAAGACACAATGGACCATGCGTCAGCCAAGACGAGCCAGGCTATTTATTATAACTTTTTAAAAGATTAGAAGCCGGGGGTGGCAGACGAAGCGGGCGCTTCCACAAGTTACCCGGATTCGACGGCACAGGCAATATTGGCAGCTGGACCCCAGGGGGAGAGACCATCAGAACGGCAACGGTGATGACTGCATCTCTAGTGCTACCCAGCGACGAGGTTGGGCGCGTTCCTCTGCCGTGATATCCGCCCCTGCTGTCAGCTTCTTCCCAGGGGACTGACTAACGAGTAACTACTACTAGCTGGCAGCCTTGCGAATACAGCACCGGCTATCAACTCCAGGCCAATCTCAGCGGACCAATGGCAAAGTACAAAATCTTCAAACTCGAAATGAGCAACCCAGCATTGAGCGTTGAACAGTAACGGGCCATTATTGGCTCAAGAATCTCGGCCTACTTCTCAAACTGCCAGTACCTGAACATGGTTGTGGTTCGCTGATGCCCGAGCCGAGTAACATGGCTTTGGTTGCAAAATGTTACAAACACGGCGGGCGACCTCTTGAAGCCGTGGATTTCGTCATTTACTGGGTGCCGTTACGCGTCATATCTGCCGTCAAACAAATCGTGCCGGGACAGTCGCGAAAAGGATACATCACTCATTGTCTAGAGCCGACTATATAATCGTTGTACTTAATTGTATTCATTTCGAGACAATCTGCCTAGTAAACACGTAGCCAAACTTAAATCAAAACGCCATTCCCTTACACTTCAAGACCTGCGACTAACGTGGTTTTTACGCGGCACTGGCAAGAGGCACAGGCTCAACACCAACACGTTCTCGGCTCAGCACATCCAGCATAAACTGGCTAGGGCGGTTGTCCCTATATTCCAGTGCCTTGCTTTTTGCAAGACGGACGTTATCCAGATATTTTTCAAAGAGGTATGAGCTGTCCATTGGACCACCCTTGGCTTCCGGGTGGAACTGGGTAGAAAAGATGGGTCGGGTCTTGTGCAACATACCCTCGTTGCTGCCGTCGTTGAGGTTGACAAAGTACTCCTTGAAGTCGCTGGGCAGAGTGCTGGCATCAATGGCATAACCGTGGTTCTGGCTGGTAATATGGCATTGTCCAGTAGTCAAGTCCAGGGCAGGAATGTTATGGGCGCGGTTGCCATACTTGAGTTTGATGGTACGAGCACCAACTGCAAGGGCCAGGAGCTGGTGGCCAAGACAGATGCCCATGATGGGGATGGAAGAAGTCTCCATCAAACGGGACAAATTGTAGACAGTCTCCTGGCAGTGAGTTGGGTCGCCGGGACCGTTGGAGATGAAGACACCATCGTAGTGCTGGGCAACCTTGTGGATAGGGTAATTATAAGGGAAGACGGTAACAGAGGCACCACGGCTGACCAAGCTTCGGAGAATATTCTCCTTGACACCACAATCAATAAGAGCAATGTGGAGCGAGGCACCGGGAGACTCGACCACAAAGGGGGCCTTCGTGCTCACACGCTTGACGAGGTTGATCTGGCCAGGATCGATGAAGCTCTCGTCTTCGTCGGCGTCGTATTCTTCGCCAATGGAAATTCTAGCAAGCGAGGATCCCTGTTCTCGGAGGAAAGTGACAATCTCACGAGTATCGACGCCAGAAATGGCTGGGACACCCTCACGGGCGCACCACTCGCCCAGACTCTCGACAGCAGTCCAATGGCTGTAGTTGAGAGCTACGTCAGAAACGACAACGCCAGCACACTGAATGTGGGGGGACTCGAAATGCTTGAGAAGGTTGTACTGGTCTCGCTCGTTGGAGGGCACTCCGTAGTTGCCAATGAGCGGCTGGGTAAAAACCAGAATCTGGCCACGGTACGACGGGTCAGTCATGGACTCCGGGTAACCGACCAGAGAGGTGGTGAAGACAGCTTCACCCGAGATGTTGGCATTGGCACCAAAAGCCGTGCCATTGAAGACAGGGCCATCCTAAGCAAGTCAGCAATGATTTCGCAATAGCAACACACGACACAAATGTAGCAACATACTCGAATGGTGAAGGTAGCAGGCACCGACTCAACGGGAGCAGTGCTCTTGGTGGGCTTGGAAGGCATCTTCCTGCCAGTGCTTCCAGCGGTAGCCTGGGATATAAATCGGAGTTGAATGGCCATTCGAGGCGCCATGGCTGCCGCCGGCTTGAACGCCGGCTTGGCGAGGTTAATGGCCAGTCGAGAGAACATGGCAATCCGGAATACAGATAGTAGTTTGGATAAAGAGAGCAGCTAGAGAATGTCGAGGTCAAGGAAGGTCAACCTAGGATGACTGGGACTTCCAGAGGTGGTCTACATTGTCAATTGTCAGTTTGGGGGTGGGTGGATGTAGCGGTGTCTCAGATCCGACGAACCAGAGAGATAATCCTGTCAACAAGGCGTCAGTACTCAAGATTCCGTCACAGCTGAATTGCCGTGCTGGCCATGGGAGAATAAACAATGGCGGCCAGCAAGACAAGAAGGTATCTGTGCCAATGGGATACAGGTGCAAGGCAGAGACGAGTTTTGCAACAGCTGGGTGCAGCCAAAGAAAGAGGCAGGACGGTGCAAACTTGGGGCGTAGAGAGAGGACCAGCCGATTGCGGCTACGTACCTGAGAGGTGAAGACTGACGGGCGCCCGTTCATAAGGGCGGATTCAGACGCAGCTGTTCAACGAGAACAAGAATCTGAGGCACAATGGCGCTCTTGGGAGTGAAAGAGGTTTATAAATTGCGGTGTACGCTGTCGCGGACTTGGAAAGATGAGAGCTGGGGATTTAACTTGCTGACCGTTGAGGGGAAGAGGAAGGGAAGAAGAAAGAGCGGGAGGGATGGTGACGCGGGCAGAGGACAGAAAAAATTGAGCCACACGGGCCAACTGCTCAATGTCTCGTCGCTGCGAGGTGTTCCGCTGGCCGCTGCTTACCACGCTTCCTGATTGGTCCGCACCTGCACCTGGCCCTTGCGCCATTGGGCTGCAGGCGAGCGCTGTAACTTCCGCTGTCCAGTTGGACTTTTGGCTGCATTGGGGGAGCCTCACGGCCCCGCGGGCGCTATTGTCTGGCGAGGCCGGGGCGGAAGTGGTGGTGGGGAAGAGGAAATGTGCTTGACCGCTTTGGGAAGTGTGACCAAGGTCCTCGCCGATATCGTTGAAAAGTTGCTGTAGCCCATGATGCCACATCCTTGTCGAAAGGGGCACGTCAAGGATCGAAACGTCTTTGGGTTCCACGGCAAAGGCGTCACAGGATGCCTTGCATCGTCTTTCCTCAAGACTTCAAGGATCCAATTGTCTTTGTGTTCCACTGCAAAGGCGTCACAGCATGCCCAGCATCGGCTTTCCTCAAGTCGCCGCTGTTATTCGCGCCAGCAATCCACATCTCGATCCTACTGTAGCTGCAAACGCGACTTCAATGTTTCTTGTAGTCAGCATATGACAACTGTGGGGGTGTTTGTGTCACCGTCTACTCCAGACGGGAGGAAATGCTAGTTATTGGCATCATATTAGCCACCAGCATGTCATTGTGCATGTATGCATTGACACCTTCTCGGCAACTCGCTTCTGCACAAATGCGCCCAGAAAGCGCGAAATTCCGAGCTGCTTGGATACTACACCATACCGACGTAAACCTGTCGATTGGCCTGCCAAGGAAAATGAAGGCAAAGACCAAGTTGTCAATAGTTACATTTCACATGGTCATCTCCCGCCAATATTGCAATCGCGGCGTGACGCAATTCTAGGTTCACGTGTAGCACCATTTACAAACAAACAGGTAGTTTTGGTACAGGACCTTTGGATCTATTGTCTTGGCGCAAGCTTTGCATCCCAGCCGGCAGTCAAATGCTACATGTTTTAACACATCTTTTTTTGCTTTGAACCATTTACAATGCACCCAACTCTTTCAATTTGCCAATCAAGCCATCAACATCCTCCACCTTGCCGCCACCCTGTCTAGGCGTAGGCTCTACAACACTCGTTAGCAATCATTTCGTCTCAACCCCCCACCCCCAGAACGTAGCACTTACCCGAAACCTTGAGCACTTTGAGGCGCTTCTCGTTTTCCAATCCAAAGTCCTTCAACGTCTTCTTATCAAGCTTCTTCTTTTTAGCCTTCATAATGTTAGGCAGGCTCGCGTACCGGGGCTCGTTGAGTCTTAAATCCGTCGTAATAATCATGGGCAGCTTGGCACGAATGGTCTCAACACCACCGTCAACCTCTTTCGTCACGCTGACGCTGTCGCCCTCGCCAAACTCAATCTTGCTTGCCTGGGTGGCCTGGGGCCAGCCCAGTAGACCGGCAAGCATCTGACCCGTCTGATTGGCGTCATCGTCGATGCTCTGCTTGCCGAGTATGACGAGATTGCTCTTCTGCTCCTCCGCGGCCTTCTTGAGTAGCTTGGCGACCGCAAGGGGTTCCAGATCGTCGCCCTCTTTGACATCAACGTGGATAGCGCGGTCAGCGCCCATGGCCATTGCTGTTCGCAGAATATCTTGGGCCTTGGCCGGGCCGGCGGAGATGGCGCATATGTCTTCCACGCCGCCGGGGGCTCGTTTCTTCTCGCGGATGCGAACAGACTCCTCGACAGATAATTCGTCAAAGGGGTTCATGGAGTGTTTGACGCCAGCGGTTTCGACAGCCGTCTGCGCCTTGTTGACCCGGGGTTTGACCTATAGTTGGACAAAGGAAGGGACTGTTAGCCGCCATTCATAGGGAAAAGCTACACGATTTAGATGCCACGTAGAAAGGGTTCCATACCGCATAATCAATCACCCGCTTGACGGGAACGAGGATTCTTAGAGCAGACATGGCGACTGTTGCAATCAATGGCTATGTGGAGGAGTTGCAAGAGGCAAAGGCCTACAGCCGTGGTCCTATCATGGCGGTCGACCGAGTAGTCCCGGCTAGGGCCGGCTCCAGCCTCGGCCACCCGAGTCACGTGATCCCCATGTCAAAGTTTGTGCGGGTACAATCCGGACGGGAAGCAAACGCCACGCGCCTTGGGAGTCTGTCTCTCGAGATGCGGACGAGATCAGAAGAAATTGCTGGATGTGATATCGTAAGTGATTATCCATGCTGAAATGGGGGTGGCGTGTTGGTAGGTTTTTGCATCGTGCAGCGAGTCTGGACAACTAAGTGTAAACTGTATGTTCAATTGGGTTGCGATTGAGAGTTTCAGCACAACAATCGCATCAGTTTGGTCACACCGCACCCCTGCCTTCGTCCGCTCCATATCCTATGGCAAATAAATCAGTGAAAGAGAACAGAAAGCGCTGGTATTTCCACAACTAGAGGCTGCGGCCCGAGGAGATAGGCAAAGCGAGAACCGGACTCGGGGCAAGAGATGGATGACCGGCTTCGAGTTCATTTGCTTGGTATGGCATAGAGGGGCGTGGACGATGTTTTGCGACCACCCGGGCACACTGCAGACCATGCACATGTGGCTTTCTGCTTCAATGGATTCTTGGTCTTGCAAGATGAATTTGCCTCCAAAGTGCCACCACCATCTGCTCCTCAGCTGACCTGGCGTTCGTGTTGACCGGCTCTGGATCAAGATCATCCCACACCCAAGCGACTATTACACACACTCGGAACTGAAGAATAGATAAATTATCATAGCTGGCTAACATACAGCCACCATACTCCAATCAACGCCCCCAGCTACTACCCCCGTGACTAAATCACCAGTCATCCCAATCATCTGCCTTCTTCGTAGGCTGGGCGACGCTGGAGCCTTTCTTTCCCATACCCATGGCACTTGTCCCAATCGAACTGCTCGTTTGCTTCTTCTGCTCTGCAAGACTTGAGAAATCATCCCAAAAGTCTTTACGGCTCGCATCTAGTGGCGCATCTCTCCTGTGATTGCTGTCGTTACCCTCGACGAAGCGGTTGAATCCTTCCTGTGCGGATTTTCCGGCCATTTGGGCTTGTTTTGCGAATTGGGAGGCTGTGAGTTGGGCTTGTTTGGCGAAGTCGCCCTCTGCCAACTATTACATCACAAAAGTTAATATTCCCAGATTCGGCTTCAGAGAGAGTTTTGTTTGAAGTGATGGGACAGGGGGACATACTTGCTTGGCAGTCGGTTGGATATAACCATCATTTACCGTCTTGGCAGTCTTACTCACGGTAGAGGTAAACCAACCGAATCCTTTTGATAATGCAGCCATGGGATCCTTTTGCAACTCATCAAAGTTGGGAATACCAGCCTGACCCGCCTTGGCAGGTGCAGGGGTATTTCCAAAGCCAGCATACTTGCCGCCTTGACTCGGCGGAACATCGTCTGGTCTCGAGGCGTTCTCTGCTCCCAATCTTGAGAAGTACCTATCGTCAACCTTGACCTTACCGCCAGCGCCACGGTTACCAGGACTCTCGCTCCGGCTCGTCGAATTGCTCAACGGTGTCCCTGTCCTCGATCCAGCTCTCTGACCTCCCAGAGCAGGTGATGACGCAGGCTTCACCGCAGGAGCAGCAGGCTTCTTCTCGCCAGGAACATATTCTCGATTCTCCACCTTACACGAAAGTCTCTCCTTCCACTCCTCGCCTACGTCGCCACTGTATCGTTCTGCAATGGTCGCATCCTCCCAGGTAATTCCTCGCATCTGGGTGTCCTCGTGCTCTTCGAAAAACGTCCTCCACCTCTCGTTGCCACCGAGCCTCATCCGTTCAATCTCACTCGCTTTGAAGGCGTCCATGGAGATGCTGCGCACAAAGGATATGTGGACACCAAGACCACGGTGTACGCCGGCGCAGGAGAGGCAGATGAAGACACCGAATTTGGGGGATGCCCACTGAGGAGATGGCGCGCTGCAGTCGCAGCAGATGTTGTTTTTGGATTCTTTCTGAAGGGCGGCGAGCTGTATATTTTGCCGTTAGCATGCACCGTTTCCTTGTAGGCGTGTCCATGACGGGAACGGGCTGGTCTGCCAGTTGATCAGGTTGCTTGGGAAATCATGAGCGAACCTTGGACCTCGTCTCAGGGTCGACTTCCCACATGGCCTTTGACGCCATTGTGTGGCGACGCGCGGGAGCGGTCGAGGTACGATTGAGGTGCGGGCCAGGAGTTTCGGATGCAAGTGCGTATGTTTGTTGTGTCTGGTATTCTCGACGGTTGGGGCTATGTGGTATGGAGAAATCAGGAATCAGGAACACAGGTGACGCCTGTTTTTGGCATTGAACATGTGGTGGCTGCCGCCTTGTGAAGAGTTGTGGCACACCCAGTCCCCTCCTCCTCTCTCCTTTGTCGTCAATGCTACCGGCCAAGGCCAAGTGGCTCCAGGTGTCCAATCCCGGGTCATCAGCCAACTTCTGGTACAGCAAACTTTCAAACTGTGGATTGAACCTTGAATGCTATGGGCGGGGCCACATAATTCGTCTACTACCTACTAAGTACTTAATAGCATGTACTCTGTTTACGCAATCACCACTACTTGGTCTATAACGTTGCAACTTCACCGTTCCATCTGGGAATAGATCGATATTTGAATGCCATTTACATGCTCGCCCAAGGTCAGGCCCGACACTCTATACCTCAGTACATTGACGGCAATATCACTCAATGTATCGTCCAATTGCTGTGGAGAAAGGGCCTACTGTGCATCGTCGCAGCCCAGGTGGGCTAAGTTGATAGAATGTCACTACAGATCCATTCTCCTCTTCGCATATCAGTCATGCATTACTCAGTTAGTTTTCTCATGAGGTTAAAATATTAAATTTTCATAACAAGCAAGACAAATAAAACCACTGCCATCCCAAATAACCGCCAGACTCCACCCACATAGACATAGCTTGTGTGATGAAATGTCTCTCAGGTAAAACAAATGGAGCAGTGCCCATAACCGCTTGTCTTCTTAAAAGTTGAACCAGCATCTACCATAAGTGATATGGAAAATCATCGTAATTATTCTCATTCAGGCAAGGAAACGTCCCGAGTCATCTAGCGTAACCCTTGCCTATCAAAACAACAAGACAGGGCTCGCCACTTAAGCAGTGGTGGTGGCAGCCTCAGTGGCCTCCTTGTTCTCCTCCTGAGGAGCGTTGGCCTCCTCATCAGTCTTGTCGGGGCTGTCAATGGCGACCTTGACAGCAATCTCGCGGCCCTCAATCTCCTTGCCATTCATCTCGGTAACAGCCTTCTGCTGAAGCTCCTCGGAGGCAAGGGTGACGAATCCAAATCCACGACCCTTACGAGCCTCACCGCGAGCCTGAAGCTTCTTGATCATGAATCGGGGGATAGGTCGGAGGGCAATCTTGGCAGAGGAAGGCTCGTATGCCTTGAAAAGCTCGATGAGCTAAAGAAGACGTGTCAGCACAACTTTCAACTCTCGCTACAAAGTTCCCACCACCAAAATGGAAATGTCTTCTCACCTTTTCCTCCGTCAAGTCATAGGGGAGGTTGGCAACCATGACCTTGGTCTTGGAAGGGATACCATCGGCAGGGGGGCCGCGCTCGCGACGCTCACGCTGGGGTCGAGTCTGATTCTTCTTTGTTTCCGAGTCAGTCTTGTTCTGATGGTGGTTTGTGATGTCCGTCAATGGTTGAACCTCAGTGGTGCCCTCGATTTCAGCAGGGGCGGCCGCGGCATCGGTGGCGGCAATAGCAGTTTCACCCTCCTTCTTCTCTTCGGTGGCGTCCTGTCACAACAGTTGGGTTAAATCTTCGTCTGTGTATTCTCTTTGGACGTCATGGGAGACTTACACCAGCACGGCCACCGCGAGCAGCACGTCCTCCACGGCCGCGGCCACGTCCGCGACCTCGACCAGAGGCCCGACGGCGTGATCCCTCAGCACCTGAACCTTCACCGTTGGCACCCTCAGTCTTCTCGCCAGCAGGCTCGGGCTTGCGGGCGAGTTGCACAGAGACCTTGCGCTCAAGGATTTCCTTGCCAGAGAGCTCAGCAATAGCACGCTCAGCCTCAGAAGGTGTTGAGAGGTCAACAAAGGCGTAGCCCACAGGGCGTTCAGTGCGAGGGTTCTTTGGGATCGAGACAGACTCACTGTGAGCACTATTAGCAAAGAGGTCTGGATACCGCCCAAAGCGCGAGATTTTGAATGCTAGTCAAGTGAACAGCGCGGCTATCACAAATGCTCCGTTTCATGATGGCAACATATTTTGTCATCAGGACAAAAGGCAGGTGAGCTTGCAACGTCCCTCGGGGCCACATCAAAGCAAAGGCCGGCCATGTCACTTGGCATCCGGCGAGCCCGCATCATTCTCGTCAAGGGTTTAGACAAGCGCACACTTACACAAGATAGCTCTTGAAGAAGTCCTTCAACTCCCCCTCAGTTGTCGCGTAGGCCAGGTTGCCGATGTAGAGACGGCGGCCTTCCGCAGCGCTGGCCGAGGCAGCCTCGTTGGCGGCGGCCTTGTCGTCGGCAGGCTGGCTGATTGAGGTATTGCTCAGAGTATTTGCAACGTCATTGACAGCGGCATCGGTGGCCTTCTCCACGTTGGTAGCAGACATGTTGATGGTTGGATGGAGGATGGTTGACTGTGTGTAAGTTTTGGGGATGATGACGTTCGAACGTTGGGCTTGTGCGAAAGCGACGTCCGAAAGAGCGTGGTGGGTTGATATAAAAGCTCGTGGATTGAACTCTGTTGCAATGAGGAGGGAGATTGATCAGGGTAGCTTCGTGCCCTAGATGGGGTTGAAATAGACAGACGGCAAGCGTTGCGCGGAGTCACAAGTTTGGCTGATGTTGTGTGATGAGGAGAAAGGAAAAGGGGAGAAGGTGTTCAGGAGTCGCGTATCTGAAGGAAATAATTTTTCGGGCTGGCGTTTGCTGGGGGCGGCTGCTGCAGTGGGCAGGGAGCGGGACCAAACAAAGACAGGCAGGGGTATCTGGACCAAGCAGGGCGGGAAGGACAGGCGGTGCTGGGGCTGTTCAGCAAGAGTGCCTTCCCTGGGATGTGAGTGTGCGCCGTGAGTAGCGAGGGGGGGCTTCTGTTATTGGCATTTGTCCCTGCCAGAGGAGACCAGATGTCGCGGTGCTTCTTGCTGGCGACCAGTAACAACAGCTGACTGTACCTGCCACAAAACAGTTGGGACTTGACTCTGGTGCCACTGGCCAACCACAAGCCAACTCCAGCCCAGCACTGAAGACACAAGCGACCAGACAGAAGCACTTGAGCACGACGGCCAATGCGGGGGGGAGGCGGTGGCCGTTCTAGCTCCTTCCATGCATGACCGCACGCTTGACGCTGCACATCCTGCATGTCCGTCATGCGTATTGTATGTACGTACATTCAAACATCAGCAGCAGCAGCCTTGAAAGAGATGAAGTGTACAAAGGAAGGCCAGGACACGCAAGGCACGTCATATTTCCCCGTGGACACTTTGTCCAGTCCGTTTACTCTCCGAGATGAAAGCCTCTCCTTTATTTGACGAGTGTCCTCTTCACAAACATAAGTTTTCCTCTTTCAAAGCCCTCAGGCACACCTGCCGTCTTGTATGACACAGGACAGTCGCCAGCCTGGTGGGTCTGGGCATTCGGCTTGAGTGCCTAGTACCCACCTACTTGGCAGGCTGGTTGCTGTCTTCCAAGGCTTCAATCTGCGTACAAGTTCGGTCAGTCGCTCTTGCCCGTTGAATCATGCATGTGCGGCGAAGCCCTACCCTTAGCCGGTCCCCAGAAGGCTGCCCAGACGCACAAATCGGCCATGGCCATTGAATTGATGGCTGAAGTGCTCGCCATCTTCATCTTCTTTGATGTGAATCTTGCCCCTCTGCCCTCCCGTCATCTTGCCTTCACGAACAAATCCATCAGACGCCGCCTTCACTGACGGAGCACCGGCACCCATGCCAATGTCCCACAGGTCCACTCGTCCCGAGCCTTCAGTGAGCTAGACCACGAGACAGGGATAGATGAGTGACGACTCTATATACCACAATGTTTTGCTGTTCATGCTAATGACTGCGACACACGATTACGTGCAGGACGCAAATCCATGCGGGGGAGCTAATTTTACAACACTGGTTGGTGTGAGCGCTTGTGGCGACGGCGTGCTTCCCCGGCAACGACTTCGCTGCTACGACGTGTAATGCGCAAATTGAGGCAGCGCATGTGACGAGTCAGGCCGATGAGCTCAGGCTAACTGAAGTCACTCTACAGCGCCAGAGCCCTGGTGCATGTCAGCCAGTGGATTTTCTGCCAGCGGCAAACCGCTGCTGAACATGGAAGCATCGTATCATTGTGCGTCTGGAGACATTGTAAAGAGCACGTGAATCACTCCCGCACAAGCCTCGCAAAATCTGATTGAAAGCTACCACGCAAGATGGCAATTATACGGCGCCCATTTCGTCCATTGTAGCTGTTCCGTGAACGTCATTGGTGTCAAAACAGATTGCGATGCAACCTCCCGATGATTGATAAGATCTCGGTCGGCCTGGCCAACGCCACCGACCGGCATCGGACCCATGGAGCGCCGAGTTTTAATCCATCACAACTCTGCTCACAACCTTCTCACGAACCAGTTCATTGTCATCAACGACGTTACACACGTTAGCGGGCGCCCCGCGACGGCGTTTCTCATGAGTATACAGCTTTCTGAGCAGCCACCTAGCTAGCCCTTCCCATTGCACGCATCGTTTTGCCCAAGAGCAAACAAAACACGCTGGCGGCATGACCAGCTCAGACAGGACCGTCCTGGTCCTGTACGGCTCCGAGACTGGCAATGCCCAGGATATGGCCGAAGAGCTCGGCAAGCTGTGTCAGAGACTGCGCTTTACCAGCCGCGTCGAGGAGCTAGACAATGTGAACTTGGTAAGTTGTGCAGCAATTTGACTCGGTCACTCCCCGGTTTTGCTAAGCGCCTTGTTTTCACACAGAATGAACTCCTCCAGCATCAGTTCGTCTTGTTTGTCATCTCAACAACCGGACAGGGTGACATGCCACACAACTCCCTCTTATTTTGGAAGAAGCTGCTCCGCAAGAAGCTGCCGCATGACTGTTTGGGCCAAATGAAGTACTCGTGCGTTGGTCTCGGTGACAGCACCTATCTCAAGTGAGTTGCATCAGTTGGCCCATGACCAACATTTGGCTAACTTCATGCGTAGATTCAACTGGGCAGCCAGAAAGCTTATCCGGCGTCTTGACCAACTAGGGGCCTCTACATTCATTGAGCCGTGCGAAGCTGATGAGCAATTCCCAGAAGGGTATGTCCTTGCCAATGCCCTATCAAGTCTGCATCTAACGTCCAATAGTATCGACGGAAGCTTTGTGCGCTGGGCAGATGGCCTCCGCAAACATCTATTAAAGTACTACCCCGATCCAAAGGGACGAGGTGCCGTACCCGAGAATGAGATGCTTCCTCCAAAATGGTCATTAGCACCCGCCATCGACAAACGCGCCGAGGTCTCTAGAAAGTCTCATTTCAATGGGGACACCAAGAAACCACCCTCAACACCGCCACTCAACCAACTACCTCTCCCCTACGGATTGCAAGCCACCCTCGTTGGAAACAAACGACTCACTCCCGAAGAGCACTGGCAAGATGTACGCCTCGTGTCCTTTGACATCCCCAGCTCGCTGCAAGTCAACCCAGGCGACTGTCTGACCATTTATCCCAAAAACTTCCCCGAAGACGTGCAAAAAGTCATCACCCTGATGGAATGGGACGCCATCGCCGACGACCCTCTCGATTTATCTCTTTGCTCCCTCCCTCCCACATTATGTCCTCCTTCCCCATCTACCCTCCGCGACTTACTCTTGCACAACATCGACATCAACGCTGTGCCCCGGCGCTCGTTCCTCAAAAGCCTTTCCTACTTCTCCGACAACGAGGACCACAAGGAGCGCCTCCTCGAATTCACAACGACCGAATTTCTGGACGAATACTTTGACTACGCCACCCGCTCCCGAAGAACCATCATCGAAGTCCTCGAAGAGTTCTACTCGGTCCGCGTTCCCCCTTCGCACCTCCTCGAAGTATTCCCACTCATCCGCGGCCGCGACTTTAGCATTGCCAACGGCGGCAAGCACCTCACCCCGGCATCCCCATCTCCAGCCACGCGAATAGAGCTCCTAGTTGCACTCGTCAAGTACCGCACCATCCTGCGCAAGCCTCGAGAGGGCCTCTGCTCCCGCTACATAACCCACCTGCCGCCCAGCACCCCCCTAACCGTCACTCTCAAACCTGTTCTGTCCCCCATCCACGGCGCCGTAAATGCCCAACGGCCGCTCATAGCCATGGCAACAGGCACAGGCGTCGCCCCCGTCCGCTCACTCATCCACGAACGAATGACGCACAAGTCCTCTGCCCCCATGATATTGTTCTTCGGCAACCGTAACAAGGACGCAGATTACTTCTTTGCCGAAGAATGGAACGCACTCGCTGGAGACAAGCTTACTGTGTTTACGGCGTTTTCCAGAGACCAGCGGGAGAAGATATATGTGCAGGATTTGATACGCAAGGAAGCTAAATTGTTGGAGGGGTTGATTTCGCAGAAGGCCATCTTCGCTGTATGTGGGGGCTCGACCAAGATGGCAGATGCATGTAAACATGCCGTTTTTGATCCCTACATCGAGGGTGGGGATGAGGTGGAGAGGAAGCGTATTTTGGATGGCATTACTTGGTGGCAGGAAATCTGGTGATGAGCTACGGCTAGAAAATCAGTTTACTAGAACGCTTTGCAGACACGCTTTACTCAAGAGTAAGGGGTGGATCCATGTCATAGACCGAGACAATTGCAACATACGTCTCGAGACCTCGCGCCATTTCAAGATGACAGGGTGCAAATCAAATCGATGCTCCAACTGATGATGAAGTCGGTATTCAGCATTCGGCTACCATCTATCCTGCCATTTGGTGCCACTGAACAGAGTTCACACCTCTTCTTCATGCCATAGTCTCTGCACCCACCACGTCCCCTCCACTACACATCTCTTGCTCAATTCCATTCCATCTCATAAGAACGTAAGGATATATATGGCGAACGAACCTTGCCCCACATGCTCCGAGTATCCAAGTTTGTGCCCAGAACAAAACCAGAAAAAGAAAAAGAAAAGAAAAACGAGAAGAGCATTTAAGTCCCGAATTGCAATGAAAGTAAAGGACAGACTAATAACTCCGGTTCCAGATTGCACCCCTTCTCATATTTGTCGAAATAAATTTGACGATTACCAAAACTCCTTCGCTATTGTTACTTTCAAAAAAAAAAGATTACAAGAATACGGTATAAAAGATCGCTTAAGATGTGGACGCCATCAAAATAAAGAATCGAGTTGGCGAAATGCGATTTCATCAGTCGCAAATCATTGATCGGAGCATTGTCATGATCGATATTCTTCCCAGCTGTATCGTTTATCGGCCATTTGAGGAACGTGGATTAGATCGCGACCAGGATCGATGCGGCCTTCCTCAGATGATTCATCTGAATGTACTGGCTTGGGGGACCCTGTTTCGCTTCCATGCTCTCTTGGCTGAGAAGGCAGTGATTGTCTATCTGTCTCCCACTGACTTGGTAAAGTTCCATGGTGGCCGTGACTTAGCCCCATGCTCGAATGGTTGGTGCATCGTGGTTTTTCTTCGGCCATTCTGACCTCTTCTTCTGTAAAGTTGCTCCCCAGGCTTCCTTCAGATGTGCGAGATCCGGGAATAAACATGCTGGCAGGTATATCGCGCCCATCGGAGTTCACAATCCGTGAGCCAGTACCTACGGTATGGCCTGACAAGCGAACGTTCTCAGGCAACGGGCCCAGGCACACAACTTTGGAGGGATCAATAGGGGTCCGTTGAAATGCGGCAGGTATTGGGGGAGGTCTTGCGTCAGTCACTTGGGATACTGGCGTGTTGGAATTTGAGGACAAAGATCGGCTCGCTGTAGATTGACCTCCGCTTCTAGTGCCTGATGAAAATGATCTAGGAGGCATCGATGCCGTTAAAGGTGAAGGCAGTTCAGCTGAGTTCCAGTCTCCTCTTGGTGACACCGGCGATGGCTCCGATACAAGGAAAGTGTTCGAGGTTGAATCAGCGCCACGAGATCTTGTTGGAGAAACTGGTGATGGTTGGTCTATCATGTCCGTTTGAATAGTTGGCCGCAGCTCAGGCACAGAAGCTTTCTCCAACTGCACAACGGTTCCGTCAACGGGTGGTGTATATTCCGGCACAGGACCTTGAAGCTGCCGATCCAATTTTCTCCTCGCAATCTCGTAGGCACTAAGGTGCTGTGTGCTGTCTGTGCCTAGGTCTGCTTCGCCCAAAATGGAGTTGTCGTCGCTGCCTCCAGCATCCAATTCGGCGGGAGCTACAGGAGCTGGAAGTTCGTATATTTGGTGATCAGGGGCTTCCGCCGGGTCGCCGCCGGCTGTCATGGTTGTTCCTGCCCTTCGAGATCGTCTGCGTCCAACTATCCTGGAAAGCATTCGATATACGGGGCTCCTGGGGGAGTCTGGCGTGAGTGTCGATGCGGAGTCTTTGCCATCATCGAAGTCGTCGCCCGACCGTTCACGCTGTTGTCGTTTATGGCGTCTGTAGCAGAAGAAGGCAAATACGAGTGTGCTGAAGAATGCCACGGCACCAACAGCTATACCAACCATCTCTCCTGTAGAAAGACCATTTCCACCATTGGGGTCTGGTGGCGGCGGGTATGGGCTGTTGTTTGGACGGTTTATCTTGGTCAGCTTTGCATCTCCAGTCGGATCGCTGGGAAACCGTGCTTGATGTATTGAAAAGACCCCAGAGTCATATTTCGTCATGAGGTAGGCCTCCTGCATGAACGCGTTTCCGATAATCGCGGTGCTATTAGCAGGGGCTTTCCTGAGGGTAAAATATGGAACGGCAGGGTCGGTATATCCAATAGCTCCCTTCATAAAGGGGTAACTCAATAAGCTCACGAAGGCTGTGATTGGCACCGTAATGTTTACGACACCAGTAACATCAAGAGGATCGCCAAAGTTATCGCGATTGTCCATGCTTGAGAAGCTAAACACAAAAGCAAGGGAGCTATTGGATGAATACTGGCGATACTGCTCGTTTGTTAAGGTGTAAAGCTGGAAAGTTTCATTATAGGTCAAGTTGAGCGCCTTGGCAAAGTTGTCACACAACGCGGGGGGAAGCCAGAGGTAGGGTGTTGTCGTGTCAATAACGGCCGTAAAGGCACTTTTATAATCCAACAAGATCCGGGTGGCTGGTTTCCAACTGCTTCCGTTTGATGAGGATACCTCAATGCCTCGAATAAGGGGTCTGGGAACACCTTCCGTCTGATTCAAGGTAAATGTCTTGTCGTGCATGGCTAGTCTGGCCGCATCGTAGCCACCTAGCGTCGCTGATCCAACAGTGTTGCCTATAGTCGCAAGTCAGTACATGTTACACTTTCTCGCTGCGTGATATATCAGTCGGGGACGAACGGTATGATGCCCCAGCAGTATATCCGTAGCTGTAGCTGGAAACCCAACCAAATGATGCCACGGCTTGTCTCATTGGAGGGGTGGCAACGATATCACCAAAGTTGCCTGATCTCATTCCAACGCCAAAGAATCCGAGAAAGTAGTCTGTCGAGTTGATAGCTGATATGAGAACGTTGGACATTTGATACCCAACACTGGTCATGGGATTGAGACCTGCTATGGTGTCAAAGCCATATTGTCCATTGCCCCCTGTCCCCAAGTCCGGTAGCCCAAGTTCCCATGTTCCCAGCCCAGACCAGTGCTTTGAGTCGGATGGATAATAAATGCCTCCTCTGTTTGAGCTGCAATGAGGGTCGTCTGTAGCGAAACACGTCAGCACACGACGAAGGATTGTTCGCGAAATACGCAACGCCATACTTCTGTTACATCCTCCTGGTCCCACAGCCCAAAATTCCGATAGCGCCGTACTAAACAGGACATTGACGTTGTTGGAGCCAACTAGGAAGCCGAACGTCGACCAATTTCCGTCTACTCCCAGCCTGTGGTACATAAGTTAGAACCCATGTTTAGATAATAAAAGTTCCTTTGCACCCTGGCAATGTTCGGTCGTGAGAGTTATATTGAAGCAGTGACTGACCACGCGGTAGGGTAAAAGGCCACGGGCTGTGGCTCTGTTGCCTTCACGATCGGGGCAACAGATGCTGAGACAGCAGCAACTGTCGTTACCGCTGCTTGCGCCCTCATATCGTAGGTAGAAAATTCGCCCCTCGTATACTCGTGGGTCGAATGTTGGTGGCAGCTGGTGCTGAGCTTCTCCGAATTTGAAGAACCCCCAGGTCACCGTCAAGTTGGTCAGGTTGTCCTGGGGTTCATCGAAGGGGCGTCTGAACGAAACGACTCTATTTTGCCATTCGCAGCCTAGACATTGAAGTAGTCGCGTAAAGTTCAATGGCGATGGACGATACAAGAAGGATGTTCCAACGCTCTCATAACCAGTTCGTCCTTTATGGTCCTCTTCGTAATCGGCTCAGTACAGGATTGAAGAATGGGATTCCGAATGGGCGGTAGAGGCGAGGAAGCGCGGGCAGCTTAGTCAAGGGATGCCGTGGAGAGTTGATCGGCAGATGAGTTGGCGAAGAAGTGAGTGTGGAAGATGAAAGTCCATACAGAAAGTCGGCAGAGCATTCGGAGGGCTGTCACTTGGATCGGGGACATGGGGGATATGGGGCGAGAGCCACTGGCGCAATCGAGGGACCATTCGATGTGACAGGGGTTGGGCGGAGAATTCAAGACGAGAGACAGAGAGGAGAGACTGGAGAATGCAAGGCCAGGTGCACTGCTAGCGCGTGGGTGGCAATGGTCGTGAGAAGCCAGCAGCCGTTCACCGTTGTAAATCGGGTGGTGTGGCAACATGAATCTAGATGGTAGAGTTTGCAGGCTGGTCCAGGGCAGAGACGCAAGTCACCACCGCGTGTGACCCGTAATGGGTACCTCTGGGTACTCCGTACGTAAGGTAGGTCCGGAGTACGTGATATCAATTGATGTCTGGTACGGTGTTCTCGGTACATCCTCACTCCGTAATCCGCTATTTGTGTGTACACGCCGCTGTCGACTGTTCCGTTCTATTACCACTTCTCTCCCTTCGTCCTTGGCGCACCAGAATTTTGCAAATAAATGTACCCCGTGATGCAATGCAATCAATGATACCAGGCCGGGAGCATAGTCCAGAGCAAACGAGTAGCCACTGCGTACTTGGCCGACTGGGGGCTGTACCCAAAAAGCCAGACACAAAAGTGGGTTGGCATTAGACTCGATTTCTCGCTCCCCGCTCCCCTGTGCGAGCTTGACAAGATTTTGCTCTTCAAGGGCAGCTTGTGCTGGGCATGGCCATGCCCTGACCAGCTTGATTGGCCCGTCACCTGAGACCACAGGTGCAGCTCAGTACGGTACGGAGTACGGAGTACAAGCCAGGCTTCTGACTGGATCCCAGGGACACGCACGCGGGTATCGCTGGTGGATTCTCCCCCAAGGGAGGAGGAATGCAGCAGGGCACAGGAGCCATCCGAGTGAGTCAAAAGACGCATCAGTTCCCTGTCCCCAATTTCCACCGTTTCAACCCACGGACGGCTCACAAAGTGATGGTCATTTCTCAGCCGGCTCATCATAATCAACATGACCGGCTCGCAGAGACATCTGAAGCCCGCAGGACCGAGATGGGAATAACGGTTGTTGAAAACGACTTCGTA